AGATGAAAAAATGCAGACAATTCACTGCATAAAAAAGTCATATTCGACCCTCTCTAATTCAGATTTTAGTTTAACATTTGTTTAATCAGTGAGTATCCATCATCAATATGCGATTGTTATTATCACTGTGATCTTCAGTGGAGTCTCTTTATAAGAGTAAAATAAATCACTCCATTCTGAAAGCAGATGACTGACATTGTATCCAGCAAAGATCTCTGTAACTGGGCATTTATTGTTATTCCCTTACTTAGTTGATAGATGTCCATGGAAGTGTATAAATTTTGTGATACTCTTGACTTTTACATCTAGAAGGGGAGTCTACAACTAAGATCGTGCATTTATAGGTGCTTTCAATATAGGTTTTTCGTAATTCGATCTAGCGTTATACATGAGATTCGATGATAAGAAATCTGTTTTTAATTAGATAAAAAAAAATGTGTGTCGCATTACTACGCTTGGGATAAATTTCAGTTATCATATTGCAATCTGTAAACCTCGTTGGACACGATAATTTCGTATGGAAATCACTCCTCTAGATTTTACAGAATATATTATTGTATAAGAATGTAAAATGCAAATGTTTACGCTGCATGGTGAGCGTTTCTTTTTGATGTAAATTGACGTATAGGATTTTATTTCATAGAAAACGGTCAAGGTATTTAGATTTAATAAAATATCGAGGCGCTCATTTTATCGCTATATCGATCGTGAGAATGATGATATGTAGGCCTAAAATTAAAAATTTCGTTTTTGACATGCTCAATGAAAAGATTCATACGGCAGTTTAAAGCAAGTAGGTAAATACAATGGTAAGGATTTTTGACGTAATGAATAGTTCAAGCCATTATGCACGACTTAAACCTCACATTTAGTTGATCTATTCAATTATGATTTATATGATATGCCTGAATTAATCTTAACATATTGAAAGAAGTTTTTACTGAATAACAAATCTTTTAATTCACATTACAAAGATATCACCTAACTTCCTGTTGTGTTGATATTTTCCTGAATGAATATAGCTGTAGTAATAGCATACAGCATGAATGAAAACACATGAAATGCCGTGACCTGTACCGGAACTATGACCGGAAGTCCGGCCTCTAAAACGATATACTCATGGCCCATTTATGGTTGATAAATAAAACAACAGATTTAAAAATATAAAACTATACTACGATGTTTGAGTTATTGTATTTACTTGATAACAATGAAATCTTATCGAGACATCATTACATGAAATAACAAATTGCTATCGATTGTTATCGATAATTTGTTATCATTTATACTGTATCAATAACAGATATTTAAATGAGAGAAAATGAAAATTTGCAAAGATTGAATTCCTAATATGAATCCGATTACAGTAGAGTTATTTGTTCTGAGAGAAAAGAGTTTGATAGGACATTAAACGAGATAATAAGACAAGTGAAGAATCTAAACACTTTGCTTTTATTTTAAAACCTTCTCTATTTCTACTTTCAGACGATGGCCGTCAAAAATTTATGGATATAAACGGACAGGTATGATGTTCCTGTCGACGATAGCCTATATGTTCCTATCATACCCCATAACAGTATTTATCACATTTCTTGGTACACTGACACTAACAGCTCTTGTTTATCTAAAATCATTATTTAGGACGAAAACATGTGTACCCAAATGTTATTATAAAGAATCATCCTTGACAAAACAGATACTTCAGAAATGCCAGACGATGCAATCTGAATTCAGACCATCTTTACTGATCAGAAGTTCACACGTGCAGACAATTCTTGGATTTATGCCAGGTATTAGTCGTGAGAACCAGTTATCCAAGAAATACCTTCAAATGGAAGACTACGGAATTGTGTCAATTAGTGAAGTAGTGAATATTTCTACCATCAGTGATTCCGCGCCCATTGTGATGGTACTTCCGGATTACACCGGAAGTAGACGATTAGTGGAAGGAATATTTGAGGAAGTGATAACCAATCATTATAGACCTATTTTATTTCAAGGAAGAGGACAAGGTGGTAATAAACTGACCACTGCCAAATTACTCAATTATGGTGATCCATCAGACTTACGTGAAGTGATACAGTATTTAAAGTATACATACCCGAATGTGATCATATCAGTTGTCGGTATCGGATCAGGAGCAGACTTACTGATGTCCTATTGTGGTGAATACGGTTCTTCGTCGTATTTACAATCCGCAGTCTGTATCTCGTCCACGTTCGATTCCGAGACAGTTTATAGCGAGAAAATCCCAAAATTTTATGAAATTTTATATTTAAGTTATTTTAAAAGTGTGATAAGTAGGTATTTTAAGACGTTTTCAAGGATTTTAGACATGCGTCATGTGTTAAAAACGTGGTCTGTTAATCAATTTACAGAACAGTTTTATTGCAAATTATCTGGTGTGACAAATACGGAAGAATTTTGGGAAGATAACAGTCCACTTCGTGATGTAGATGAAATTTCTACACCAGTTCTGTGTATAAATAGTTTAGATGACCCAATGTGCTCAAATGACGTCATTCCCTTTGATCTATTTACTAGTTCACATTACATGTTTCTTCTTACTACAGACTATGGTGGCCATGCTGGTTTCGTGGACGGACCATTCTCAAAATCGTGGATAGCTAAATCTACAATTGAATATTTGAAAACTTTACTGGAATTTACAGCAGTTCAGAATGGTCATTCTTAGTGCTGCGCATATAGTGATATAGCTCTTTTATAGCTTAAAATATTTATGATATACTTCTGATAAACATTTATACTATGAAGGGTATTGTGCTCAAGTTTACAACTGGAATTATCTTTCGAAACTATCACCAAAATGCATTGTGGCATCAATAAGTTTCAGCAGTAATCACTGACCTGATTCAAAGACTTTTGAAGGAAATGGTGTAAACTATATTGGGGTATATAAGTGAAATATATTAGAATTATCATGTACTAATTAACCATCCCATGTTAATGAATTCATCTGAAATAATTTTTTCTTTTAAATTCTACTAGCTCGGAAGAGTTCGAACCAGGGTATCATTTATTATATTTTAAGTTTAGCAGTTTTGGCTGCAGTCCAACGTTGAGTACATCCTTAAATTTGTTGTTGCTTCATGTAATATTGATATCAAATATATATAAGAAATACACGGGGTGTTTCTAGAAAGCTTATCAATTAGGGCTTGCTAATTATTTATTAGTATAATAATAGCATACAGGAGGTAATCTAATCACAAAGGACTCAATCGACAGCACTCCCCTTTCCGCAAAGCTGTGGACCATAGTGAACTTGTTCCACTCGAGTTGGATCTTAAAGATGGGGCTGTAATGCTCTACTTAGGGTTTGGTTATCCTCAAAAAGAATTGTTACCTTTGGTTACATATTTATCAATTTCTGTTAACATTGTAAAATTATTCTACATATTTCTGTTGATATCAATACAGAAATCGTTGTTTTATAAACTTCATTACTTCACACTAATGGGACGATTTTTTAAAAAGAATTTCTACCTAAATGTCTCAACTTAATATACTTGAAAATTCAAGATTGCAGAGAGATAACCGACCCAGTCCTGAACCAGATACACCTCTCAGTATTTACAAAACACAGGAATCAAACTAACAAAACCTGTTACATCTTAAATATAGATCTACTCCTACATTATAAATAAATTATCACTGAATAGCTTATCTCCATTGATTTCATGTTTAACAACAGATTTAAATAAATAGTTAGATATTAAAGGAAAATCATTGCATTTCTGAATAAATTAAAATAAATTACCATAAATCATAATACATTTTATCGATTTATCAACTCATTATTGTGTTAAAAATGCATTGATACCAATTGTAATTCGAATAAAAATTGTATCGAGAAAATGTCACGTATTTGCATTAAGCCATCATTCATAAATGAAGTTAAACATGCATAGGTCATAGCATAAGATTACAAATATCTAATTTGGATTAAACTTGTTTCAAGTCAAATTTTTTAATATTGATGGCATTAACTGAATGTAGTTATACATATAAGCCTACTTTTGGTGTCAAAAAATCGCTACAAACTTTTAGGCTATGGAAAATGAGTCATTTTTGGTTGGCATTGATAATTGACTTCTAATGTATTAAAACTTAAACATTAAATTTTAATCACGAATTTGAACTTTTTTTTACATGTGATGAATGCAAAGTTGTTGAAATCTGTAACGTCTGTGTCAGTTTATTTGAGATCTCGCCAATATAAGCAAGGTTCTTCTACATCTGGTGTTCAGTTTATATTGTAAATGTTGACCACCGTACTATATGTTCGTATATAGATGATATACGTCCATATAATTTAGTACGCGCCTATAGATTATGTTGATTTGTTACTTTCTTGTTATCATATTGTTATTAAAACAAATTCTGAATATATAACGGGTTTTGTTATACACCTCTTGTGCCCGCAGCCTGTCGGTCGGTGAAACTCTTCAAAAATTCTAGTCGGCGACACAAATCGGTGACCAAGACTGTTCGTGTACACGCACCTGAATAATGCCATCGAAATAATCATATAGTCTAAGGTACGTTTTTATTGAACTGTTCGAAAACAGAACGTCGGATTTGAATTCTGACAGCGAAAAAGATAGCTGAAATCGATTATATCCCGTTAATCAGATCTATTGATATTATAATGGTCAAGATAGTGCAAGGACATTTTGACATATGGTCAACTTTATTCTTATTTTATCTCAAATATGAAATATACTGGACATTTTCTCTGTATGGAAGAGAGATATATTTTGATTCTCTTGATATATTGAAGATGTATTATCCAATTAAAGGAACAGTTATCAAACCTACACTTTAAATCAATAGACACAACTAATCTTAACAAGATAGACAATTGATTTGGTCATATTAGAAAACTACAGAGACCATATATAACAATAAATTTACATAAACCGACATCCTATATTAGTTTCTGTTTAGAACAGAAAACAGGGTCGTATTTCAGATTCAGATTCAGAGAGTGTATAACTACTTATCTGACCATCTTATGAGGTCATCGAGGCCCTTTTCAAATCGGGGGAGTGGTGGTTATGGTATTGTCAAATTAAAAACAATGTGATTGTCTTCAGTTCCCAGCTAATTTTTTTTTTGGCCGTGGCTATTCGTACAGCGACGGTACAGAAATGGTCATTAAAAAACATATGACCATCCCTAACTAATTCTAACAAAGTCACTTAAGATCATTCTTGACAATCAAAATGGCTTCACGACTTTAAAAAGAAACCAAACTCTAGCGCGTCCTATCTTATCCGAACCGTTGTTAGCAGTCAAGAGAACACGCATCGTGATGGTGCAAATAGCCAGTGCGAATTCTTTTAGTTCTTTTTGTCAAAATACCTGCTTTACTACCTGCTTTATAGAACTAGTGACTACCGTCTTAGGCTGATCCATTGAGGAACAATATACCATTCATCTATAAAAGGGGCACACAATATGGTAGAGCTAACAGTTATCTATAACAGCTATCAGAATTAGACTCCAATGTGCCGTTTTCCTACAATTGTTCATAAATCAAATGTGCGAATTAGACTATCCTCATGTCCAGTGCGTTAAAGACTTCCTTGCAGGCTATCATATGCACTGTCCCTCAAACAGGTATATGAATTATTCCTTCTTACCTCCCTAACAGAAGAAAAATGGAAACTTGGGGTACTATGTGGATTATCTTACAGGTTTTTTTTATTAACTCATTTCATGTTAAGAATGTAACGTGTTTAAACTTGTTGGTGTAAAATTTGTTGATAGATAGTGCCAGATGGCTTACCAAAAACACAGAAAAAAACATTTTAGAGTAATTTTTATGGAAGGAATTCTGAAACACATAAACTACCGTTAGTACCACCAAAACCAAAAGAATTAGTCAAGGCTATTTTTTTATCAAAATTTGATGTCCATTTCTCACTGTTTGTCCTTACATAGTTCAAATCACACCCAGTATCAACATTATGAAGATTGAGTGTTGGTGGAATTATACCAGTCTTACATGACAATATGGTGAAGATTGCTTCCACACTCCCAGCAGCACCTAGTAAATGTCCAATAGCACCTTTAGTTGATGAAACAAACACATCCTTATTTTGTGAATTGAAGAGTTTTTCTATTGCTTTAGATTCAGCAATATCTCCTAAATATGTTGAGGTGGCATGAGCATTGATATACCCAACATGGCTAGGTTCTATATTCGAGTGTTTTAAAGCAGACTTCATACACCTCAATGCTCCTTCTCCGTCTTCACAAGGTGCTGAAATATGATGAGCATCTCCTGACAGACCATAACCCATGATCTCTGCATAGATTGGTACCTGACGCTCCAAAGCATGTTCTAAAGATTCTAAGACTAATATTCCACACCCTTCTGACATAACAAAACCATTTCGATCTCTATCAAAGGGCCTTGATGATTCTTTGGGCCTGTCATTGAAGTTCGTACAAAGTGCTCTCATTCTACAAAAGCCAGCCATTGCCAGAGGCGAGACAGATGACTCTGTACCACCAGCTACCATCACATCAGCATCTCCATACTGGATCATTCTGAATGCATCTCCAATAGCATGTAGTCCAGTTGTACAGGCAGTTGATGGTGTATGATTAGGACCCTTAAACAGAGAAGAATGACTCATCTGTAGTCCGTATTGACATTTCCAACCATTACTCACAATAACATTACAAAACCCAAAGATACCCTATATTTCCAATGTATTGGCTGGTTTATGTTGGCATTGTGAATTCACCCAGATTTGGGTACATCCAGTTGGGCTAAGGGAGATTGATAACACTCTGTAGTTAACAATTAGACAAGACAGGAGCCACACTCTTCTATTTCACGTGCTTAGAGCCCAAATTACTTTTTTCATTTCTGCTTTCCAGAACTGCATCATTGACAGGAGAAACAGGTGGATAGATCAGTGATCTAGCTCCAAGTCCTCAGGATATTTAGCAATGGTCTAACTACCTGAGCCCTGCTTCTGATTAGGCAAGCAGAAAACTGTCAATCTTTAACACTACCCACCTTTAATCCAAATTTAATACTGACATGTCCAGCAGACATATTGGGTAATATGTTAGGTATAAAATGTGGTGTGACTCTTTTATATCCTTTCTCTCTTAATACTTGACCGACATTACATATTTCATCTAATGGTACCATTCCTGTACCAACAATTACACCTGCAAATATTGTGATAAGGGGCAGTTATTTAAAAATTATTAGTGAGCCGTTTACAATGATTTCAGACATGCTTCCATTACAAGTATAAAATGCTGTATCTATTGGAAGTGTCTACTGGCAGATACATAAAGTACTAGTGTCAACAAGAAAGAAAAACTGATCTGTGAAATATCAACAGCAAGTATGTTAAATAAATATCAATTATGATATAAGGGAGATAACTCCATTATTTACCTGATCTGTATTTCTCTTCCTCTGAATTAGGTTTCCATCTAGCCATGTCCAGTGCCTCTTCTGCAGCCACTAAAGCATAAGCTGAAGGCAGTGGAAGACCCCTTAATTCAGCTGGGGTCAAAAACTGTTCTAGGTTAAGTTGACCTTCATTCAAACCTTTTGGAACAATTCCTACAACTTTGCTTGGAATTGTTTGGAAATCTACAATTAAAAAAATACTTTTAATTCAATACCTGAAAAATTGCGAAATAAGCACACACAGTTACATGATTTATACAAACAAATTACTTATACATGTGCTCTAAGTAAAAATATTTCTTGCAAAACTGCCCAATTTAAACTTATTATCTGGGATTCAACCATAGCTTAAAACCTGCAAGAAATGATAAGAAAAACCAACCATCAGAGGTTAAGTTAGTGATGCCACATCCACCATTTACCAGATTCTTCCAGACATGTCTAACACCAGTTCCTAAACATGTCACTAATCCTAGCCCAGTTACAACAACTCTTCTACTACCAACTACCATCATAATGGTCTTCTAGTTCATCATCTCTTACTGAAAAAACAAAATGAAATAGGTTATTTGTCTTGCTTTTCTTTAGCTCATTGAACTCATGATAAGGGCAATTCCAACCAGTGCCATAAGGAAAACTTGGCAAGGCTAACTGTACAGTGTCTCATTACTGCATCACTGACTGAACACTTCAAGCTATTCAAAATCAAGGGCATCATTGACAACTAATTTCAGAATATAATCATATCAGTTATTTGCGTCTTGAAACATTTTAGGCTCAATTTGGAGTCAGGCCTGGGGTTTTCTAGTGATGAAAATTTTACCAGTGTCTTGTGCCAAAGTGAATGGTAATGACATGCAACTGAATATTTGATTTTAATTTCTTGATAAAATACTGAATAATCAATTCAGAAATTACAGGTTGACAAAGTGTTCAGAGTACTCAGAGACTGAGTGTAAGGACAGTAATTTTTACTGAGTAAGGTCAGTGAGGAGAGAGTGTTGTGTTGGCTTACAGTTGCAGAATCTTTTTGGAAAAGATGTCAGCAGACTCTACTAGAAGCGAATAATCGATAAAAAAAATATTGCAAAATGTCTGCTCTGAAATGTTTCAACATAACCCAAGGGCTGTCACCTTGCAAAAAAGAAAGAATTTAACATAATGTTTTAGGACTAATCCCTTGCTTGATAACTTTTAGTTTTACATGAACCAGCCATGTTAGTATTCTGCAGATAAATTGATGAAAACAAAGTTCGATTCTACAAAAATCAGGAATTTAAAGCAATATGATAATAGAACATTACGAATATACTTTTTTCTAATCCAACTATAGCCTTTAAGATAAAATAAAGTAATTTCTGATAAAACGAATGACAAATTTTATCAAATGGGCATTAATGATTTATTCACTTCGAGGCTATGTCAGGCGTCCTTGACCTAAGGATAGTTTACATGAAGCCAAGGTGACGAGTTATTTTTATCGATTGACAGTAAACCGCGGGCTTATACTAAAGAATTCAACTTTATTATTCATTAGAAGATATGACCACCGCATTGACAATGTTTCCAACCCCTCGCCCGGCTAGTGCGGCCTCAGAGAGAAGTCAGAAAACCATCGCAAGTGACTATAGTAATGACTTCGGATCTCAAAAGAAAACGGGTCCTTATTTGGAGGGGAACCTGAAATTGCTTGAAACTTTGTAAGTATATATTATTATACTAGTTTATCACATGTAACTATGAATAGAAGATGATCCATGTTTATAGGTAACACAATGTTAGGGCACGTTCATGTGTAAGCACTCCTATTCTTAGTCACACCCACCAATCAACTCCAGCCACTCATTCAATCAAGGTGTGTTTTTTGTTTATTAAATACAAATAAAAATCTTCTTTTGAATACTTGTGAAGTGACAATAAAATTCTATTCTGAGCTCCCTGGGGTCGTTGAGTAAATAATAATATCAAATGAATTAGCTATAAGGTTTACAAGTGGGAATGGAAAATAAGCAATAAAGTGCATGTTAGAAATTCAAAAGAAAACAAAGTTGTACAAATGATCATGTTTGACCATTGATACAATAATTAAGCTTATATGTTCTGAGTAGTGAAAGGAAATGTTTAGATATCTGTTAGGTGGGATTCATTGTGACAAATCAGCTCAACTAGTTTCTAAAGACATTCTTAAATATATTTTTTTGCTTTGTGTATGTCAAATCCTTGATTAATTTTTTTCTGCAAATGCAATATAGAGACCATGTCAAAGTCAAAGTTTTGGTTAATTTGATATTTGATATATAATCTTATACAATACAGAACTTGGAAAATTAATATATGTATAAATACTGGGATGCATATCAACTAATCAGTAATAAAGAAACATGTTTCAAAGACAAGTTTATCAGGAAAGAATGGAACTTAGTGAAGAAGCTTATATTTGAATACTGGTACATAATATTTTTGGTTTTCTCAAGAACCTGGATAACCGGTAACTGAATAAACCCAAAAATAAAAGTCTCATAAATAACTAATAACTACAAAAAAAATATCAATATATTTACATAGAGAGTCATAGATAACCTTTACTGACATATTTCAGGTTGACTACCTCTTTTATTAATTTATTATTAGAGAAGGGCTAATATTTCTACATTCAACATACATAGTACCTCATAACAATAGGTAATATGATAAACAAAAAAGTCAAGGGTAGTAGGGCTTACAGTTGAAAAATTAATCAATCAAATATGTTAAATTGAATAGAAAAAATAAAATGCCAAAATGAATCTTTGTTTGTCTCGTTATTATTAAGTCTAATTACAAAAGACATTCAAAATTTTGTTTTGAATTTAAATAACTTCAATTTTATTTATAATTTGATGTAAAAAGTTACCCGCAGAAAATACATTATATGCATACTCCTTTTCAGATTTTCAGATATTTTAGCTCGATAGCAAGATAAAGATTTTCCAATGTAGATATTATGATATTATTTGTAATATCTCCCTGTTAAAGGTGTTTCTACTAGGGTACCTGGATAACTATTAAAAAAAAACGTTTAAGCTTCAGAACATGCCCTTATTACCATCAATGTTTCTTCATGAAAGATAATAGTAAAAAATAAAGATTATTTATTGTCTGTTGTAGAGAATGTCCAGCTGATATAATGTGTTGTCGATTTAGTCCATCAGGAAATCATTTAGCTGTTGGTTTATGTGATGGAACCATCAAGGTGAGTTTGTATGTGAAGTGATGATGAATATTTGGTGAATTCTGTTATACATCTGAAGATTCATTATAATATAACTACAAAATGCAAATATGTTCACCAACTATCTTGCTAAATGAATAATTTCTTATTTTTATTAATGAAACTTCAGATATCTGTGCTTCTGGTTAGTGTAAATCTATATCTCTGTTTATAACAATCTCTTGATAACAATCTGAAATGGCTCAATGAGTTAGATACTTGCTTGCTAACCTTGCTGGCGAGGTCCAGTGTTCAATGCCGACCTGGATAAAGATAATACCTTCATACTTTTTCTGTTCCATCCCGTCAGTAATGCTGGTTGGAAGGAATGGCATGAAGTGTCTAGTCATTTGGATGGCACAATAAACCTAAGCCATTCTGCTACAGGCAGAAAAGTAGGAGGAAGAACTACATTCATTTCATTTCAATTCAATTTTTTATAACAATATAAAAATCTGGGCTGTGTAAAAACTTATCTTAATTTTCATTACAAGATTGCTTTCTTAATTTGAGGTGGCAGGGTCACCTATTTTAATTAACAATTCAAGCAAATGAAATATTAATCCATGAATAAAAAATGATAAATTTGTTTGTGAGAATAACAGAATAACTTATAAATGGTCAATAGAAGGCAATTGTGACATTTGATCTGTGTTATTAGATTTTGAACAAAAAATGTCAATAGTAGGTCTAAATGATTTGATATACAATAGTTTGTATTGTTAAGTGGTGTTTAAGGGTTAGAAAATATCTATTTGTGATTGATTACTATAATAGAATATTGAAGACAGTTGACCTCTCTTGGTTTTATTGGACCTGTCAAAAATACAAAGCAAATATTAGATTATATTACTTCATATTTTTTTTGAAAAAAAATATTAATTCTCAAGCACTATGTTGTACCTTGAAACTTGACATTGAATAATTTTTTTAAATATAATATTAAGTTACTAAAATCCAAACACAGTTATTGTTTGAATTCTTTTACAAAAGACATTGCAAGGTTTTGTACTGGAATTTATTTTGACATGCAATAATTATAGATAAAGCCTTTGACTTGAACAAACTCTGAATTATTGAACTCTTTTGTTTATGAGTTTAGATTTTGTTGAGTATAAGTGAACTTTGAATCAAGAGTCTTAAAGAAATCAATAGTTGATCTCTACTGATTGGAAATCAATACAAGTATTATGTAGATATGTTCAATTGATTAATAATATTAGGTGTTTATTGTTTAATTATGGTAATTAACGAGATAACGATGTGATTAACTAGTCATCAATCAACACCTACATTTCACTTATTGATCTTTACATTCTCTGTTTATTATCATTTTTTCAAATTATTCACTGCAATCTTGATGAATTATTTGATTCTAAAACATTCTGAAAATTTATATGCTTGGCTTAATATTGGTACTAAATTTTATGACATACAGATACTTTAGGGATAGAATTGGTTAGGGTAAAGGACATGAACATTTTAGCTCTAATAACACAATACATAGATTTGATACTGACTTATGTTACCATATATAACAGAATTGATATAAGAAAAAAGTTATTTAGAATTGTGTAATCAATACGACTTGAAAGCTTTGTCAACATTATTATACTACAGTCTTTCATAATCATTTATTAAACATCTGTTATTTAATTTTTTCTCCTGGACTGTAGCTAATATATCATGTACCGATATTTTACAGTTTATCTGATGGTTTATTATGCCATAACCTACATTATATATCATATTATTTTAGATCTATGCTGCCAATACTTATCACATACTGTACAGTTTATCTGATGGTTTTATATTTAAAGATCTAAGATGCCAATACTTATCACATACTGTACAGTTTATCTGAGGGTTTTATATTTAAAGATCTAAGATGCCAATACTTATCACATTCTGTACAGTTTATCTGATGGTTTTATATTTATAGATTTATCATTCCTGTGCCAGTACTTATAGCATACTGTTCAGTTTATCTGATGGTTTTAAATTTATAGATCTATGATGCCAACACTTATATCATTATGTACAGTTTATCTGAAGGTTTTATATTTATAGATCTATGATGCCAATACTTATCATATACTGTACAGTTTATCTGATGGTTTTATATTTATAGATCTATGATGCCAGTAATTATACATAATGTACAGTTTATCTGATGGTTTTGAATATATAGATCTATGATGCCAATACTTATCACATACTGTACAGTTTATCTGATGGTTTTATATTTTTAGATCTATGATGCCAATACTTATCACATACTGTACAGTTTATCTGATGGTTTTATATTTATAGATCTAAGATGCTAATACTTATCACATTCTGTACAGTTTATCTGAGGGTTTTATATTTATAGATTTATCATTCCTGTGCCAGTACTTATAGCATACTGTACAGTTTATCTGATGGTTTTAAATTTATAGATCTATGCCAGTAATTATAGTATAATGTACAGTTTACCTGAAGGTTTTATATTTTTAGATCTATGATGCCAATACTTATCACATACTGTACAGTTTATCTGATGGTTTTATATTTATAGATCTAAGATGCTAATACTTATCACATACTGTACAGTTTATCTGAGGGTTTTATATGTATAGATTTATCATTCCTGTGCCAGTACTTATAGCATACTGTACAGTTTATCTGATGGTTTTAAATTTATAGATCTATGCCAGTAATTATAGTATAATGTACAGTTTACCTGAAGGTTTTATATTTATAGATCTATGATGCCAATTCAACTAATACCGTACAGTTCATCTGATGGTTTTTTATTAATATAGATCTATGCTGCCAATATTTATCACATACTGTACAGTTTATCCGATGGTTTATATTTTGTAGATCTACGATGCCAATTCATATCACATACTCTACAGTTTATCTGATGAAGATACAACAGCCAATCGACTACCAGTTACACAAATCAGATTTCGTCCACACAAACTAGGAGATAAACCAGAATATGGCAACATCCTTATTGCCTCCTGTATGTTTTCGGGTATTTCTCAGATCTTTAACCATCTGGATGCATTTTGAACAACAGAGAGACAGAGATCTCAGCTTGCCTAACCTAAAGTTCTTGGATTTGCTGAAGAAAAATTTCTTACAAGGATTATTTTCAAGCATTTTAATGAAAAAATCAAATACTTATATAGATTTGTCCACCATTTTTAAACTCCCATGTCAAAGCAATTTGCTGTACTTTAACCCATTCTAATTATGCTAATCTTACCATATCTTTTGAGATGAAGAATAATTGCATTGGTGGCTTCCATTTTCAGATGCATCTGGTAACATCAAGTTCTGGCACTACACTTCGGGTAAATGTTTAAATACAGTAAATGAGAAACGACAAACTTTAGCTCTAGCTCTAAATCCTGATGGCTCACATATAGTTTCTGCTGGTGCTGACCCTGCTATGCATATTTATGACTTAGAAACAAAACAATGTAAGAGAACTTTAGAACCCAGGTTAGTTTTCATTTTTTTTTTCAATTACTATTATCACTTTTCAGTGTACCCTTCTGTCCATATTTGGAGTGATGGTGCCAGTAATGACTAAGTCTTCATTCAAATGTCATTCTTCATCTTTGAAATATATTTACCCAATCCTAAGCCTTGCTTATTGAGTCCTTTTTGTTGAGCACTACTGAATAACATAAAATATGTTTTTATATGATTTAAAGATGACTATTCGCACAATGTTCATTTGCATTCAACTATTTTGGAATTCAATTTTGAGAAAATTTAACCCTTTTATTTCAGTGATTCTCGAGATAAGATGGATGGTCACAGATTCCGTGTGTTTGCACTACAGTATAATCCTAATCATCCCAATATCTTTATCTCTGGTGGTTGGGATGATACAGTTCAGGTACATATTTTACACTTCTGGAGCAGGTTACCTCTATTTCCAAACCAGCTGTCCTAATCATATATTTTTTAACAGAAATACACATGTGGAGCATAAGATGAACCTATTTCTTAGCAAGCTATGTTATGCTTATCCGTGATCTGATTAAACAGATTTTGAATATTTCATGTGTAATATTTATGCAGTTTTTCTCTAGATCTTTCATTTTCTGCTTTTCAGTACTGGGATGATAGACAAGCACATGCTATTAGGTATGAGTTCATATTTCTTAACCTGTATATGTAAATCTCTTATAAACTCTAAATATTTGTATTCAACTTTGTATAATAGATGACTAGTTATCTCAATTCACATTAAAGACATAAAATATCAGACTTTGTTACATAATACCATGTATATTCAAAGCGTCTTGACCAAAATTTCTGTGTAGTCCATTGACAAATTTTATATCAATTTATGTTTCAGGCGATTAAATGGTCCTCATATTTGTGGAGATGCATTAGATATAGATCCAGTACATAATCATATATTAACTGGATCATGGAGAAAACATAGAGTGCTACAGGTAATCATTTGAAATAAGTATTTTCACTTTTAAAAGTGATGCAGATAGCTAATGCAATTCTCTTTGTGGTTAAGGCAAAGACTTAGATTCATTTAAAAGCGTTGAGCTTTGCATAGACAAATAAATTCAACTCCATAACATTTTTTGATTAATGAAATGAAGAATGTCCATGTCATATAGTGCGCAATGGAGGAAATTTTGTTAGTATGATAGCAAAAAATGAGTTAGCTTTATTTCATAGATATGGGATTTTGCTATGGGTGTTAAAATAAAAGATGTACCTCAAGATGCCCTGAACTCCAGTCAGCTATACTGTGCTCAATGGCTAGGTAAAGACAGTATTATCTGTGGTGGAACTGATCATAATATGGCTAGAGTTATTGATAGAGGAACTTTAAATGTAAGTAGATCCCAAGATCACATCCTTAAGTCCGTTAAAATTTATCTAAACAATAATATTACAGATTTTCCTAAACTAAATATCAGCTTCAGAATAGAACTGTGACTCTTATAAGATAAGAACACAACTTTCCTCTGAGTAATATTTTGTTGAAAATATCCAATGACTTCTTCTATGGACTGACTGTCTTGTTTTCTCATGAAAAACTCCTTCACATTTCCATTGTTGTTACAGACGACAGGTCAGTTAGTAGATTTACCTCAAGGTGTATATTGTATAGATAATGACCGACAGAATATACCACCTAAAATAGCCATTGGTACCAATCGTCACATCTTCCTGGTTAGAAACGAGAAGAAACCGCCATCTTAGATAGTACTGATAAACTTGTATCTATATTTCTTATAAATACTAAAAAGCATATTTATCAATTTTCAATTAAAAAAAGACCATATATGAAGTTTTCCTTACAAGATTGTTCTGACAGCCTTTATCAAATTCAACCAAACCCAAAATCCCTTGCCAAAAGAAATCATATTCAGGATTAGATTTTGTTGATTATAAAGTTTATGTCCAAAATTCTAATTAAATATAGCCTGTTTTTCTGGCTTTTCTAATGCTACCAAGGACCCATATTTCATGATACCTTTTGGCCCAAATATTATTTAACTCCTTTTGAAAAAACTGTCAAGCAGTTGATAATATTCACACAATCATCTATTATTGATATTAGAATGCCATCAGTGATAACTAACTGGTAGTGATGAGAACTGATCATCATATTCTAATTTTGAAAAGTGGTACAGATAGCTGTGTTTAAAACTAAAAGATTATTGTGATATTTGTTGAAAATTTAGAGAATATTTACTTGATGTTATATTGTATTATAATTTGATATTTATTAATGTTACATATGATGCCATGACATTAACTATGCAGTTTATGTTTTTGTTGTATTTTCCATTATATTGTTTTACAAATAGATAACAAATATACAGTCCTAGGTCTCATTTGTTATTGGATAAAATAATGTTGATATAAGAACTATAAGTTAAAGTTATAATCATTTGAATTTCATTTTAAAATAGTTCATTGCAATGCCAAGCAATGTAGGCCAACATATCTAAATTTCAATGAAATTAAAGACACTGTTAAGCCCACAACAAAGGGATAGTGGAATTATATTTAGTAAAACATGACCATTAACATATCATGATCATGAACTATGAATTGAATGATTTTGATGAGACTTATCAGAGGTTTTGCCTCAAAATAGATGATCTAAAATTCCTGCGATCATAACGGAAAAACTATTTAACTATTTGAAAATTTCATTCTTTGTTAAAATGTAAATTTAGGCTTGCATTATATTGTACCAAGTGTCAAAACTTGATAAATGACATATGGGGGTCAATTGCTTGTATAAAGATCAACATCGCACCACCAGGTTCAAATTTCAAGATGTATTTGTATAGTTTTTAGTTGAGTCAATTAAACTGCATTTCAAGTATGATAGAGGAGTGATTAGATATCAACTATTTAAAGGTTGATTTTGAGTACTTAGATACACATATTATAAATATAACTTATATAATATATTAAGATCAAATTGAATTTTTTGTTCTGCTTCTTTATATCTTTTTTTTTTTTGTCTAAATAATTAGCATTCCATTATACAACAATAATAATTCTATTATAATTTATTTCACAGACACCTAAAAAGACCAATCACATTATGAATTGTTTATTTAAATGTTATGGTTCAGAATGACCAATATTCCCTCCATTTTGCTTTGTTATTAAATTTTATCTCAGATATCTGTTTTTATCAAAATAAACTTATTTAACTAAATTAGTTTTCTCAAGTTTTTCGAGGATTAAGTTATTTGGTTTCTTTGTGGTTGAATTTTGATGCAAGCTGTCCTTTCTAAATTTAATCTACAGCATAATACTCTTAGCATGGCATGGCATATGTGCCAAATCCTCAAATGGGTTCTATGGGTAATACAAATATAGTGCTAAGAATTTATCACCATATTCAAAATTAATTCACATGAAAAATGGAGATGGCATTTAAATAAAAGAAGTAAATGTTTTTGTTGATTTTTAAATTCTAATAAACAATATGATTAAGAAACCACAAAAGTAGAATGTTCCAACTATTTCATAGATCATTGTAGCTAAATATACATTTGGCACATTAAATACATCAATTAAAGTGAATCATGCTCTAAATATGAACCATAGAAAAGTTCATATCCTTAGAAATGTTTCACTCATGAACTGGAGCATCATTTTCATCTAAATATTTCAAAATGACATCAAAATATTCTAGAATAATATTGTCTAACCATTTTGATTCCAAGTCAGAATCCAAATAACCACAGTGACCTCCCTTGTTAATTGTTAATAATACCATATTGTCATCCTGAGAGATTAATTCAAAGGGAATATTTTCCTTAACACATACAGGATCATCTAAACTGTTGACTCCTAAAATTGGTACTCTTATTTTATTTAAAGCACGCATAGGATTATTTTGTTTCCAATATTCAAGAGCTGAACTTTGACCTCCAAATTTAGCATAAACACATCCATCATATTTTGTGAAACTCCAAGCAGACATAGCAGTTTTAAAATCTACAGCACTCTCTAACATTTGGCGGTTTTGAGTTAAAATTTGCTTCAAATGATACAGTAGTATAACCTCATACACCAATGGTAGACAATTTGAAAATAAATCTACCATGTCATAGCCTGCTGCCACGGTAACACCACAGCAAACAATGGCATGATCTTCATAATCTCCTAAATATGACACTAGTAATCCTGAACCTGCACTAGCACCAGTCATCATCATTCTGGCTTGAGGATATGTTTTATGGATATGAAGAACAGCTTCTCTTAAATCTGCAGTCTCTCCAAAGCCTTGTAACTTTGGAGTTTTTAATATAGTATTACCATGACCTCTTTTATTAAAGACAATACACCTGTATCCTCTTTGACTAGCTCTGAGACAGAAATTACTGCAAGTTGAAACACTTCCTGTTAATGTGGGTAAGACTACAATAATAGGAGCAGTTGGTGGTAGTATTGGTCCTTCCTCTACCCAATCAAGTCCAATTGTACCTCCATCAACAAATTCAATATATTCCCGTCTTGTTTTGATTTTAGCTTGTTGAACAAATGATCTAAGTACAGTTTGTACATGAGTATTGCTCAACAAAATCGGTGGTTTAAAATGATTTGATTGGTCCAATAATTTACAATTGTCTACAACATAATTACTGATTTTATTTGATTTATAGGTCAATCCAACTTTATATTTAGTAGTTGTTCGTTGTTTTAAGTACCAAATAATTAAGGATCCTATGACAATTCCACCTGTTATAAGGTATGAAGGAGTAACAGCATTCAAGCAGGCAAACATCTTCAATACCAATCTTTATCTGAAAAAATAAACACTAAATATTTTTATAATATCAAACTTTACCACTTAAAATAAACAAAAGAAATCAAATTCAATTCAAATAAGTTGAATGCATTCAGAAAAAATTTGATTTTTCCATAGGGTTTGTAAATTCAGGGTTTTCTATAACCTGAATTACTACTCTCTTTAAAAACTTCAGTGTAGCTTTAATTTTATCCTTGTTTCGTCACAGCTACTGACGCCTTTATTTACAACCCCAGAAAGCTAACCGGGTGTTGTCCCTACAGCTGCTGTAAGAAAAGGTAATTAAATTCGTCTAACCATATTACATATACCGTATATTTTTATATTATCTTACATAAGAGTTGTTATTAGTGGATAGTGATAATGACAAGCCGGTTGTGAACTCTGAACTTCACTCGGCTGCCAAACCCATGGCTCGATATTAAAATGACTTGCAATTTCAAGTCAAGGATGAAATTAAAGCTATCATGTACAAAATGGAATTATATGTAAAGAAAAATTCCGAGTATTTAGATTGCATATTTCCTTGACAGGTAGTGACCTCTAGTGGTTAGAGGACTGGAAGAGGAGAGGCATGCAAGCGCCACCTGTGTATTGTTGTTATACTGTGTTTTGTAAAGATATAAAACGTTAAAATAATAAGCTAGCTCTTATAACTGGGCCATTAAATGAAGATATTTATCAGTGGACGTATCTTGTGTCATAATGACAACTATTATATTTATGATTGTCTTCTTTGATTTTAATTCATTTTATATTAACAACACATTTAAACACATCTGTAACCCTCTGACTATATAGTTGCTTTGCCAATTTGTCAATAGTTTTTTCATTTCAACTACCCTAATCTCTTTGAACCAATGAATCCAAATAACTAAGTATTTATCCATAAAACTACACAAAATTATTGAAAAAGCTTAACAATTGTGTTCATTAATAACATAGTTTTATGGATTTTTTGGATTCAACAGGGATTCTTTTGTATGATAGTGACACCATATAAGTCCACTGATATATATATGCCGAGATGTTCATTCTTAGAGGTAGTATTGTTGTTCTTTAGAATATTAGAATGAGTGGTTCTGACATCCCAGCTCTGGTGTCTTGTGAATGGTTGAAAGATCAGATAGACAAAGGTTTACCATCTAATATTGTGTTAGTAGATGTTTCTTGGTCCAGTAAGAAGAACTGCTACGACGAATACAAAAAGTAGGTAGATTTTAAAGTGACCAGCCGCGAACATTGAGTCGGTATAGTCAGTTCAAAACCATCTTCACAATGTCAAGTTAATATAAGACAAAGTTTGTAAAAGCTTGACACAGTGAGGATGGTTCAAGACCTGCTTGGTATATCTCGAGAAGACATAGCTATAGCATCTTTTTTAACCATTTTACCATCTTCACAATGTCAAGCTATTACGAACTCCGTCTTATACCTTGACATCATTAGGCACTTTTCTGGTGTCATAAACGTTTCCAAATTCTAATGTGGTTTGATTGTAACTACTAGTTCTCGTCTGCAATGATATACGGAGAGGAGATCCTTTTCAGCCGCACTATCAGCTGGTGATCTAAATAAGCAGATTTCTTCTTTATTTCTTTACCTATCCAGTGGACATATTCCTGGAGCAGTTTTCATAGACGTAATGGAAGCAGATCATACTGATCTGTATCCCAGAAATATTCCATCAATCGAGGTGTTTGAAAGGAAGGTTCAAGAAGTTGGTATTGGCAACGACAGCCACGTTATTGTTTACAGTGATACTGATAATGCTGGTTATTTCATGTCTGGACGGGGTTGGTGGAATTTTAAGGTTTGCATGATTTTGTTAGGCTTAATTACTCATACGAAATATCGTTTACAGTTGACAGTGCAATAGCACTTTTAGAATGACGTTTCTTCTTTGTAAATTTCTTTCCTTTGAAAGGAGAGATGGGGGCGAAGCCGGGTCAATCTGAGTGTATTCTGGAGAAACATCACTGAACTCACCAACTTACTGTAGATATGCATAGTTGACTATACTTGCAATTATAGTACAAAACATAGATTACATCCGTTGGCTTCATATATAGGATTTTTCTCTTTTAATTGCAAATCTCGTTCCTTTTACGTAGATCTTTGGACATGATAAAGTATCAATATTAGATGGTGGATTACAGAAATGGAAATCTCTAGGTTATCATTCGACTGCAGACATTCCCAGTGTACAGGTACAAATAATAGTCAACAATTGCTATGGGTGTTTATGCAATAGAACATTGCAATACAAACATGTTTGTATGTGCTCTCAACACTTGAAAACCATTTCAGTCTACGTCTATTCACGTACAATAAGAACTATTTTCTGGTCATATTTCTGGATATATATCTGCTCACATTGCTGATATTTCAATTGAATTCCCGGATTACTCTTTTTCAGAAAGGACTATTTAAGGCAAAATGGAATCCGAAATATTACAGGACCCTTGAAGATGTCAAGAAAAATATCAATTCTAATGAATTTCTTGTGTGTGATTCTCGACCATCTACATCCTACCTTGAACAAGGTTTGTCCAAATTCAAATTCAAAGTGATGAAGGTGATGTGCATTGATATCATGTGGGAATGTTCATGGTCCACAGTTAGGAAATAATTGCAAAAACTGCTGAAATTGAGTTGAAATATCAACCGGTTTTAAGACTATAAACTATATTCCTTTAAATGAGTTGAAATGAGGTTTCTAATCTATGTTGTGCTTCCCGTAATTATCCAAATGCTTAGACCCACAGACTTCTTGACTGAAAATTAGAATGGTTCAAATCGATGCTATCAGTGTCCCCGATACCTCTTTAGAATCCCTTTCATTCCTGACAACCTTTTACTATCCATTTATAATCTCTGCAGGTCATATGCAAGGAGCAGTCAACGTACCATTTGGAAACTTGGTGAACAAAGAAACATTAACACTGAAATCCCGCGAACAACTTCTACAAGGTAATTATGGCGATAGGCTCGTCAGCCCTGTCATCTTGATTCATCGTCATGATCATGAGGCTCAGTTGTCTTTTATGAATCAAAATGCCCAAATTCTAGAATTCACCTTGATACGATATATTGAACTTTGATGAGTCTTGTAATCCCTTCCTGACCGTATTCGTCATGACCGAGTCGTCTGAGTGTTGTTGACGAGTTTTTCAGGTTATTGACAATTCGACAAGGTGACTGAACAACCAGGTTGATCAAGATTTCATCTCCTTTCACAAAGACGAATTACTGATAACCAACCTGAACATCACGATCACAGAGGCATGAAAAAAGAGTCCCTGGCGCACTGTCAACTCACATTATTTATTTTTCTGTTATAATTTTTCTTTTCTTTCTTATTAAGAAATGAAAGCGTCTGGAATGGATTTATCCAAGCCTGTGGTAACTCATTGTAATGGTGGAATGTCGTCTTGTACCTTAGCCTTTGTTGCTGAACTATGTGGAAACCCAGACGTCGCTGTATATCACGTATGTAGACCTTTAGATACATTTATGATGCTTAGTCAGCGCTGTGCTGCATCGAAATTACGCTAGTGCTCTGCAACAGATTCAGCTTTACGGAAACTACCGAGGATTGCCGAATGGTGCTGCATATTCGTCATTATATCGCTTTGATCCTGCTTATGATAATAAAATTACCTATAAGAAACTACGTATGGCCTCCGATTATTTTAACTGTTTAACTGTTAATATTTTCAGGGAGGTTTTACTGAATTGAAAGCAAAGGCAACCGATTGTATCAAAAAGTAATTTGCAGTACGCCTACATGAAATATAGGCTACATGTTTAAAAACACAATCTTACCAACGAAGCTGAATTTGCCTGATCGTGCTCTACATTTCTTATACTAATATACTTTTTTTTCGGTCATAAATCTTAATTAAACATGGGCAATGTCTCAATATTACCTGTAGTTAAAATAAAATTGATAATAAAATAGGTTGACTTTTAATATCCCTTTTCAGACTGATAATTTGTCATTCTTTGCCCCGACCCTTTGTTCATGCTGTAAGTTCAACTTCCTAAATTATATAAGAGATATGTAGCAGGCGCATAAATCGAATCAAATTAATTTATGCAATATTTAGATAGTAATGTTTCTGTTTGGGTCTTAATCTGGTTTGGATTAATCCGAACTCCGAATATTGTTTGGTAGAAGTAAATTAAAGCATTCAACAGACAACGTAGCCTCTTTGATTTATCTCAGGACCTAAGCTAGAGTTATTGCATTTGCTATTGCCTTCTCTAACTGCAGCAAGTGTCATTAAGTTTCACTGTAGAAAAGTAGAGCTTAAAAATGTTAAAACATTGGCATTGGACCACCAACCGCATTATGTGCCTCTTCGGCATTATACACCTACCTGTACGTGGTCATGCGCATTGTCAAATTTTTATTGGGAGTTATCTCCCGTTGGTGGCTTCCGTTGGTGGCTTGAAGAAAATGGAGCCGAAAATTGTTTGCAAGAAATAATTTATTATTTTCAACTAAAAAACATACCGTCAAACATATCTTTACAACCTTAATTCACAGTGCATTGTGTTCCACTTTGTGTATAGAATATTGTTAGACAATGGCGTCCGCTGCCGCAGCCCTTTTAGACGAATTAATGGGTAGAGATAGAAATCTCCAACCAAGTGATCAGAGGACAGAAACACGTTGGGATGACAAGGACGTTTGCAAGTATTATTTATGTGGATTTTGTCCCCACGAACTTTTTGTCAACACCAGAGCTGATCTTGGTCCATGTGATAAAATCCATGATGATGCCCTGCGTAAAGAATATGAGAAAAGCACTCGATATCAAAAATTGAATTATGAAGAGGAATTCTTTCGTTTTCTCACCACCTTGATAAACGATGTTGAAAAGAGAATTCGTCGTGGACATCAGAGATTGGCATTAAATAATCAACAGGGATCATTAAATGGCAATGTGTTTGGTGGAAAAGAAGATAAAATAGAAATGCTGACCGAGAAAATCAATGAACTGGTAGAAAAAGCTGAACAACTTGGATGTGACGGGAATGTGGAGGATGCTCAAGGAGTTATGAAGTTGTGTGACCAGCTGAAAGAAGAAAGGAGACAGTTGGAGGAAAGTGATGAAGCCAACAATCCCCAAATGAAACAAATGGAAGTGTGTGAAGTTTGTGGTGCATTCCTTATTGTTGGTGACATGAAACAAAGAATTGATGAACATTTACTTGGTAAACAACACATGGGGTATGCTAGAGCCAGAGCGACCGTGGAAAAAATGAAAGAACAGATGAAGAAAGATGTTGATGAAAGAGAGGCCAGAGAAGCCAGACTTCTGAAGGAAAGGGAAGAACGAGAAAAAGAACGAGAAAAAGAGCGAGAAGAGAGAAACAGAAAGATGAGAGAGGAAAAGAAAGAAAAAGAGCGATCCAGATCTCACAGATCACGAAGCCGAGATAGATCTTCCTCTCATCGCCGTAGATCTCACAGTAGAGACAGGCATCGAAGGTCACGAAGCAGAGATAGACATAGATCGTCCAAGAGAAGTCGTAGCAGAGATCGAGATAGGAAGTCTGATAATGATCGAAGCAGAAGATCACCACACAAAGATAGACATAGATCTCGAGATAAAGACAGAGAAAGAGAAAGGAAATCTGAGGATAGAGAAAAGGAGAAAAAGAAAGAGAAAGAAGATAACTAAACTTTAATCTGAGCAACATATTAAAAGATAACTGTTTTAGTACCGGTACCAATTCCTATACTCTATCTGGGAAATACACATGACATTTCATCTTGAATGGTCCAGTCTACCAGTTGACAATGTAAACAGTACAGATATAAAAGATACAGAAAAATATGAGGTATAACGTTAATGCCATGTTTCCAATCATAAACAATTCCAGAGAGTAAACTTATAGATTGATTGTATTCTCTGACTAAAAGTTAATGAATACAAGTATTAGTTAGATTCATTCATTTGTGAATACATTTGATTCATTAACCAAACTCGGATTATAATCACTTAGTTGTTGATAGTGGTATAAGAATAGCATTGAACTTTTGATCTTTTGCTTACTAAACAAAACAATAATATTTTTCACATGCCATTATTTACCATTTTTGGTTAGTTTTTAACTGGTTTAGTGCAAAGATGAAAGTTGAAGTTTCAGTATAAAATTATCAGATATCATCAGCTTGATATGATCCAAATTTTATTTTATTAGTTATGTGAATATTTCTTGAGAGAATTTATAGTCTTGAGTCATTGTCACTATGTTTTGGACCATGTGTTAGCTTGTTCCTTATTGTGGAATTTTTGCAGAATATATAATTTTGTATAAAAAAAAAATTTATGTTTTGAATGGTTTTCAAACATGACACTTCTGAAGTTAAGACTGATAATTTGAATAATCAAAAAGCCAAAAAAAACTTCTTTGTATTGAAATCAAAGGCTTGATATCTGAAACATTTGAATGTCAATGTGTTTTTAAGTACATTATTGGCTTACAGTTGTTTTGACTGTTCAAAAATTATGACTGAGTTGGTTCTGTATGTCTGTTCCTGACCGAAGTATATTTTTCTTCAATAATTTCATATTTTAAAAATTTTGATTAGAAATGTCTTCAATTTGTTGAAATTCTTGTTGTCTTTTTCTTTTTATGTAAATAAATAGCTATAGTTCTACTAATTGATTTGTTTCTAAAGGGTTGTCAAGATGCTAAATTTAATAATTCATTCAAAATAATCTAAATCAAAAATTACTCAATTTAGATTTTTTATAACCCTTCAATATTTAAGTATCCAGAATAGTTATGAAGTTTATCCAGAGGATTCATTCTTTCATTATAGGTTATAAATTGTCAATGCTGCTGTCTAAAGGTGTAAAAACCTTCAGAAATGCTGTTTTGTGAAGCAAGGCAACGTTTCCACGTCATTTGAAATTAAAATATATTGAAGGTATACTATGAACCCATTAAACAAACACAAGCCCTAAAATTCCCATTAGTATTGGCTGCTTCTGCAATCTGATTAAAATGCTGGTCTAGATGTTTTATTTTGTTTTCTTTCTGCAGGTGACTCCACTTGCCAATCCTAATCTGACAAAATTGTTATGTAATTTGTCACATCATGAGTGACGTGTAGTCAACTGCAGAAAAACGTTCTAGATCGGCATTTTAATTAGATAAGCTGATGTTGCTGCAAAATGAATTTGCATTGATGGACATGCTTATCTATATAGCAGTTATAGAATGGAAATATTGAGAGGAAGGCATCTTTGAAAGCTATTTCTTTTATAAATTTTAGTTTTCAGTTAAAAACAAACTATGGAGAAGGTTACATGATAGTGTAAAAGGATTTGAAATACATTAATGAATAAAAGCACTTCTAAAGTTTGGATATTCATCAGAAGTGAGGCATTTGCATCCACTATGCTACGGCCTTGAGGTAAAGGAAGCTTGCATTACCTAAACTGATAGTGTGAGATTGAATCAGTAACTGATAAGTGTGGGGTATCCTTAAAGAAATAGCTTCAAAGATAAAATATGGCTTGTACTAATCATTGCTTTTGTTCAGGAAGAAGTTAAGACCAGATGGTGGTATATGACATTGATGGATGCAATGAATACCAGATGAAAAACCTGACTTTTAACACCAGGTATAATAATAATCGATATTTATTTTAATAATTAGATTCATGGTGGCAGAATACCATACCAGTGTGTCCATATTTTTGTATTTTGTCATTGTCATTGTCCCTTATGAATTTTATTTGTTTTCATTTCTGAAAGCAATGGGCCAAGCAAATCTGAGAGGAATGTTCAAACATCACCACAAACAGACCACTTTATTTGTAGATAGTTGGACAGTAATCACAGTATAGGTCTTGCTTGTAAAGCTTCATTTAGTGTTGATGGACCCAAGAACAAAATAGACTTCTCTTGTGTATTTTACCAAAAGCTTTCTACGAATTTGTACACAAAACTCTTTCTGACAGTATAGTATATTGTACATAATGAAATCTTTGATGAAATATTCATATTGGCTTTGGTTTTGGTCAAATTTATAACAAATTAGGCATTCACTTGCATACTTTCACTTGATATTTTTGAAGGGCTATAGAGTTATTGCCCTTTATTTAGCCTAAGGTGCCTAAATTTGATTCACCTAAAGCTATGATGACAGGTGGTAGTCATTTTTGAGGTGTCATTGGGAAATAATGAGATAAGTACAAAAAAATACCTAAAACTGGCTTTATACCTCTTAATCAGATAATTTTCATTTTATTTTGTTTGAGTTTCATGATTCGTGATTCATGATGTATTTTTTTTCAAAATATTTTTTACGTTTTGTTTATATTTTCTTCTTTGTATGATTGCTCCCAGATTGTTGAAGTTTTCATGAAATGCTACAAAGATCATGTATATTATAACAATGGTATTATGAAGTAAAGGTATTAAATAAGCTAGAATTTGTATTCAGTTCTCTATTCTGTACAAATGGTGGCTATGAGCCAAAATGGATTATTTGCTGGATTAGCACAGTTGGATCATTACCAAGATTTGATTTATTATATACATGAAAATAGCAAAAGTAAAGCCATATCATCAAATATATATAAGGTGGATAATATCATTTTTTCCATCAAATAAAGCCCCATATTGGACCCCTGCAGTAGTGGAAGTGAAGTTAGCCTATTAGTTTCCAGGCCAATATTAAAATGTTTTCAATCAGTTTTCTAAACTTTCAACTGTCTATGTGACACTGATGGAACATATATTGGCACCAATCAACTTGTCAATCAAATCCTAATAAAAAGTTTGATATTTGTTATATATTTAGATCACTTAACAATGCTTTAAAGGGACCGGTGCGCCATTATGGGGGGATGATTTTAGCATTATTTGTATATGTAAATAGTCTTCAGAAGTACTAGAAATGTATGAACATCGCAAAAGTATTCTAAATTGACGAGTCATCATTTTAACATTCAAACACAGATAATCCTGGACAAACATGGATTTGAAGGTGAAAATTTCAACAGTGACCTGTGAATACTATTTCTGATTGGCTTAGCTTAAAAAAATCAGGTTTCTGAAACTAAAGTATGTTTGGTTAAAAAAAATGGCGCATCTGTCCCTTTAAGTGTCCCTGATACACAGGTTAAGTTTAGAAAGCCTCTTTAAAATTCCATCAGCTTTTCCCCATATTTATATTGATGTTTTATTGATATTGATTCTTGGCATAACATGTATATAAATGTTCTTCAGTGTTTGTTAGTTAAAGTGCTTCAAGAACGCAGTTAGAGATATTACTTATGACTTGTTGCAAATTGAACATTCAAGGGGGACATGGTTGGTGAATGCATCTAAGTCATTGCATATCAGATATCCAGAAATACCAGGCCACAAAGAAGGCAAAACATGGTAGTAAGTGTAAGAATTGGCAATGTTTGATTTATTTTTAACATGAACAAGTTTATATAGAGTAACAAATTAACAAATATTAAAAAATAAGCTTTATAAATCGTTAACAATAGAAATATATATCATAGCTTGAGGCTGTGTATATCATATTGATTATAACAAGCTAGCAATAAATATCATATAACTACAAAGGGAACAAATTCAATATTGAATCTGGTAAAGAACAGCACTAGTTCAAGTCAAATTGCTCACTGTTTATATACTGTGGAAATATTTGCCAGTTTGGGAATGGATATGAATACCCTTGCAGAATTCAGTGGAAGGCAAAATCTTTGGAAGTGTTTCAATTTGGGCTCAAAGACGAAGATTTTACTATAATAATGATTCGTTGTGTTTTTCTAATTTACTAGCAGCTAGACTATCTAGAGCAAACACTGTATCTTTAGGTGAAGGACAGCCACCATGTTCTCGTGCTGTTGGACTAGTTTGAAAGAATGTTTCATTGTAGACCGCCTGACATCCATAACAGGCTGAAGTGTGAGATCTGAAATATGCAATTAACGGATTATACAAACAATTAAAAGGTCATACAAAACAAAATAAGAGTTCTCAGAGGAGTAGTGCTAGCAGGATATATCATATCTATGAATCAATACATCACGATACGACATACTAATATAATAGATATGAACTTCCTGATTGACATAACATTGTAAACCAATGGTGTGTGTGTTTAATTTCACTTTTACAATTTATTTAGAAAACATTCTCACCTTAGAAGAACTTGTGTTGTTGTTTTAGAAGAAAGAAAACTATCATGTATTTTACTGGCTGTATTTATAAATTCGTATCCCACACTAGATATTGGTTCTAGTGTATTTCCTAAAATATGAGATAGAAAAACATACTTTAATATGATTGGCTGTCAAGCACAATTTTCTTTTGAAGTAAGATAATGAATCATGTCCAAATAGGCCCACTTCTATAACTTATTAAATATAGATAACTTATGGAAAGTGCTCCAATTCAAACTAGAGATTCGTTTTACACTTATGTATACATATACTCAGTTTTATCATCTTTTTATTTCTCTTGTGTAATCACTTTACAAAACTGACATTTTATAAATTGACTAATCAATAAACTTCTTCAAATAATATAAAAACAAACCTGACATAGTCTGCATTAGAGAATCATATTTGAGATACTGATAATTCTCACTAGTTTTAGATGTCTGAAATGAATTTATTCAAATTTTTAAACAACTTAATTTCAATTCTACTAATTTTAGCTCACTACAATAATATTTTAATCTTCTTTTTTTTGATTTGAAAAATGTTTGTAAAATGATGTTGAAATCCCTTCAAGTTCTCCATTATTGTAAGCAAACTTAATACTTTATCGCAGTTATGTCCTTTAATAAATTTATTCCAATATAACCCACCTTCCTATCTCGCTTTTCTTTTGATAAACATTCTTTAACTTCATAATCTAAATCAGCCAGATGTGAAACTGATGACTTCCACTGAAATGTTACAAAATCAATATTTATTAATCCTTTTTTGCATCTACATGAAATGTGGAGCATAATATTGTTGTATATTGTGGATATCCATGGATGTCAGTTTGTCAGCCCTTCGTTCTTTCCAAAATTTCTGGCAAAATTACTCGCGGGCTGCAGCAGAAACATCATAGGACCCAAAAAAAAAAAAACGAAAATATTTGACATGAGTTATTTCTGTCACCATTTAAGACATCTTTGCTTTTAGGTAGCAAACACTCTTGAAGACTCAATTCCTTGTTCTTTGAACATAGTCAATTTTTAAAAGAAATGTATAAATATTTTATGCTTATGATGGCCACCGTTTCTCCTAATCCTAATTTAAATAAACCTGCCAGTGTTACCTTCACTAGCAATCTTTCATTTTCTTTGACGTTTAATTTCCATGACAATATGGATCAAACTTCTGGCTCACTGCCACATGTATAAAATTATTCGACAGGTTAGAAAAATAGGAAAAGTACTCACCAAATTTGTTATGAATTTCTGTTCACATTTTGTTCCAATCTCGAAAAACAATAACATCATCATATCAGAGTGACCTTGAGCATACAACACAATATCTGCAAGGTCATCTGTTGCTGGATCCCAGCCTTTGTTTTCTTCAGCTCCATCACTAGTGTTCAAAGGTGATTTGGTCTTTGAAAATGTGACAGATTTTTTCCTTACAGGAGGTGGTGACATAGACATAGATTCTAAAGATGCTAATGAATCAGTTGTTGAGATGCCAAAAGCCTCTGTATTCTGAGTTTCATCTGATGTAAAAGAACTACCACTACTTTTAATGAACTTATTTTCCTCCTCATCTGCTATAACATCCAGGGCAGTGGGAACAACTGAGCTATTAACAACTGTTGGTTGCTGAAACTCAATAGAATTAACTATTCCAGAATCACCATCGAATTGCACAGTTTTGCTATCTGACTTAGAAGAACAAACCACAGCAACATCAACAGAATCTTCAGTTGCTATGGAAGGAGATTTAAGATCTGTTGGGTTATTTTTATTCCTATCACTAGAAACAACCTCAGCAATTTGTTTGGTGTGAAGTGAAGTGGTATTACTTCCAAGTCCTATGTCACTTTGTTGAACAGTGTCTTGATTCGTGACCATCTGCTGTGTCTTAAATAACAATTTCGCATGTTTTTTAACCTCTTGAGGATCAACACAACTTTCTCCCATGGACAAGTCCTCAGAAGATGTTGTATCCAATGAAACATCTTGTCTTATTGGACTTTGTTCTGGTGTAAAAGACAACTTCAGTGAAGAAGAAGGCATGCAGGTGTCCACAGAATCTACTTTTGTTTTTTCAGTCCCAGAATTCCGACTACTCACTGGAGATGAAAAATTGACATTTTCAGAAAAATGATCTAAATTCTGACTGTTGTCTAAATTTTGTGGAGAAAGACAAATAACACTATTTGTATCTTCATTGACAGGAGAGTCTGCATCTGTTACAGAAATTATTTCTTTAGATTTCACTTCTGCTTTCAAATCATCACCATGACTAGAGTCCAGACTGCTATCTTTCTCAATAAATGCTAAAGTTTGTTTTAATAAAGGAAGAGAACTGAAATGATCCTGTTTTTCAGTGTCTTTCGTGTCATCCTGATCACTGGCAGTAAGAAATGAATCAGACTCTTTATTTACTTCTGATTCAGTTCTTAGTCCTCCACCAGATTTGTCTGTTTGTTCAATATTTTGAGATTCATTTGTTTCTACAGTGGCATTCTCTACTCTCTCCAAATCTTTTTGTTGACCACTATCACATTCTAAGAAAGAAATGCCTTCAATTCCTACAGATTCTTTTGAGATTATGTTTAAATCTCTGACAGAATGTTTCTTTCTCAAAGATGAGCATTTTCGTGGACTGATATGTTCATACTCATCAGTTTTGAGGAAAACTTTCAATAACTGAATACCTTGTGGAAGTTCAAAACCTGCGAAAGTAGAAAATAATGAAATTTACATGAGGATATTATCAGCAATTAAGTATTTAATTTTTTTTGGAAAAGACATACATTTAAAATGAATGTCGAAGTCCTCTGAAATCTGTGGAATCTGATTTGAATAATCAATTATAAAGCAAACAAACTGGTATAAAATACACTTACTGGTTTTGACTTGAGCTCTTGTTATCTGAAGGAAAAAAAAAGTCATCAATTAATTGTTGTTAACCTAATCAAACCATAAATTATTCCATTTTAAATTCATACCTGTGTTGCTGTAAGCCGTTAGTAATATGACTTACATCACTGACTGCTAGGACGCTAGGTTACATATATCATGCAATTTGAACATTTTGAAAGTGTTAAATTGCCGCATCACACATTCAATCTTCATAAAAAAGATAACAAGTTCACTAGTGGCTCAACTATATGAGTGGGGACCTCTGGACTAATGTGGTTTGGGGCTCCTCTCCCATGAAAGTTTTTTTAACATGTGCTCTCCTGCATCTGCATTTTTTTCTTGTCCCTGTTGTAGTTGAGCCACTGAAGTTCACTTACATGTGTTTGTCTAGGTTTTAGAAGTAGAAGACGTTTGGTTAGGTTTGGTGGTAGTTGAGAACATAAACATTGATTACGGTATAAAATAGCTCCTGCTAGTACGTTGCTATATAATACTGAACGTTGTAATATATGGGAAGCATGTAGAAACAACTGGCTACTGGACTATAAAACATTAATATACATAAGTAAAATAAAAACATATTTTCACTGTTAAAATAGTGCTCAATACATCAATTGTAAATATAAAAATATTAAAGAGAACCTGAAAAAAAAACCTGTTGTTACTCAGAGTTTCACGCTATGTGATATTCACACAACGGACCTATTTTCAGTCTGTGTCTGTAGCAAACTGGCTTCATTTTATTGTACCAAATGTCAGCTCCTTGTAACTGTATCACTGAAAAGCAGAAACTGGGTGGAAAAAACTCTGCAGACCTTTGGGTCAGCCAGCGAGCGTCTAACTAAGCCCCACTCTTTAAAATTAAAAATTGGAACATTTTCAGAGGAAAGATGCCAGGGAAGATATACTATAAAACCGACCTTTGGTATATTAACAGTTGGAAGCATTTGAAACATCTGACCAACTACATCTCCTACATTCTCACAGAATGGTAAATATATATCCCATAATAGTTTTAAACCAGATAAAAACTCTGTTCCTAATTTCTGAAATCACAGTGAAAAAATATTATATCTTTACAAAGAAAGAAAATAAAACCTTTATATTTAACCACAGCAACAACTTAAGTAGGATCTGAGGATCTTAAAGCAAAAGTTCTTCGAATTGTTCTATATCTACCAATGTCGAGCCTTTGACTCTCCATTTTACCAAAGAAGCTAAGCGAATGACGTAATGGGAAATCAATTACTTGCCTCCTTTAGAGCATCTAAACTGCCTTGATAAAATATAAATGTGTCTAATATGAAATCTATTTGATTTTCTAATGATGAATCCGGATGAGATTTCTTTCCTCCCAACCCCTGCAAATAAAGATAAGTTATTAAAACTGATATGTTTGTATTTCAAAACATCTTTTTGCAGGCCTAATGCAATTTCAAAATTGGCTGACCTAAATTTCAAACTACTGAAAGCTAAGGTAGAGTTTAATATATTTAATTCTGAGTTCTGTTATCACTATGTCTTCAGAGTTTTGTAAATTGCTCAACCTGTCAGTGATGCATGTAACCATTTGTGCTACAAGATACAAGATAAGACATACAAAGGCTACAATACTTACAAAAGTGTAGTCTCCCCTCTGTCTTAAAACAAATTTATTATGATGTAACTTCATGATATTAGGTCGTGATCTAGGTATAGCATTATAGAAGAATTCTGACATTCCAATAATCTGACCTACTAATGCACACTGAGAATCAGGGTCAATCTGAAAATATCAAATCAATATGAAAAAAGAAAATTCTGTAGAAGTAAATCAAAAGTTAATAATTGCACCATTGTTAAACAAATCTTTAAAAACGTTACAGGGCCAGAAAAAATTAAAATCTATGTATTATTTTCACCACAAAGAAATCTACTTTGTAGGAAGTTAGACTAGATAGTCAATGAGAATAAACTTTGAATAACAAGTCCCCAAGTTATTGGCCTTTTCCAAACATTATCCAAAAACTATTACCAATACTTACAGTAGGAAAGTAATATATAATAGCATCTTTTAAATCATCTTCTTCTCTCTTTAATACTGTATGGTCAAATATAAAAAATGTATTCCCTTCATATTCACTAGAATAAAAGAATAATATGGTTCACAACATTTTTTATTTGATCTTTGTAGGCCAAAATGTAATGTGTAAATAGTCAAACTTTAAAATTGGATGAATATGTGTTTTGTGTCACATCAAATCAGAGTAGTTTTACTTTAGGCTAGACCTAGGCCTACTGCTTTTATAGGCTATAGTACATTCTTACTGGATTTGTCAACTAGGCATTTAAGACAGTCCACATAAGTAAGCAAATACTTATTTAAACATATTTTTTCTAAGTTAGCACAATGTCTTTACAATCATTATCATAAAATTTTTGTGCTCATTTAAAGATTTATAGTTTATACCTTTGTTTTGAAGTTGACAAACTGGCACTGCCGCTTGAAGCTTTTAGAAAAGACATTTTAGATATAGACTAATCGTAAGCGATAGACAAAAAAGTACTCAAATTAAAAAGAAATCGACAAATGAATGTCATCAATCATAGTTCTGTGCAATCAATGAAAAACTCATTAGAAAACACAAAAATAACTTTTGTTGATCCACCATTTTGCTAAAATCACATGACTTGGATCACGTGTCGTCTAAACGGTGGCTCAATATTACTAACTTTGAAAGTCAAATTATCCCGATATTTGAAAGCAAAAAAAGATCATGATCTTCTTGTCTTAATTCACCTCTTACACAAATTCTTCTGATTTAATTGCACCGAATTATTGGAAACAACAAATAAATTTTCTTGCTGTAAATTGTATAATCTTAAGTTGCATGTGTATATTATTTTGGTTAGTTCGGAAGTTTGTAAAAAGTGGTCGTCATAATTTTTGTTTTTTATTAATTTGTATATTTTTTTTGTGATAAATACATTGAAAATACTCAAAATTCAATTAAAATAATTTGAATGCTGTCTCAATTCTATCTAAGATTAGGAACTCTACCTGGTCAAATAATTAGCTCCGAAAATATTTGTGATAGCTTTTTAAGATGGCGGCCCCCATGAATGCGTGAAAACGAAAGTCCAAAAAATATTTTTATGGTTAAAATAGAATAAATGGCTTCAAATTCGGAAATGAACGAAGCTAGCGGTGTGCCAGGCAGTGTGCCAGAAAGTGGCTCTACCCCACCCATTTGTGTCATTGTTTTAGGGATGGCAGGCTCTGGTAAAACAACACTTGTTCAGGTTTGTTTACCTTTTGGGCATTCATTGAGACTTAGAGCTTGAGTAAGGTCTCCGTCACACGTCAGTACGTCACTTGTAGAGATTAGGGTTGTTGAAATACATTTATAACAAGCTACTATCCAACAGAAGACACTGGCACAGGGTTAAAGCAGTGTTCATGAATGTTAAGAGTAATGTATTGTAAAGTGAAGGTACCGGGTAGCCAAAGAAAAGGTGCTACTTAAATAATAATTCTTCTAGTTTTTGTATAATGTGTATTTTGTATATTTTAGAGACTAACAGCCCATCTTCACACAGCGAAAACACCTCCTTATGTTATAAATCTTGACCCAGCAGTTTATGAAATACCTTATCCAGCAAATATAGGTAAAAAATTTCATATTGATATAATAAAGTCTCATTGACTTGATCAATAGATAATTTCTTTGTTGGTTGTTGATATCTATTGATGTTAGCCTAATTTGACACCACTTCAACTCAACTACTTGAACTAATTTGAATAAATTCATGACATGTTGGTTATTTCATTTGCACAATTTTAATCTGCTGTATTTAGATTGAAACTTTTTGACTATCGATATCTGATAACATTTTAATTGGTCATCTTTAAACTGAATTTTCTCTGATTTTTAAACATGAATCATAATATTTTTTTCAGTTTAAGGATAAGAAACAGTTTTATACCTTTATTTCAGATATCCGAGACACTGTAAATTATAAAGAAGTAATGAAACAATATTCACTGGGGCCTAATGGTGGAATTGTCACATCTCTAAATTTATTTGCTACGAGATTTGATCAAGTTGTAGATTTGGTTGAAAAGAAAACAGGAGAATACAAGTAAGGGATATTCTTTGGTAGAAATCTTCTACAGAATTTGCTCTTAAAGGAATATCTTTCTTTCTAATCATTTTATGTTGTTGCACATATTATTGTATTAATTTTTTTACCTAAAGTTTCAAAAAATTTAAACAAATATGATGGTATCTTGAAGGAGATTGAAGTTGATAATATCTTTGGGATTGGACTCTTGAGTTATTGCCCTTGACTTCTTAAAGACACATAAGAACATCTTCTTGTCCAATTTTTACTCTGATATAGATTCTTGGAAGTTTTGTATGTTATTGTATTTTAATAATGATTACCTTTAGATATGTGATAATTGATACACCCGGACAAATTGAAGTATTTACATGGTCAGCTTCAGGTGCCATTATTACAGAAACACTGGTAAGTCAACTCTTTGTTCTTTAAAATACAACTGAAAATCATTAGTCACTGGTTCTTACCATGTCATTAAGTCGTGGGCCAACATATAGAAATGATCCATGGAACCTAAGTTGTAGGCTTAATCATAATTAAATGGCTTTTTCTGTCTTTTTGAATTAACAGAATAAATTTTTAACATCATCAAATCTGATGTTAAGGGCTATTTGATTGACAAAATCCACCAATTTCGAATTGCTATACTTTTGAAACACTTTTTTTTTTAATTTTTGTGCCATCTGTTATGTTATGAATTGTCATCAATTTTGCTGCCTCTAGATTCAAGTGCCAATATCACCCGAACTTATTATATATTGTTATATTTTTCAGGCCTCTAAATTCCCTACTATAGTTGTATATGTACAAGATACAGCTAGAAGTGTCAATCCAGTTACATTCATGTCCAATATGACATATGCCTGTAGTATTATGTATAAAACCAAGTTACCATTTATAGTAGCCCTCAATAAAGTAGGTTGTTCCAAACTTTCCTCTTAGATGTTTTTTCTCATTAGCAGTTGGAATGAGTAGATATATATTGTGAAATCACTAAGTAATGAATACCTCATAAATTATAACAATTATCATGAGCAAATAAATTGTGTTTTTTTTTTCCCTAATTGTGTTGATATATTAACTTGAAGTTAATTCCTCGCAATATTCTAATCTATGTATTTTTTCCTCAGATTGATATTGTTAGCCACACGTTTGCTCAGGAATGGATGAAAGATTTTGAAGTGTTCCAGGAAGCTATGGAACAGGAGACATCATACACCTCTAATCTTGTCAGATCTATGAGTTTAGCCTTGGATGAATTTTATAAAGACTTAAAGGTAAAGAATAAAATAGGGAAATAGGGAGCGACTGTAGTTCAATTATTTAGAATGTTGAATCTTGCTAACATTGTCTGTCTTTGTTATGTCGAATCAATAAGATCTAATCTAGTTGGTGTGTGAAAGTCTGGTAACATGAATGGGTGATTGAGCCATATTATCTCAGTAGACACAGCTGTTAATGGAGAGCAAAAATCCAGGAATGGTCAAGGACCAGTAGAGACATAGATCATCAGTTGATATTCTAGTTAATATAGGTTATTTTTTTCTGTTTAGAATGTAGGTGTGTCAGCTATGAATGGTGAAGGAATTCAAGATTTTTTTAAACTGGTAGATGAAGCAGCTGTAGAATATGAAGTGTAAGTTGTTCATTTTCTCCATATCCACAAATTAAATTTAAGGACCATTTATTAAAGCCTACGATATAATTTTACTCCACTTAACATAGTTAATGCTTCTGCCAGGTGCTCCTAAAACATTTTTATTTGATACATGCAAGAGTCTATCAGCCACATAATTATATAATTGAGTAGCTGTTGTAGCATCCTTACCCAATTGATGTCATACACTAAGTCATATTTAGTCGGAGTTCAGATGTATTCAATGTTAAATTTTTCTCTCATTCAGCATTCAAAGGGTTAAGCTGATGAACTCAATTTTAACCATCGTTATTTCAATGTTTACATCTTATGTCTTAATTGTAGTGAATATAAACCAATGTATCAGAAGTTAAAGGAGGAACATGAAGAAAAAAGAAAATTGGCAGCAGAGAAAGAAATGAATAAAGTAAAACAAGATTTAGGAACTGGACAGCCTGTAGATCTTGGTGCCTCTGGTGGGTAGAACAGCCAAATTTTGATATTTTCTTGTTTTAGTTAAGAATGCCTATATGTGATCCATCCCTAGTGACATTCTTCCACTCTTTCTGAAAAAAATAATGAATTAACATTGTTATATTGTAGGTAGTGACTTGTTATATTCAAGATTAGGTGGTATGGCTATTACACCAGGGTTATATGAGTCCGATAGTGATGAAGAATTTAAACAGCCTATAGATTCAGACGAAGGTAGCTTTTTTTTAAACTTATTATAAATGTCCAACCTTATATACCTTGAACTGAGTTTACAAACTGATATAGAACCTGACCCACTCATCAAATAAATGTTCTATTATGTGGCCAACTCAATACTTAAGAATGTCATGGCAAGCGCTTTGCTTCCTCTGCCCATTTCTAAACCATGAAAATTTTACTGAATATTATTGAACTATTATACATGGTGTGCTAATGTAAACTTAGTTCTTAAATTGTGCTTATATAAGATTTGGTGAACCACCTTGTTTTTGATTATACCTTTAAATTTAGTGTTTTTGATAACAATCTTTACCTATCAAATCATTTGAATATTGAATTTATATTTTTTTTGCAATTTGTAGATCCTGAAGAAAGGAGGGAAGCAGAATCATTAAAACGTTATTTAGAAAGTCAGAAACATCGTCAACAATCACGACAAGATAAACGTGATAATCCAAACTCATAGCAGTAAACAATCACTATTTGAACTTATTAACTATAATGTACATTGTAAACATCATCACAACAGAAGATAGTTTCATTGGATGTAATTGAAGTTATGATCCAAAAGCTGCTTTTTCTTATCTACTGAGGAGAACATCTGAAAAAAAAAGATAGGACTGTTTGATAGCCTCATGTGAACTACAATGTATAAAGATATAGTACTATAAAATATCGTCACCATGATGGAAAAATGTGAAAAGATCTTCATATTTTATATCATTCCTTGTTATATAAAGAATCTTTTTTAAACTACTTTTGATTTGTTTACTCTTTTGGCTTGTGTGCCTTATATTTCCCCTGTACCTCAAAATAGTATGTATGGGGGTTTTTTTGTTACCCATGGCACCATTAGTCTTAATAAAAAAAAAAGGAGCAACAGCCTCAGATTAATTTGTGTTATTCCAACATTTTGCCTGTGACAATTGAAAAATTGTCTGGAATTTAATCAGCAAAAGTTTATCAACAATGTCAGCCTGGCCTTGCTGTCAGGAAGCCAATTTATAACCAGTTGAAAATGTCCTCAATTTCAATCATTCTTATCTTTCAATGTTTCAATAATTCGTTGTGGTATCGATTTGTATTTATCAGCTGAAATAACTAATAGCACGATCATTATCTAGAATGAATAATTAGTATAAAATATCTTCATTATTAGCAGTTATATTCCATTAAGCTATAAATTCTGAATAATTACAGTTTAATAACCGATAGGGCGGTCTAGGTCATTAATCACATTAATCATATGGAAACATTTGTTTGATAGAAGCCATATCTCAGGTTTTATTGGCGTGGTATGGAAAGTGTACGGGGATGTCTCATGTCACAATTTGGCGGCATCTAGGATAAACTGAATCGCTGGATTTAGTTGACTCTTGTCAAGATCAGCTGCTCATGTTCTACTGGTATTTGGTCAGTGACAGACCGGTCGTTTGGTAAAAGTAGGTTTCAATAGAATCGTGTAGACAGGGTACGTTAGTACGTGACTAGTGGTTTCTTAAAGGCTGTCGCTTTATCCGAGATCAACACCTTGGGAGATTCTGGTCAATCGCTCAACTGAGCGCACCCAAGACTGAATAATCGCATTTGCCATCCTTTTTCTCATGCCCTTTCTAACGATAATTGGAAATGGTCTTTACATGTGCAATAGGTGTCTTCCGCATTGTCTAAACAATCCAAAATGTATACCATAAGTAGTATATTACAGACTGAGATAGACCCAGAATGTTCAGGACCCTCTTATCACCCTTTGTACGACCTTTTTTCACCAAGTTTGCTTCTACTTGACCGTAAAGACTCAATCATTTTCACTATATACCAGTTACCTGACATCACAGTGCTATAAAAAAAAAACTGTTTATCAGCTTATGTTTCTCTTGTTAGTATTACTCATCAATCTCTGTCAATGATATAATTCAATGGGAATGGTAGTGGGCGAAGATATATGGTGATATGGTGGGCTAAAAATATGAGATTGCTTGAATTTCTAACCTAGTCATGAGATTTAAGCCTGAAAAACTTGCTTTCGGGGCCCTCTGCCCCCCCCCCCCCCCACCCCACTTTGGCTCCGCCACTGATTACAGACCTTACTCTCAGTTATTTAAATATCCTACACTAGTATTACACCTGTTTTCGATAAGTCACAAGTCTCATATTTCTTCCCCCGATCACTGAATACTGTATTGTATTGTTTGTGGTCACTAATTAAATTTGTTAGCAACATATTCGTTTGGAATTCATGTAGGTAACAAATCAATATCGATTTCTTTTACCCACACAAAGAATCACTAGGCTAATATGAAATATTCTTGTGTTAAAGGGAATGTCAAGGATAATTTCTTATCTTTACATCCGGCATATTTAATGTCATTGTCTTTTAAAACATTTTTTGATCTAAAACAATGCCAAATGTATCATGCAGATGATTGATGTTTTCAAATTTTCAGAGCTAAAAATAGTAAAACGATATTTTCACCAAATCATGGAATATTTTGAGTTATGCATAATAACAGAATTTCCCACGATTAATGCTAATAAAAAATTCGGTTTTACCCTTGAAAATCTGAAAAATATCCATAACCAATATAATTGATATAGGTTTAACAAGGCCTTTAAAGGTAAATTAAGACCTTCACTTAAGTGTGAAAACAAACATGGGGTTTAATTAATGAGCTTTCTGAGCACACCCAGGGTCGTGATAGGACAAGGGTTAGATTGTTTAAAAGGTGGAGTGTCACTATTTCATGTTGATCACATTATAAGTAAATTGGCCATTATATTACGAGGGCCAATTGAAAAGTACAAGGAGCGTCTATGGTAACGCATGTTCCTATGTATGAATAATATACTACCGGTGCTAAAGGAACATGATGGTATAATAACGTTGTGTTGGTCTCTTCAAGCTGATCAACGTCTTGGAAGGAAATCTACATTTTTCATTAAATATGTTGATTCCTTCGTTAGTTTAGTTTCTAAAAAGTCTTCACAAATATCATGGATATCTATCAATGTTTCCTAGTTCCAGAGAACATTGACCACATAGGTAGTAATGCTCGTATCTAAGATCCTTTTCAAGTTAAACGGCACTGTGGAATATAGGATTGTCGAATGACTGTCCACAAAGGAGTAGAAACTTTTCAGTTTACCCTCATAGAGTAAATTAACCACGATATTATTTTATAGTTTATTACAGTTTAGAGTACAATGACATGTTTGAACTGTTTGTTTATCAAAATCTATATTATGATCATGTAAGGAGAGTTTTATAGAGAGATCGAAGAGTGCTTCATAAATCAAAGTCAACAGAGTTGGGATATTTGGAGGATTAAGGAGGAAGATTTATAGTTCAGCAATTTGCTGAATATTGACTTAACATTTAATTCATAGAGTACGGTTTGTGATTTATGGTGTGGAAGTAGATATTTATTGTGTCTTTATTTACGTATTTTCTTTCCAGAGCTTGTAACGATGAGTTTTTCTGTAATATTGTGGTTGAATGCATTGGACTGAAAGCGCATAAAAGCAAGCAAAGTGAAGTTTTGACAACCTTTATATAATTTGTCAGGAAGTGAACATATCTTGTGTTAATGGACTTTGCTAACAGAATATATAACAATTGTAAATTTAATAAATTCATTACATAAATTCCGTGGTCCATTGTGTGTATGTGAAGAGACAGAAAGTGGGCAGCGGTGAAATTCGGATTTAGATAGGAAAAGCCGCCGATGACGGATAAAATTTAAGATTGAGCAGCGTAAAATTTGATATCAATAACTTTAAGATTTCATCCATTTTTCAAATCTTATGGTAATGTGCATTAAGAAATAGTTTATTCCGATGAAAATTTGGCAACTGTTGTGAATGTATAATTGTCAAAATGGATGAGAAATATAAGGCAATATTAAACAGACATCGTCAATTATTGATAAAGAATATAATTTTAACTGACGAATTCTATGAGTTATTGGACAAGGAGAAAGTTTTACCAGGTGCTATGATTAAAGATGTCAAGGTTTGTACCTCTATTATCTGCATTAATCATTGTTAGGGTAATCACAGAAATCTTGATTTCCCGAATTGTGGACCTGGACATGTTACCTCACACACCAAATCTATTTACTTGTGACCTCTGGCACTCAAGCTATCGCCTGGAGATCAGGGCACTCGATCTATCGACTTGTGACCTCTCGTACTCAATCTCTATTTGTGACCTCTCGTGCTTAATCTCGATTTGTGAGCGCTTGCGCACTTAATCTCTCGACTTAGGACCTCGTGCACTCAATCCATCGGCTTTTGACCCCAACACTCTGAATCTTTCGACTTTAGACATGTGATCTCGTGTATAAATGATCTCTTCACTTGTGACTTCGTGGACCCGAAATCTAACATTCTATTGTCTTCCGCATCGAAGTACTATTATCTATTACTGTGAGCCTTCGATTCGACTTGTGACCTGGAGGACTCTATATTTATCTCGAGCACCCCACCTATGATCACAAAATAATCACTCCGCCATAAAAGCTTGATAATTTCAAATTTTTACTTAAAATATAGGGAGGGTTTAACCAAGAAGAAAGAAATTCTAGATTATTAAATGCTCTGTTTCTCAGAACGTCGCTAACATTCAGAAGATTTCGAGCGGTGTTATTGAAATCTGGACACCATTTCCTAGCTGATCTACTTTGGGAGGAAGGTATGTATAACTACCAAACATGTAGAGTATGGCCCCAGCGGCTATTCTACGGCCCGGCCATTGCTCAACATTGCCCCCCTCTACGATTATATGTGCCACCACTCGGCACCTCCACCTATTGCTTTATAGAAAAGCCACTGCATGGCCCATTAGTCCGAGCAGCACCTCTAGTTTAGTTTGGAAGGGAATCTTACACGCAGTAGCGTCTCTTTGAATAATTACTAGGAGGTCCGAGTGTGTGTCACAGAAGGGGGCTCAATCAAATTCTTACACAAGGACGCCACTGCAGGCTAGACTACAGTTTTTGTCTAAGGAGAAGTCAATTTCCACCAAACTGAACCTGAATGATGTTTCCTATACATTACAGACTATGATCACAGTGTACCAGATGATACTATTCTTCAGAAGTTTCCTGGTGTTTTTGATAGACTTACAGATGATATAAAAAGGAAACTAATTTTGTCCATTGATTCTCAGGTACAGTAAAATATATAGTATCGATAGTAAATCTTTTAGTGTAAATATCATATGTAATTGCTATAGTTAAAGGACAGTTGACAAACTAATGTAAGGGTTAAACGTTCCAAAATTACTTACTTTCTCTATCAGGCTATTTTGAACCGGGTTATATTTTGCAGGTGAGAGAAAAGGCTTTAAAGATAGCATGGAGAACTACATCAATTGATAGAGTATCTATATTAAATACAAGATCTACTAATTTTAAACAGGAAAAAACTTTACGAGAAACAATTGAAGAACAGGATAGACAGGTATCATCTTTGTGTACTACATGGTGGGGTGTGTGTTAGCCTAATGAAAACAGGCATTTCGACATAACATTTTCGCAGAGTCTACAGCATGTGAATATGAATGAGTTTTGATTTATATTGTAAAATATTATAATGAGGTTTTTTACATTTGTTATGTGTATCGGGGACACCGATAGTATCAATTTACACCATCATATAGTAACGACATAAAATACTTAGTATTAGTGGAACTGCGGGAACCACAGACGTCTGATTGGAAATCGGAATGGTGCAATTTGGTGCTATCAGTATCACTGTTACATATAAAAACTTTAGAAAACCTCCTTGTTTGACTTGATACCATTGACACACACTACCACATTAATGAAGGAATAGTCCAGTCTTGAAACAAAGAACATTCATGAAGATTTGATATATACAGATATAGACCAAGATATTAGTTCGTACATTTCTAGTACTTCTGAGGACTTTTTACCAAAATGCCAAAATAGCACTCCCTTCCTTTTAAGCCTACAGATCCATTAAATAATGTGCAGACTAATAATAGAAATATTATATTTGCAGTTAATGGTATTTAGGAATGATATATGTTGTCGAGATGAAAGAATCAGGTTACTAACAATCGAAATACAGGGACTACAACGTGAAACAGAATCCTTAAAACAAGCTCATCAGAAAGAACTGGAAAAACAAACCAACTTCAACAGTGCTAATAACAATGCTATTTTAAGATTAAAAGAACGCTTTGTCGCTTTTAATGACATAATTATCAAATTAAATCAATCGGTGCGGATATTTCTAGGAGATGAACTAGAAACGTATTGTTCAGATAGCGACAATGTTAAATTATCTTATCTTGATCGTAATTTGAATAGAGTCTTATATAAAGCCAAGGAGGCGCAAAAATCTTCAGACATTTACTCCAGCCAGAAAAAAGAGGTGATGAAACTCTTGAATAAGTCTGATCAAAAATTAACAATAGTGGAGTTAGTAAAAGACCATACTGAAAGGGAACAGAACTTGAAGATAGCTTTATGGAGAGAAATTGAAAAATTAGCTGATGTGATAAAAGGTCTCCCCAAAACTGGAATTTTGCAAAAATCTTCTTCCAATGACAAATTATTTTCAGATGCGCGTTATCTTAAAAATTATATTGCCACTTTACGCGTGGAGATAGAACATTTATATAAAAGAATGTCGTGGAAAGAAAGCCAGATCAAGGATCTTAAACATGATTTGGAAAGTTACAAACGAAAACTACCCTATATCATAAAAACACCACCGCCATCACCTGACTCTACTTATGCTCTTAACATGAGTTATATCAACAACGAATATTTAGATACCAAAAGTGAAAATGACGTCTGTGATTCTGTTAAGGGAGTGAAGCAAAGGAAAGGTGGAGTAGTGGAGGCCTTTCAGGAAATTCCCATAACTTCTCCAAGTCTATTTGTAGAATCAAAAAAAGAACGTCATGTTGCTTTCAGTGATATAAACACTAAGCCTAATGTGGTACATAAACATTGTAAATCTTCAACCTTACCACCAGTTTAATTCGGGGTCTTGACATTCATATCGGAGGCACATATACCATATGTTTGCGTGTATAGTGCGCGTTTTTTTTTTAACCTAAAAGGGCTGGCCAAACTGGGATGATCCGACAGTGAAGAAATTTTTGGGATTGTTCAGCCATCATGTAATTGATGCTCGTAGATGATAAGATGGATGACTATACCCACAAGTCCTATCAATGTCATTATTAAATTCAACCTTTACCAGTGGCAGCTCTAATCTCCTGAGACTGGGGTTACAAATAAGGGGTAGACTGACTTAAAGGGGGACAACTGTTGAGGCTTAATTTAAAAAGATGCAACTCTGTGGAGTCGTCGTGTCGCATTCATCCCATGGAACATCTGAGAGAGTTCTCCCAAGAAAATTTGAAATGGAAATTGATAGAAAACCAATAAGTTACTGATTATTGTTCTTTATTCCTGTTATTCCTTATTTCGTACAGTTACATACTTGAGTATCCATCAATGGATCAACTATCACAGGGATTAGTTGAATTTAGTCCATAGGCCCCACCCCCTGAGAAAAAATGTAGGAAAGGTTGAGCCTCTGGTCTCCATAGTGATCTTATCAGGAATATTCTGAATCCAGAAAAGTCTAATTGTCTATTTTGGTAAATTAAAATTGTCTATACACATGTTATGGGTTGTTTATATCCTTAACTATTAGTTAGTTGTTCTACTCTATGATATATTCTTTCTTCTCTTCCTTCTTTCATAGCAGCAAATCTTGCTACAGTAAATAAATAGTCACTTAATCTGGAAATATATAGATAATCTCAATTAATTTGTAGACAAAACTTAAGCAATATGAGCAAAATGCAAAAGGCACTGAATGGATGTTGGAGACATATTTTTATTGAACAGGGCAAATGAAGAAGCATGATACAGACATACCAAATCAAAAATACTTAATCCATCATAACTACAAGGCTACAAATATGGCCACTATGCTTACCTGTTAATAAATTTTTGAACCTCTGGATCTATCTCATCATCTCTTGTTAATGGAGTTATACTAAATACACAAAACAAAGAAACACGTTAAAAAATTCCTTTTATTCTTGACTTAACAAACAAGACACGCTTCAAAATATAAAGAAGTTTTCTATTACATATTCTCCAAAAATGTAGGAATTGAATTTTCCTAGTCAAAGGAAGATGTACACTACCAAACCAGAGAAAAATTAAGTTACCTACTCTTACAGCTCTGTGCAATATTTTCATTTTAAATCAAAGGTACTCACCTCCTTTCAGCCCGTCTACAAATTGATCTAGCTAAATGTAATGTGGATGCTGATTTACCACCAGACTGAAATACAATGGGTGTATAGTGTTTCATAATCTTCTTCTTTATTTTTTCCACTAATCACAAGGAGAAAATGGACATGTACTTATCCAAATCACGATCTGTAGGTTGACATGATTAGAGTCCAATAGTCAGTCCAAGTGTGTTATTCATTTTGTACCTGATAGAGCTCTCAATTGATGCAAGTCACAGTCATTGAATTGGTGGCTATCTGTCAGCAATATTTTTTGTCAATTTGATACTGGCTTAATGATTAAGTCTTTTCATTCAAATATGAAAATATATCCACTGAATAAGAAAATATTCTCTTTAATTCAAATTTGTAATACAACACAAGCCTTACTGGTAATATAAATTTGGTGAGGGGAGGTAATTCAGCTGTCATCTCATCAATCCATTCTTCCAACTTTATAACATAATCACTACTAAATGATGTTTTCCCTGGAATAAATGTAACATCAAAATATAAGTGACATTCCCCTTTTCTAGTACTAAATTATAACAATAACCTGTTATAAACCCTTTGAACACTGAGTGTAAATGAAATAAAACGTCATATACACCGAACTTCAAGTAATATAACTTAAAGCATATGACATGAATGTTATGTGACGTAACTTATCAACAGCTGCTATACTAGACACTCCAGTATATATATCATATATATTATATGGCCAGTAAACCAGCTGCTAGGGTAAGGCTATTGCTAAGGCCAATCTGACCCATAGATTCAAGAGGTGGATTATCATACCTACTTATATGAGACTGTCGAGCTGAACTATATGGTGTAGCTATATTAGATCCAACATCTTGTAATATACACTGTATCTACATTGAAGAAAAAGGTTTAAGAGGGGGTTGGGTGGTGGTGGGGGGGGACTGGGGGGGGGGGTGTTTTATTGGACCATCAGGCCTGTGAAAGGTCTTACTTTGACGTGACAATTAAGACCTAAATACTCAAAATTCATCTAAGGCTTCTGTGGGTTTCTGGCAGCCATTACACTCCTGGCGTCAAGATACTTAATCATACCCTTACATGTCATAAAAGTTGAGATACCAGCATCATGTTATAAAGTGGATATTCAAATAATCCTTAATCATAACCCTACATGTTTTAGAAGTTTACCTACCAGTATCATGTTCTAAAGAGGATACTAAATAAAAACAACTTGTCTAAAGCTATGTTGTAAATATCAAGTAGTCATAGTAGTTGCCCACTAACAATCAAATAATTAAGAGAAAACAAGTACCTGTTCAAGTTGATCAACTAGAGGTAAATCAGCTTCTCTTACAAACTCAGCCGCTAAACTAAATAAAATTTATATGATTTTCATTTAAAGCATTATGCTTGCTTAAGGTATGAAAAAGTGTAAATTAGTAACTATACTCTAATCTTAACAATAAACAGTTGGAGGAAACATCCAGGTGAGATCAATCCTTGTTCTTACATGTTCTGTTAAAAAATAAGATATATTCAGAAATTTTTCCCAGAGAGGATTTAGAATTCAAGTTATTATATATTTCAAATGTAATAAATACTGACCCTAAAGCTGAAGATAATTCATCTGTAGCCCCTAATGATTGAAATATAATATCATCTTTTGGTCTTCTTTCACCAGTAAATGTTGCTGATGTGCCTAGTGTGAAGAGACACAGTATATAAATAGAAATTTTAAACTAATTCTATATTTTAAAAAATAAGCTTAAAGTGGAGGTATTGACTTATGGACAGGTATTATCTGCATTCCTGTGGAATCAGGCTTCGGCTACTAATAAAAAATCTACCTTTGTCTCCTGTTTTGGTATATATTTTCATTGTTCTGATTGGTAACATGTTGCTACATACAGGTTTAACTGACCTACAGTAGAAATATTATCACTGATTAAATATTAGACAAGTGCTTTGAAAGATAACAATGTACTTCAAGGGATGTAATCATCTAATGATTCAGTTCAGCACATCAGATCAATGTTAACTAACAAAAAGGAGTTTAAGAAACGGTTAGCTACAGTAATAGAAAACGGCTGTTGCTTACACATTCTGCTAGTTACAAGGCAGTGGAAAACAATGATCAAGCCGACCAACTATTAAGGGAAATCCCCCCTCCCTACACTCCTTCAGAAATAATTTACCAATTATCATCGACAAAAACGCAAGAAAAATGACTACCGCAAGTCTACCTTACTGACATTTTGCACAATCTTAAAATGCATCGATTAACCATAGCGTTCATGACTGACAGTGATATAAAGATATCTAAAACGGGAATAAATGAACTTTGTAGGTTAATTCATTTGTTTACATTTTCATGGGTGCAGCCATTAAAGCGCATGCGTACCAAGCCTATCCTCGCGTGCTTCCGTAAACAAATGTGGCGTGATATAAAACGAAAGTTGGATCTCAACTGGTCAACTTTCATGATTTTCTAGTAACTAGAGAATAGTAACATAGTAGAAAATGGAGGAAATAGTAGTTTCTGCACCCGGAAAGATAATTCTACACGGTGAACACGCTGTCGTGTATGGAAAGGTAGTTTTTGTTAATTTCAGGGAGGGCAAATTGTGCAAAAGACATCCTCAATACAATCACACTCACAAAATCAACATTTCTGTTATAATGACTAAGTGGGTGTGACATTTCAAGTAATATTAGTCTTGAAGAACATCCAGTTATTTGCTTTATAAAATAAGAATATACTGATTGTTTATACCAATCAATATTGATTTTAGTTGTAAGACAGACCTATCCTATGACATGCCCATATTGATACTGGTATTGTCATTTTGATTGTATTTGGAAAGAATGAAGTTGAAAATGGCAGCAGTTTGTTTTGCGAAAAATAGAGGTAGTCTAAAATCTTATCTTGAATCTTATCTTTGTTGAAATTTAAAACACATCAATTTATCTTTAAACAGATAGCTCTAGCTGCAGCTTTAAATCTACGATCTTATCTGAAAATTAAACAAAAGAATGATGGTCAAGTTACTGTAAATTTACCAAATATTGGAATCAACAAAACCTGGAAACTTTCAGATTTACAACAAAAAATCAGTCTTCCATTATGTAGGTATTACATTTAATTTGATGGATTGTTGTACTGTAACTGACTTTTTTCCTGTAATCAAAATATGTTTCTAATATAAGAAGAGATAGTTTATTTAGATTTCCAGATTAGTTTGTGATTACCCTACACTTGAAAATATATTTATTAATTTTTAGAGATGTCCCCATGGAGCAAAAATATCTTTCCAGTTACTTCAAGTGTTGAATTTTATAATATTATTATTAATACATGTACATGTACTTTCTAAAAACTTGTGACTTTCAGTACTCTCATGTTGTTTTTAAAACTACATCAAGTTTCAATTTTAGTTTTTGTCAAAATGCTAAGCAAGTCAATTGAGAATGTGATCATTTTATTTCAAACGTACTCAATTCAATATGTGCCCCAAAATCAGAAGAATCATAAATGAAAGCCTAATTGAACCAATGATGTATCAAACCATTATGGCTAATTATTGATTGTAGGTGACCCATTAAAACCTTTCACAGTAACAGATGATCAGTTATCACAATTAAAACAGCTGGGTGGAATTAATCCTGATTCTAATTCAACTACAGATTTAGCTGTTATAGCTTTTTTATATCTATATATGTGTATAACAGCTTGTGAAGGGTAAGGCCAAAAATTTCTGTCTCTAGAATGAACATCAAATTTTAAACTTGGTAAATAAGAGTATATATATTTTGATTCTAAATAATTATACAAAAACTCTTTAAGTAATTACTTGTAATATAATGGATTTGTCAGATTATACAGGGATTCTATTGTAAACTTATGAAAAGTAATATGTAAGTCAATTGAAAAATTTTAAAAAATGGGCTAAATAGAAATTTACCAACAAATGTGCTATAGACAGGTCAATATTTTGATTGCTTCCCTAAACCATAGTTTACACAAAAAAATGAACTGGTCTGTTTCAGGGAACTCTGTAGTGTAGAAGTAACAGTATCATCTAATCTACCAGTTAGCGCTGGACTTGGTTCTTCAGCTGGTTATTCAGTTTGTTTAGCGGCTAGTTTATTACAAATTGGTGGTTTAATACCTCCTAGTAATAGTCTAGGAAAATGGAGTGAGCAACATCTCAAATTGATCAATGATTGGGCTTTTCAAGGTGAAAAAATCATCCATGGAAACCCGTCTGGTATTGATAATTCTATTAGTACTTATGGTGAGTTAATTTTTATATCTGTGATATCAGGTTGCTTAAAGCAGATGTTTTATCTACCAAACACTAACCAGGGCTTTTGATAAACTGTTTTTGAGTTATTGCCCTTAAAAACACGCCAAAATTTGTTTGTGAGACTATAGTTTTCATTGGATTTAAATGAAATTTGGTCTAATCCTGTATTACAACGAGATCTTGGTCAAATTTGAAATTGATGATTTTTTGATAAATAGAAATCGAGTTATTACCCTTGATTTACTTAAAATGCATCAAAATTTGTTGGCTTGTGAATGTGATAGAGGTGACAGTTTATGTCAGAATTTTATGAAATTTTGTGTTTGATTTATCAATATCTTGGTATGATTTGACACCGATCGGTGACCGCCTTTGATATACTGAAAACTTATCAGGGAAGTGGGTGTATCTTGCAAGGCAACCACTTGTTAGATATGCAGAGGTCATATTCAAAACCTCATGGTAACAAATGACCATACCCCGTACATCCTTGAAATTTTTTGTTTGTATTGTAATTTTTATCAAGAGTGTATTATTGTTCTATTATAATCCTGACAGGTGGAGCTATTAAATTTCAAGGTGGGAAAATAACTCCAGTAGAAAAGTAAGTCCTGGTAATTTTACATTAAAGATGGGTTCTGAATAGATGAATAGAAAGTAGAGGTGTTCTATTGACATAAGAAAACCCATCTTTAAGGTATCAGTTTGTGAACAAGGATGTCTTTGAAAATGCGTACAATAAATGCCAAGCATAATTTCTACTGCAGGTTAGGCATTTACTAGACAAAACAGAAAAAAAGTAAATATTTAATTTAAGTCACAAGATTCATGGACTTACTTTATAATCTAATGCAAGGTTTTTAGTGTTATCAAATGGTGTCAAATGAACCCCAAATGAAATATTAATAAAATCAATGTTAATGGTTCTCAAGTTGTTTTAATTAAATCTAAGTAACAAAAAAGTGTTTCTTTCAGGATGCCAAAGTTACGAATATTATTAGTTAATACAAAGGTACCAAGAAGTACTAAAATATTAGTTGCTGGTGTTAGAGATAAGTATAATAAAGTAAGTATTTAAGTATAATAAAGTAAGTATTTAAGTATAATAAAGTAAGTATTTAAGTATAATAAAGTAAGGATTTAAGTATAATAAAGTAAGTATTTAACAGTAGTTAACTACTGGAAAGCAGCGACCACAAAATAAGATAATATGTTCTGACACTTTAAATGAGTTAATCCAATAGAATCAGGGTCAGAAGAGATGATGTGCAAGTGGGAGAATGCAATGACTTTTTTGGTATATTTTGAAAAATCTGAAAGTATCATAGTCTAAATCAGAGTTAAAACTAAATGTTGTGGTGAAACAATTTTGAAATAAGACAGTTTCTAAAAAAAATTAGAACCACATAATGCTCTTAAAACTTGGATTAGTCTTCTATTTATATTTAAGTAAAACCAAAATTCATTTTACAATAGTTCATTTAAAATTCATTTATAGTTACACATTGGTACTCTGGAAAAGAAAAAGCACTCAAAAAATCACAAACTTAAAAACATTGTCCAAAGCAGACGCCTTATTTCGGGAAATAGTGGCAACATCTGCACGATGGCTGGCATGACGACACACCTATACCACTCTTATGTCAGCCTTAACATGCTCTGAGACAACTAAACGACGCAGTAGCAGCGCAGTAAGAATGCCTTTCCGATGTGATGGGGCCAATATTGAGCTGTTATTTTATCAGTGTCATGTTTTAATTTGTTTGGCTTGATTATAATTTATATAACTATTCTATAGAAATATTATAATAGATATTAAAACAGAACCTGTTTGAGCACTACATTAACAGTGATAATATTTTATCATAGAAATATTATATTTTAGTATAGGGAGGTAATGGAACCAATATTAAACAGTACAGAATGTATAACAGTACAATGTGAATCTGTATTGTCAGATATTGCAAATAATCCTACACCAGAATCTTATAACACCCTACAGGTAAACAATTATTCATTTCAAATTAAGTCCATTTCCATTAGTGAAGCACTGTTTGTTCACTTTTTACAATCATGGAGGTATGTGTCAGTGACAATGGTCACTTGACTTGAGGTCATTGAAAGTTGCTGTTTTACAGTAACTCTTTAGCTTATTATTGTACAGAATAACTCAGAGATTTTGTTTTATATTTTAGGACTTAATAGATATTAACCAACATTTATTACAAGCTATGGGAGTGAGCCATCCAGCATTAGAAAAAATCATCAGATTAACTAGTCAATATAATCTACATTCTAAATTAACTGGTGCAGGAGGGGGAGGATGTTCATTTACTCTAATACCACCAGGTTAGTATACTACCCAACAATTCTCCATCTAATTTATCAAACATCTTCTTCTCATATTTCCAACAATTTCCCATCAAGGGTTAAAAACTCAAACTTAAAATGTCAACCATACCAAACCCCAATTTTCAACCATGTCTAGCATACCAAATCTAAATTGTCAATCATATCAAATCCAAATTATGTACCAAACCAAACTCAAAATACATGTAGATCTAACTTGTCAACCATACAATACCTAAATTGTCAACCATACCAAATCCAAATTGTCAAACATACCAAACCCAAATTATCAATCATTCATCACCAAAGATTACAACCATTCCGCCTCCCAAATTTTCAACTGTATTGTTTATTTTTCAGGTACAGCAGAAGAGACAATAGTAGCTATAAAAATAGAATTAGAGAAGTTAGGATATGATTGTTGGGAGACATCGGTCGGTGCTACTGGTGTTTGTAATGAGAAACGTGATGCTCAATTACCCACATACTTATCATGACAAAAACATTTGAATCTAGCTGAGACATTCCTAAACACCTGATAACCCTGTATATACCAATTCTATTTTATTTTCTGTCTTTCTGTCTGGATTTGTTAGCTCTCTTATTGAATGCTCAAATCATCTTAGTTCAGTAAAATTTCCCCCAATTACATTATTCAATATGTGGACTCTACTACGCTGCTGATTACATGGGCGCAGATTGCGATGGAGACACGGGGCCGGTCCCGACCACTTTTTGCAGTGGTTGTGACACAATATGGTTGGTCTCGATACTTTTTGTGGCTAATTTGATTAACAAAATACATTACTCTCCGCTCAAATACGGTTACAGAACCTTGGCGTAATTGTTAAAGTAGCCGGTAGTCATTGACACTCAGCCTGTCTTTCGTTACTGCTAATGAGATATACTATATCACTCCCTCAATGCTGCTGTATGAAGTGATTTTGGATGATAAGGGAGCCTAGGGAGCCTAATGTTGAACGCATCCCATCAGATTGATAGTTCTGCTTTAACCATAACCAAATATCCCCAAACCACGGGCCCTTGAAGTCCTGTCAATATTGATGAAATATAGGCAGTGTGGAGAAAATAGTGTCAACGTATTACATTGCCCAATATTTGATTAATATTGACTTCAAGGGCCTGTGCCCAGACCCTCCTAAAGGTGGGTGTAGTATGCCATCAACGAGAGTGCTGTCTGGAACGGCCTTAAATGGAATGTGATCAAACCTAATTTTCAAAGTTTCAAATCCTCCTCAAGAGGCGAGTGTTCCTATGGCACCCGTATTAGGGGTCAGTAAGAGTGAAAATTTTCTAAGCGCCCCCTCTTTCTCCCACCCAGTTTTCATCTGCTTCTTACCCCTTAAACACCCTGACAGAGCGAGATCGCTTCTATTACGGTGGACTCTAACACACTTCATTTTAACAAATTTTAAGTATGATTTTTATGCGTTTTTCAGCATAACTTGTGTCGAAATGCAACAAAACTATTTTTTTCTCAGGGAGAAGTCCCTGTTCCTCTTTGTAGCCCAGTTCCGGAAGGGTTTTCTAACCTCTTTTGTGTGTATCGGGGACGCAGATTGCTCCGTACCGATTTTCCGAAAGACATCTGTAATGAGTCCCTAAAACGTGGTTCGACCTATCGCGGAAGAGATTATGAGATTATGGTTGTTTGTTTAAAAAAATCTTGTACAGCTTCCAAAGTACTAAATGGTTTGGTTAACCTGGTATGCCATTGTGGTTGCCATGAACCCGTACTGGAACGGGGAATCCTGAGAACGTTTTTAAAGGGTTTACATTAGAACTGGTTTAAGTTTTAATGACCTCTGCTCTCCCACCCCGGCTCTCCCTCTCTTCACTTGGTTTGTAAAAAATAATACAAGGGTTAAATGCAGAGTTTATTATAGATATAGGTCAGGCAGTATAATTATAAGGAGACAATATTATATTATACGATTATTCACAGTAGTATCCATCGAATTTCGATACTGAATTACCGGGACATTTTGCGCAAGCAGATCCTGTGAAGTAATGGTTTGCAGCACAGCAAGCCATAATTCCCCGCTTGGTAATTTTACGTTTCGACTTCTTTTCTCCTTTCAGATTAACATTTTGTTTCGTTTTATCACCCTCTACGAAACAAAAAGTTACTCCTGCATACAGCTTGACATCAGATTTGGGTTTGGGTACTATTGCTGAGGAAGGCAGTGAAACCACTTTAATCGTAAAGGTGTTATAAATTGATGGTTTGATCGCACCAGTTCTTACACCACTAGATGTTATACACAGATCTAAAACTTTACTTTCATCACATATGAAATACGGGCTTCTGATCTGCGGATTCACACATCTCATGCTATTTTCATAATATCGTGTAGTGAAAGACGGAGTTTCAAAAATATATTATGTTTCCGATAGTGGTTGTAATTTATTTTGATTACCGACAGTAACAGATGTCCTAATCAAGTGTGTCAGCATTCCCCCTATTGGTAGAATGAATAGATCAAAATTCTTGATATAAGCAACCTTACTCAGATTTTCTTCGTCAACCCATTTCCATTCTAATAAATCTCGTTTATCTTTTATCTTGATGTCAATAGCCTCCTTCGCATACAGTTTCTCTAGATCCACATATCCAGTATCATTATCGTTTCTGGGTTTAGTGTTTATAGCAATATAATCTCTAATCTCATTGTTTATATTACAAACTTCTTTCGGTTTATAACTTATTACATCAATAATATTTTCAAACGACGGATATGCCAGGGCAGTATGGCAAACGTTTGGCATCTGACCACCGTGAATATAAACCAATGTATTACAATATTCCTGTGCAATAGTCCAAACGTGAAATATTGACAAAGCCATAGTCATAACAGCATACTGTGACAAAAAATGTCGATTTTCTGATTGCGCGGAACTATACACCTTTTTCATATCTTCAGCTTTTTTTGCTGCTAAATGAGCTCTTGCAGCTTCGGACAATGATGTCATAAGATCATTCTGGTAGTCATACATTTCTTCATAGACAGTAACAAGCTCTGCCACTCGTATTTTAACTTTTCTGCAATCTCCCGTACCTGCTATGCCCATCTCAACAATTGCGGATGCAGAAGATCCCTCAAATAAAGTTTCGCAATAACCTTCACTTACTCCAGACAATTTTTCGCCATAGCTAGTGATGTCTGACTGTAACACAGCTGGTGAATAGTTATTATACATACTTAAAAATTCACTCACTTGATCTTCAACATCAGCACCACTCGCAAGACCGTCAATTACTTACCTCGTCAAGCTTATACATCTATGGTTTTTATCAAAATTTGTTTTTACATATTTCTTTGCTGCATCTGCTATTCTCTTTACCGTACAGTCTGGTCTGTACATCCAAAGTGCCTTACACTGATCATCTGTACATGGGACTCTTTGCGACCAGCCTTGAGAACAGTACTTGCCTTCGACATTTAAATATGGAAGATATTGATCAATATGTTTCTTCAAACCATTGTAATCGTCATTTTTGTAAAGTGAAAAGACTTGATAGAGGAAATATTCCACTGTAAGCTTTAAGATAATAGTAGGAACATTGGTACTCTTTCTCCAATAGTCGAACTGTGTACCAGTGTCCCAGTGGTGTTGAAAACTTGAATCAAATGTACAGGAATCAGGTCGTTCGAGTCTGATACAAGTTTCGAATAATACCATGATAGCCTTTGCCTTACAGTAGTATTGGATTCCTACTTTTTTCTTTCCATGTTTCGCACATTCAGCAGTAACCTTTTGTTTTACTTGACCCCATTTATTCCAGTTATTAAGAGTGGTTGGTCTAAATGTAGATGGTTGTCGATGGTATTGAAACAGTTTGTAATATGTCTGTGTAACCATGCCAGAAGAGTAGAATGCACTTTCTATTGTTTGTATTGGTAGAATGAGGAGGGCGTCTTCATGGAATAGCTTATTGATGGCTGCTGATCTTGCGTCGGTGTCCGGGCCAAGTGGAGAAGCAATCTTCTGATTGTTCGCTCCAATATTTCCAGCATCATAGCATGCCTGTACAGCCTCGTAAAATTTACAAGTGAAATCTTTAGCTAATGCGCAGTAAGGCCAAATCTTTGCACCGGAGTTTTTCCAATCATCACAAACTCTTTTCAGTTCATCTCTTGCGTTCTTTATCGAATCCAGTCTACCACTAACGGTTCTGTTTCGACTTACTTCTGATGAAGTATAGTCAAAAAGACGAGCCCATAATGCAGTAAAAATACCATGTGCATCGTTTCTATTCTTGTTTAACCATTTGGAATACACAGTTTCAACTGGTCTTTTGATATGGTTAGACAGAATTCCAATTTCGAACCAGCGGCATCGTTTTTGTAAGCAGATTTTGCCAGTGGAAGAAACCAGATAGAGGCAAGTGAAATCAATATGTAAATCTTCATCTCTCTGAAAATAACAAAAAAAATAGACTGTATCATTGATCATTGTCTCCGAAAAACGCTTAAAATAAGACCTTTCGATTTTATAATAAGGCAATCTTTGTTATAGATTTTTAGCACAAGGTTTCAATCGTAATGTGTTCAGATAGTCAACACTCATCCAAACCATTAGCTCGATAGAATCTGCACTTTCTACCAACGTAGACATATGTATTACTAGTAAAATCTATCTATCCTTTCATAACTTATTCCCCTTGGCTCGAGAAATCTAATTACCTCGACAATAAATCTAAGCACCATATGTTACAGACTGAGCATTTTGAAAAAAGGAAGCTAATATAACTGCTCCGCTCAATTCTATTCATTGTAGGCCTACTACATGACGCTGTGTTTATCCAATATGGAGAAGAATAGGCTATAGTGCGTAAACTCCCATTTATTTAGTGTTTTTAAATATTGTAATAATTTGTCCGTTCACAAGATTTAATATTACATTTTGTAGGCGCCAGTTACTTTGCAAGCTATCTTGAAATTTGAAAGTTGCAGAAAAGGTTCAAACAATTTATGGTAGTGGTATATTCCCAGTCAGAATCTACAGACGCCATTAATTTGCTTGTTTCGTGTGATATACGCATATTCATTTATGTTTAGTCATCTGCTTTACTCTTTCTAACCTGTAACTTTATGACCCTATACACCAATTTTCTTTTTTTGTGAGGATAATGGAATAACAAACTTAAAATTAAAACTAATTAACCAGTAACGACCAGGAAACGACCAACGAAAACGTGAATCGACCAGGGACCGAGCAGGAAAACGACAGGAAACGACCTCAAACTATTTTGCAATACATTCTTAGCAAGCTAATTACACCCTACTTTTTCTGCACATGATTGGACAACGCCATGTTATGTTCATCTATGTTAAGACAGTGACATAACTTCAGAAATATGGTATACTTACAAAGATGAAGTCTCTTATTCACGCACCTAAAACGAGGCCTGAAACCTCACTGATGAAACCTATCTTTAGGGTGGCATATTTATACATTTTATCTAAAAAAATTCAAATTTGATTATTAATAAAATTAATTTACGTTACAATAAATAGATAATAAATAACAAAGACCAAAAAAATAACAAAAAATAAAACAAAAAAAAAAACACAAAAAATCCTAAATGTATCCTTCTAAAATCAATTATAGGTAACCTTGGTTCAAAGACGCATGTCTACAGCTAAACAAAGAATAACCCTTTAAATTATCGTGGTAACTTACCATCGTATCACGAATACGGGTTTTGACATGGTATGGAAGTATGGAAGTATGACGAATGGGGGCATGTTTGGACACGATGGGTAACTTACTAACTAATTCAACCGAAGCAGGAAATTTGATGGCAGCAATCTTGATTGAGCAATTATAAAATATGTGATTCCTGTTTGTAAGCAAACATTTTCCTAATGATGTTAGAAAACTTTTTAGAGACGAAAAATATCAGAAAACGAAATACTAAGCAGGGAGTATTTACTCTTTTCAAGCAATAATATTAAAGCCTTTAGTTCATTCGTCAGTCGGATCAGGCTACAGCCATCTTTGTAGTGGTCATCACTATTTTTTAATCTGCTATTGTCATACTAATTTGGTTTTAGTTTTCTTTTATTTCGATCTGACCACTCATACCAAATTTTTCTGCGTTTTGTTAATCTCGTACCGATTCCATCCAAGAACTTTGAGGTGTCGACTTTTCTAAATAAGTAAGGCGAAAACCCAGACCTAACGACCATTAGAGGTCAATCGAAAACTACAACCATATTTTTGTATAGAATAAATTATCCTGATTAATCATATATACCGAAGTGTTTTTTATTTTTTTAAATCATTAGTTATAGTCTGGTGGCCAAACACGTCGGAATGAAAATGGGATCATTGTCCCCGATACACATATACAATTTCGCAAACCTCTTTACAACCACTTTAACTTAAAAGGCGCTGCTAAAAGTGGTACAGTCTTGTGTTACTCCAAGTTTGTATGGAAGACAGAATATCTTTTTATTCAATGTTCTTCATTCATATTTCTAAGTTCATATCTCTTAATTTGTACGCTAAATTTAAACGACCTCCATGTTCATGGTAAATGGCCAAAATTAACATCAAATTAATTCCTGGTGTAATTATATCATTAAAAACCTTATATTTGTTACTATTTTTGTCGTTTCTTATACGCCCATATGAAATAGGGTGCGTATATTGTCGTCATCCATGTCCGTTGGTTCTGACTTTGACGAAACATGGTTTGATTGTTTGTAGTAACCCATGGATGAACCCTATTGAAAATCAGAAAATCGAAAAATATTTAGTATGAGTTATTGCCCCTGTTCTTGAAATAGTCGTATACACTCTAGAAGGTTCAATTCTTGACGGATTTTGATGAAATTTGGTTTGAGTGTTACTAATCACCCAAGGATGAACCCTATTGAATATGAAAAAAATCGAAAAATATTGCCCTTGTTCTTTAAACTTGTTAAATTTTTAGCCCATGAACACTCCAGAAGGCACACTTCTTGATGGATTTTGACGAAACTTGGTGTTAGTGTTTGTTATCAACCATGGATGAACTTTATCGGAAATCAGAAGCATTGAAAAATATTTAGTTTTGAGTTAATGCCCTTGTCCTTAAAAACTCATCGAAGTTTTAACCTGTAAAGAATCTAGAAGGCCCAATTCTTGACATATTTTGACTTAATTTTGTTATATTATACTGTATCACCCCATAAACTTCAAAAGAAGTGAAAGACTTAAGGGTGAATATTTCATACTGGTAATTGTTACTGTACTGTCAAATATTTCTATTTAAAATCAAAGCTGCCATTGGGCGTATATTACCCTGCTATCTGCTATCTTTGAAATATACAGTGACATGAATAATTTCTTTGTATTTGAAATTTTTTCGAATTGTTGCTATATTTCTGCCCAGTTTTATTAAGTAAATAAACAGTTTATATGTTTTTCAATTGATTCTAATTGAACGAGGAAGAATAATAAGATCCTAATATAAATTTGTACAAACAAGACAATTCCGTTAATCAAAATCCCGTCCAAAGTATGGCAAAAACGAGAGTAAAGGCAGTATTGTAGTGTACTCCTCCAAAGTGAAGTAGCCTACCATCAGGTGTTTCGAAAAGAGTAAGCATGGTCTGCATGGATTATGAGACGATTTGTCTTGATATATTTTATTTTGGGCGATACATCTCAAGAGCAGACAACTTTGTCAATATCCGGCATTTCTCAACACATGGCAAGTATTGGTTATGAAATAATATTTAATGGAAAAATAATTGACATTTTATCAACATATTCTGTTCCGATTTGGTTGAAATATCGGTAACCAAAATGCAGACTCTTGATGAAGAAAATCTGGTGTCAACAAACACAATGTAAGTATGAAATCAAGAAGAAAAGCAGCCCAAAGAAATCTCGATTCTTGACCTCTTCCTTTGACTGTATCTGACTTTACTTAGTAGGCCACTGCATTTTGTTTGTAGAGTAGATTCACTATGCCTTAATAAGTTACATTCTAATAAGTGTTTTGAAAGATTGTTGGTCCTAGTTATAGTCAACTTGGCACCTAACCTGTTGGTCCAGATCCTGAAAGTGCCGAATATATGATAATACAAAATCGATATTTATTTAGATTAACCAATAATATATAAGTAAAAAAATCACTGATAAAAGATATTGATGTCTGTAGGTAATACATTGTCATAAGTAATAGTATTAGACCTACCATACTTAAATGTAGAATTTTGCTATAGTGAAATGAGTATCCAAAAAAGAAAAACCCACAAAACATGGAATTGCTATAAAAAAAAAATTATTTTAGATTATGCTGCTTGTGCAGTGCTCAGATTGAACCCAATCCATCTAACATGTGTGTAGCCTGTTTAACAACTCAAGTAGATATTACTGAAGGAATACCTAAACAAGGTGTACTATATTTCTGTCGTGGCTGTGAGAGGTAAGTCAAATTTTGGAATTTTAACTAGTGTAGGTCAGTGAACAGTAATTTTAATTTTTGAAGGAATTATGTGATTTTGGAACATTTCAAGTACTTCTGAAGACACTATATATATATCCTCAAGACTCAAATCAACCTTCTATAGTCTTATTATGAATATCTATAGTTAAAACTTTATATTGTTTACTACAGATTTCATTGGTAATTTGGAAATTTCACTTTAACAGATTGCAATTTACTAAAGCACAGTAAAAGTAAATAACGAAATAAAGTTACAAAACCCAATAATATATTCTGACAAATTTCATAGTTAATGTGTAAATTTTACTTAAATTTTTTAGATATTTACAACCACCAACCACCTGGGTTGTAGCTGCATTAGAATCCAGAGAACTTTTGTCTTTATGTTTAAAGAAACTGAAAGGCCTTTCAAAGGTAAAGCTGATAATTTTTATTTAGTTAGTAGACAGAGGCAATTAGATTGTGGCTTTCATGATGTCTGAACCACAAAGTAAATGAATTCACCTTTATAGATTGACATTTTTTTTCTTCAGCTAGAAAAATGATAATACTTTTTTCGAAAAAAGTGAAAAGATGTGAATTTCTACTGTAATGTTTGGTGAGATCTACAGAACAGTCTTCATCATAGTCTGATACTTGTAACTAAGCTATAAATGCTATTATATTAAGTATTTAACTGTCAAAGTAAATGTATTGTATTTGTAGGTAAACCTAGTTGATGCTGGTTTTATTTGGACTGAGCCACATTCTCAAAGAATTAAAGTAAAACTCACAGTACAGAAAGAGGTGGGTAGTTTCTGTAACATACATGATTATTATTTTAGTCTTATTGGGTTATTGTTACTTGACCCTAACTAAAATGACCCTCAAGTGAGGTCAAAATGGCCCCATGATTATGAAATATTTTGATATAGTCAAAGTTTATCATTTTGGGTAACTTCTTTTCCAAATTTTTTCATTCATCTGTGCCTCAGTATGACAAAGTCTTAAAATGGCATTAGCAATTAGCATAAGCTTTATAGAACAACTAGTTGAAATTTTATGAATTGTTTAGACATGTTTCTCTTCTCATCCCTGTAACAAAATTTTAGCTGAGTTGCAATATTTACGAAAGATCCTACCGTCCTAGTACTGAAAAGTAATAGGTTAGTTTCTTATGAATTGTATGCATTGTCATTGTTGTTTTTTATCTATAGGTAGTAAATAGTGCTATATTACAACAAGTATTTATAGTAGAGTTTACAGTCAACAGTCAGTTCTGTGATGAATGTCATCGAGTGGAAGCTAAAGATTTTTGGAGAGCTTTAGTTCAAGTTCGACAGAAGGTTAGAAAAAAGAACACTTTCTGGAATTAATTCTGAACTATCTTATAGTTATTATAAATTATACCAAATTTTTTACCCTTTTTATTAGCTTTTATTTTTAATATAGACACTTTAGTTAGGGTCTGAGGATGCACATAGTCTTTAAGTTGTAAATTTGGTAGCTGCGCAAATATGCTATCAAAATTTAGATCAATGAACAAATATAAGGACAAATATTCCTAATTTTGATAAAAAGGTAATGGAAAACAAATGGTATCAGCTCGAAACAATAATTTAAAATGGAACATCTTTTGATGGTACTTTCACTTTAAATTTTGTTTTATATTGTAGACTGATCACAAGAAGACATTTTTTTATTTAGAACAACTGATTCTAAAACATAAAGCTCACAATAAAACAAATAATATTAAACCCATACATAGTGGCTTAAATTTCTATTATTCTAACCAAGATGATGCCAGTAAAATGAAAGATTTTCTCACCAGTCACGTGCCTTCAAGGTTAGTAATCCAGAAATATTCTCAATGACAATTCATGCAGGAGTATTACAACTTTATGCTCGACAGTGTCTGCTTATAGATAAGATTATATAAGAATATATATAAGAATTGCAGATATTTATCTCAGGAATGTGTTTAAGACTAAATTATGGCATCCACAAGTTTTTTTTTTAAATGTATATTGTAGATTGTGTTTGTATTTGCTAATATTTTTCAATTTTATGATATTTCAGATATCAACTGTCTAAAGAATTGATATCACATGATATTCATTCTAATAAATATCAGTATAAATTTACATATTCTGTTGAAATCATACCAGTTTGTAAGGTAAGCTGTGTTTCCTTGTAAGCGTAAGAGTTAGACCCCTTCATCATAGGGCTTTTACTGGAACTTACTGATTCTTTTGCATTAGCCAATTTTTACTTATATTTTAAGCTATCGTGTTAAAATAAAACTAAAAATGAAATGATATTAAAGGCAGATTGTTATTAGTGTAAATGACTTTGTAGATGGATAACTTGGTCCAACTTCAACAAATAAGGCCACTACTAGGAAAATGTTTGTTTTTATATGATTTTTAAAATTGATTAATTGTTATGATGGCAGCTTTAAATATCAGTTTTGGACTAGATCTTAATGGAAAAATAATGTAAGTTAAGAGTTATAACTCTTGATTTTATTATTATAGGATGATATTGTATGTTTACCGAAGAAATTAGCCACTAGTAAAGGCAATATAAGTCAGATATGTATCTGTTACAGTGTTACTCAAATGATACGACTTATTGACCCCTTTACATTGAAAGGTAAGTCAAAAGTATTATTATTCTCAGGAAAATGATAGCTTTGTATTTCTATCCTGATAAAATATTCTCTCATTGTCCACTGTATGGTTTTAAAATTTCACTCAATGCAGACGTTACATGGTTTTTCCATCCTCATTAATCCTATCAATTCAAAGCAGAAATGGAACTACATGGCTGTCCTGGTAAAAATTCCCTCATTGTACACTGCATGGTTGTATTATTTCATTCAGTGAAGACACCACATGGTTTTTCATCCTTCTCCATCACCAAGCAAGATAAGACCATTGCTTCTCTTTCCTTTTGTAGTTGCTGAAATTTCCAGTAATAACTATTGGCGTGATCCGTTTGTAAGTTTAACAACACAGAAATCTCTATCAGAATTTATGGTCATGGAGATTGAGATAGTTCCTGAAAAAGACAAACCTAATGTTGAACCAATTTCTAAAAAGGTAACCATTTTTATTAGTTGCCAATCATCTTACAAAATGTCAAAATTTTAATAAACCTTACTTAGTAATTTCATTTGAAATTTATACATAGATAAATGTATTAGATATTTTTGAGGAATGTCACCATTTTGTTTCTTTTACCTGAAATCCTATTGATTAGTGCTTATGTGAATTGTTTTTATATTTTTGAAGCATGTGTTAGCAGATGTTTGGGTGGCTAGAATGTGTGACCTTGGGGTCAATGATCAACAGTACCATACCAGAACACATTTAGGTCATTTACTGTCAGAGGGTGACACTGTTTTAGGGTAAGAGACAGTTTCATACACAATTCCATCTCATATTACCTCTTACAAACTTATGGAAGTATTATTTAGGGAATTGCTTGTTTTTTCCTCCTGAAAGTGATATGGCGAGCCAAAAATAAACACCATCAGCTGGTAAAACAAATATTGAGAGAACTATGTTACCAGTTATATTTGTTGGGCTGCAAAGAATTTATTTACTTGACCATTGCAGTACATGTGAAAGTGCTATCATTGTTAGTAGATTATAAAATCTCTATTAATTTCAGATTTGATTTTAATAATGCTAATTTAAACAATGCTCAGTTTGAGAAGTTGAAACAAGACAGGATACCAGATGTTGTAAGTGTCAATCAATATTTATTTTGAAAAATATTTTGTAAAAGCTTTTTAAAATTTTAATATTTTTAAAGTGGCTTATTTACACATTTTGATTAAATGGTGGCTCACTGTCATTGTGTGTCAGTCTGTGGACTTTTGTTTGTAATTTGTTTGATGAGGTCCTGTACATGATAATGAACCCTAAGCAGGTCAAAAGTGCAGCAGATTAGGCTTATAACAACAGGCTTGAAAAAATCATTTCACGCTCAGTCAGTGAATGGCATTACCCATCTACATTAGCAAAATACTGTTGAATAATTTCAGATTATAGTAAAGAAGGTTTATGACAGAGCAATGAGAAATAAAAAAAGGAAATGGAAATTAAAAAGGATGGCTGATGGTATGGATACTGGAGCTGATGAAAAGTAAGGACAAATTGTATATATTGAGCTATATATGTAGGAGGATTTTACGCTATTACCTTGATTTACTCAACAATTGTTATCTATTTCCCTTATAAATGACACACATCAACTCAGAACAACTGCTCTGTTTTATGACGTCATTATCCCAAAGTATGTATGGGTACCCTGGATACAATCAAGATAAATTTACAACTAAATTCTTGTAATTTTCTTAAAATTCTTATGTCTTGTGACATAATTATGGACACAAATGAATTTTCAATAATGTCATATATCAATCATGAATCTAATATACTTAAAAATTTTTTTTATTAGGGAATATACTGCTTTTCTGGAAGATCTTGAAGAAGACACAGAATACAGACAAAATGTCAATATTTATGTTGGTAAGCACTGTTTTTTATTTCAAGGTTTTTTTTTTTTCACATTATAGTTCGTTTTGGAATTGGAGTATGGTGTAAATTGACTTGTGTTTTTATTATACATCTACATTATCTTGGTATTTTGTACATTGTTTAGAATACCAATTATCTGTTTATCATTAATTTAACTATTACTATCAGATCTATCTGGTACGGCTATTTAATTAATTTTTTTCTGTTGTACAGATCGAAATAAAATGGCAGTAGAAGTTAGTGATACAGATGATGAGGGAGTTCCTCAGATTAGTCTACAGGAGATGTTAGATGATCTACACATCAGTCATGATGCTACTGGGGAGGATGGTGCTGCTATGATGGAATAATTTATCTATATATAACTAAAAATAAAATGTTGGAATCTAGACAAAGATTGTTGTCAGTGTTATTCATAATACTTGGTTTCACATTCCATCAAAATAATACTTCTTTCAAATCAACCTTTGTAGGGAAAAAGTGTTATTTCACACTCTACAATGTGGGCCTTGAGATTTAGCTTCGAAAGGACTATGTATAATTGACATAACAAAATTTTGGGACTGTCCTCATCAAAAATCTGTAACTTTCATCTGGCCCTGGTGATTGTCACTCGATAACCTGAAGGTCCAGGGTTCAATCCAGGAACAGGTCAAGATTATACGTTCAGATTTTCAATCCAGTTTCCTCTTCTCAGTGGTGCAAGTCAGAGGGGCTGACATGATAAAAACATCAGTTTGTTAGGCAAAAGGCTTCTGTGGATTCCGATCTCATCAGTACATGAAGGTCCAATGACCTGGAATAAGTCATGTTCACTCATAATTCCAGACAGCCCATCTGTAAATCCTGGAAAGGATCCTAAACTGTGAACCAAAGTTGTTATCCTTGTAAAATATAGGCTAATTGTTTGTTTCTTTCTTTCTTTCTTAAAGGCTCTGTGTGCTACAGACTGCGCACGTTAAAGATCCCCGACAGTTGGAAACTGAAAAAGAGTAGGCTAATACCTCTGTCCTGGCAAAATTTCCTTCAATGCTCATTGCACGCTTCATTAGCCCAATATGGTGCAGAAAGTAAAACTCCATCCATTTCATTTCCTAGTGATTCTCAGGGGAAATTGTCAGTGGACAATACCAGCAAATTACACTTTTCAAATGACAAAGATAATGATATAATTTATTTTATAATACTTATTTTTTACCAAGCAATTCATCAAATGTTGTTTTCTTGAATCCAACTTCTGATCTTTGCATATCTGTGAATTTAATGTAGTATCTGTAACAAAACATGTTATAATTCAGATAAATCCAGGTTGATTCTAAGAAATAATCAGTCTTTTTTGTATCTGTAGAAGGCAGAATAATAGTAATTGAAACTATATTAAGCCAGACTTTTAACATGTTATTAATTACTACCTAACAATAAAGTGGACTGCCTCTGTTTCAAATAAAACTAGAGCATTTAAGTTCAAATGAGGCAGAAGGGGTCTGGGTGGTTTTAAAATGCACAATTAAATTTTTTTCTCATGTTTGGTCGTTTCCAAAAGTGAGACATATGGCCTTCACCTAAATAACCCTAAAAGCTTTGATTCCTAGTCCACAAATTCCTTTTCATGGACGTCAGATACAAGTTCATGTTCTCTTCTTGTGACCTTGGCCAGTGCATCTATAGTAGAGTATCATCTATAACACCCAACACCAACCCTTTTGATAAGTTATTAGACTGTGCAGAAATGTGATATTTGTTTCTGAAAATCAGTGTAGGTATTACCTGTCTGGCTTCAGTCCCAATGTCTTTTCCAGATGTTCTGCCAGTGTACAAGAGAGAACTTTATTTTCCTCCACACCTAATGCACCAATACTCTGTAATTCAGCGGAACCACACAGTTCATCACTACCAGCATGTATCATTTTAACATCACAGTGTATCCTGACAGCTACAAACTGCAAACACAAAACACATGAACACATGGGTAAGTTTGCCTCTTACATAGAGGTATGGACAGAGATTTTTTCAACTTTCTCTTCTCACCTGATCATGGTGAGAGAAGATAAACACGTTGCACTTCAACTTTAGTTAGCTTAGGACTTCTGAATTTAAAGGTTTTCTATTTAAAGATTGCTGTCATATGAATAGCCTAGGTCTACACATTTCAAGTCTAGTTTTCTTTACATTTTGGTTGCTTTTTCAAGGGAATAGAACTGACAAATCCAAACCTAAATATCCAATTACCTAGTATAATACTAGGTCTAATTCAAGACCAAAATATCAAAATTTTTGCATCAGCATCTTAATTATTTTTCAAATACAGGCAATGATGATACGACAAGATGTAAGCAAATCAGACAATCTACTCTGGTTGAGATATTTAACCACAAAATGATTAATTAAAATAATGATTGTAGATCTAATATCTTACCGATTCTGGTTTGTTTAATGCCGTGGCCACAATCTTGGATGTTTCAGTTAAAAAGTCACTAGGCAAATTTGCAGAGGGTAAATTTGTGTAAAGTATAAACATCGGCATTTTGAAATTTCAAGTGCCGTCACTGAATATACCTTCACCGAATATACTGTCACTTATTACAATCTAATAATAAGTAATTAGTAAAAGGCCTATGTCACTTTGACGTGGACTTCGTACTGTTAAAAATACACACGTAACACAATAGACTTTGCTCTAGATTTGAAAAGGGATTTATGTTTTTAGATTTTAGATATAACACTAAAAAGTGCACATGAGCAATAACCTTTGTGCACTTGGCCAGTCCATAGTGTTAAGATAGGGGATTCCCCATGGAATTCCCCTTCGAGATCGACGTCATTAATTTGTTGATGATGTCAACTTTTGCCATTACTATTTGGTAATCCTATCGACCCTGTGCTGTGCCGCGTTAAGAAAGTTTCTTATAGCATACATGTTTTCGGCACAACGGTATTAAAAAGATTTCAGAATATTTATTCATATCACGATGGAAAACTCATGGCTGGTACTTAGAGTTATGCGCCCTTTATTATCAATAGCCTAAGCGACATCATCTTAGTTAAGATAAAAAATTATGAAAAATAAAAATGCAAAATGACAACCACAGATTATCATTCTGACGATGACTTTGCTACTGACGAGGACGACAAAATAAGACTGTATGGTTCAACCTCTGATTCTTTACAAAGGGGGCCTAAAATCAGGCCGAGAGATATTATCAATTTTCCCGATGGAACTGACGAACGTGGTGTAACTTTTTCAGCAGGAGACAATGCCAATGGCATCGATGGTACAACAGACCGTCAAGAGTCAAATATTCCTCTTCAAGATTTCCAGGTTAGCTGTTTGATTGATGAGTCCCATACAAGATTGGCTACTTAGCCTAGTCCTTTACACGAAATAATAAAATTAATGTACGGTAATGGCTGTCTATGAAGTTTTTACATTGTCTTCTTATCTTAGCTTAGACTTGTCTTAGAGTTTGGGATAGGTATTCAGACTGAATGGAATGGTGCCTCACTTCAATAGGTTTTTCAAGAGTGAACTTGACAATCTGTCTTGTCATTTGTATTGTAGGTTCATGGTCAAGGACAGAATTCACCACTTCTCCACAAAGATAAACTGAAGTTAAAACAGTAGGTTTAGAAATAAAATTTGACATTATATTTTTGCCACAAATCATTTTGAACATAATGATAATACCACTAACAACTATTATTTATTTACCTATCGCTAATTTAATATGATAAATACCCATTTGGAAACATTGTGATATCTGCATGCCCTAAGGAACATATCAAGACAGAATATAATATTGAGGTTGTGTTTGTTTCAGCCATACTTATCCTGGGTTACATGGTGCCCCTTCCAATCATTCACTGGCTACAACATGGTCTAGTGAAACTGTCGTCTCCACCAAATCATTTGGTAGTTATGACAAGTAAGTAGGCCTATTAGTATATTTCAATCTGGTTTCTATCTGTCAGTGATGCAAGTCAGTAAGGCTGACATGAAAAAAACATCTTGTCGTGACAAAAAACCAAGTCCTGTCTCTCACCAGTTTGAAGTCGAAAAAGAATAGGTTAATGGTGATGTATTGGCAAATTTTCCCTCATTGTAAATTGCTTGAAATAGCTCATCTTCATTAATTCATAATTTAATGATTTAACTATGTTCTCTTGTCCATTAATGTGCTATGATCTATATCAGTAAAAGATTGATAAATGGAGTATCTGTGTCAATGAACGGTAATTTAATATCTGGAAATTTCAAACCATTGTGCTTTTAAATGATGCGTTTTATTTTTCAGTTGGTTAAGACATCCTAAAGTACGTGAAAATTGGCGTGTTGTCCTGGGATCTATAGCTTTAACAATTGTTGGTGTGGGTAAGGAAAAACACTGAAATTTATTTGATTGGACGTGATGAGGGCAGATATGACTCACAAAGGTCAACTTTCAGTTTGAATTACATATGTATAAATATTAATATTACACCTATTTTCTTATACCATTTTCCATCAACCAAATGATTTAATCAACATTGTATTTTTATTTCAGCATTGATAGTATCAGGTATAGGGGTATTGATATCAGCAAATAGAGGTTTGTTATATATCAATATTACCAAATCGACTAGAGCTCATCCTTACTATTGGTTGACACATGTCAGATAAACAATCCTCTTCAAGGCAGCTTTTTTTTGGAAAGGAGGGTTAACATGGCATATGAGCAAGCCCTGGTCATGCCTTCATGTAATTTCTCTTTTTTTAAGTACGTAACAATAGGATATAAAATATGATAAAATTCTATTATATTTCAGGTATTCATTGTATAGTGTTTTTTATAATAGGTTTATTATGCCTTATACCAGGAGGTAAGTAAAATAGCATATTTCTCTAACATCCTATTCTAATGTAGAAACAAAATTAAAACCTAGCTCATACTAGAAAATCTATGAGTGTGCAACTAGAATCAAAAGCTACCATGCCTTCTTTCTTACCTTCTTATGACGAAGAGCTATGCACAAGTAGAAAGTATTGAACTGTTTCTTCTTCTCATACAATCTGTTTCTTCTACTCATACAATCTGTTTCTTCTTCTCATACAATCTGTTTCTTCTTCTCATACAATCTGTTTCTTCTTCTCATACAATCTGTTTCTTCTACTCATACAATCTGTTTCTTCTTCTCATACAATCTGTTTCTTCTTCTCATACAATCTGTTTCTTCTACTCATACAATCTGTTTCTTCTTCTCATACAATCTGTTTCTTCTTCTCATACAATCTGTTTCTTCTTCTCATACAATCTGTTTCTTCTTCTCATACAATCTGATTCTTCTTCTCATACAATCTGTTTCTTCTACTCATACAATCTGTTTCTTCTTCTCATACAATCTGTTTCTTCTTCTCATACAATCTGTTTCTTGTCATAAGATCAGATTTGTCTGTATTTGAAATATTTTGGCTGTTATTATTTCAGTTTATCATCTAGTGATAATAATATTTGCTGTTCAAGGTCGACCTGGTTACACATTTTATAATATACCAACATTTAAATGACTCTACCACTTCAACTTAGATAATGGTATAAAAGGTGCATTCAACTTTAACATACAGATTTGTTTGGGTTGTTGCATTGCATTATGGAAAGACCCGGTGAAGATTATTTAAATTCTCAAGTTAAAGATGTCTGAGTGTGCTGATATTAGAATCTTTGAATCTGAGAAATTATGATGAAGACTACAATGAAGATGAAGAAATATTGATGGAATTGAGACTTAGAATTGGTATTGTGTAACTTTTAATGTTAGAACTTAAAATGTTGGAATTGAAACTGCACTATAAAACTTACAATTAGTAATATGTTACTTAAAATACTTTTTCATATATATGTCTTAATAACTTATAGATGTAATACCTCTTAGGATGAACAAAAAATTGAAATTTTAAAATGAGTCTGTGTTTATCAGTGGACTTAGTTTGTGTCAAAACTATATAACATAACCCAATAAAACATTAAACTAAGTAATAATTTGTTAAACTAAGTACTTTTGAAAGATGTTTCAATAATTATTTAGTTAAACGGATGATACTATTCTATAGTCATTACACCTGATAAGTCCAACTGATGAATATATACACTTATGGCCCAAGTTTGAGACTTCAAATTTTATGTCCATTCAAAGAGGAAATATTTGGCAAAATAAGATTATGATTGCACTTTATATTGCACTTTAAAACTCAAATTCTTTACAGGTGTCACTAAAATGAGAATGAAGCTACAAAGGGATGTATTTGTTTGAATATTTGTTTTATAACTATTAGCTGATTGAGCTTCAAATTATTGGTTGTATTTTATAGAAGAATAATCTGACATTTAATTCTCCTGCAATTCAAGAAAAAAAAAAAAATACCTTGCCAGTTTCTAAACTGCTCTCTTGGTCAGTTATGACTGATGATGCCATGATAAAGGTAACATCTGAATGACTTAACTTTTTGCTTAATTACATCAGAATTGTACATCGTGTTTTAAAAAATGTAAAGTGTTACAGAAATCAAATGTAAGTTGGTGAAGCATGTATTGAAACAACTATATTCCTTTTACTTTCCTAATTTATTGCCAATGTAGAATTTTCCATTCTTTGGCATCCACTGCAACCACTGTAGTTAAGTATGATTGTGTTTATGTTTTTGTAAGTATTAAATGTATGAGTATGTTAATGATATGTTTAATAATGGGTAGAAATACAACTGAAAGTATTTCTGTTATACTAATACTGGAGAAAGATACAATAGTTTTAAACTAATGAAGTTGTTCTAACATCTCTTGAAATTGTTTTCTTTTTGAAAAATGATGTAGAAAGGGTCACAATTTGTGAAATATATCAATCTTGTGTTTGCCAGTGAAATTTATGATTAAAATTAATGCAGAGAATTCATGAAAAATTGTTTGAATTAAGTATAGATTATATAATTTTATTAGTAATCACAAACACTTCACATATCCTTACTATTTCGTGAGCCATGTTTTGAATCCCTGTTAGTATATGTTGCAGATAGATATTTATTGTTATTGTATGTTGATATAGTTCTTAACTGATATAAGGATCTGTTAATGTTTCGTATTCCACTTGAAATAGGATGCAGGATTCTAAGACCATAAATTTACAAAATTTCATAATTTATTAATTGTGTTCAATGATATTATTATTTAATTTATTTATGTCCACTTCTGTCAAAATATTGTTTCTTGCCTATAATATTTCTATTTAAAATATATATAGTGTATTTACCATATATTGATAAACTACGATTGTTTTCAAAAACATGTACTGTATTGAGATTATTTTTATTTAAGCTTATTGACTTATTTTTGAATCAGCACATTTAAACTAAATTACTGTTAAAGTTATATCTTCACTTAGTTTAAGGACTTGGTTGAAGTTTATATTTTGAAGCTTGATTTGGAGTTATCGTAATCTAACATAATCTTAAGTTAGCAGTTGCACTATTTATTGAAATTTTCAAATATCAAATATGTATTTATTGACGTACTATATAGTGCAAATAAGGTTTGTTCACTGCACGTTTGTAATTTTCTTGAAAACAAAGATGAAAGTAACACAAATTGTAAAATATCAGTACACCTGTCTAATTGTTATCAATAACAAAGGTGTACTGTTCTGGATTGTTGTACTGTAGTATTACATTTTGTATTCCACTTTAATTTCCAAGAAATTCAAGAATTCAGTCCCATGATAAAAGGACTATATCAATTTAAAGGGATTGTAAAGAGGTTTTCTAATAATGTATTGGGGACACTGATAGCATCAATTTACACTCATACAGTTCCTGCTATTCCACTAAAACTAAGTGTTTGATGATGTCACTAATTGCGAAAGACCTCATTAGGCTTATTTTGCGATTAGTGACGTCATCAAAAACTCAGTGTACCTGATACAAATAAATATTTTAGAAACTTGTTTACAATCCCTTTTAATGGCGAGATATAAGGTTGTATTGTTATATCATTGTAATTCCATATCAAATTTTATTATATTATTAGTCCTTATTAAATACTTTTTGGTTATATGTTGAGTTTTAATAAAACATTTTTATACACCTTTCTTGGTATTTGTTTATTGTTAGGATTTATGATGTCTTCAAGTACAGATTGGTCACAGGTGTGACACTTGTGCTGACTTTGCCCACAGATCATAACATAAAGTAATTATCTTAAGTTGATGCTTCCAAATACCTTCTGAATCAGCCATCTGTATCACTTCTCAGAGGTTAAACCGGGTTGTCCTACAATTCAATCATTGTGGTTAGACTGTTATTACTTCTCAGTAACATTGTAATCATGATATTGGTAATTTCTGACTATGGGAAAATCCTGGTAGTGACGCCTTAACATCCAAGATAAACTCTAGTTAAATTGAGAGATCATTGGAATTTATATTGGAAAAATGATACATGTAGCTGAAATTGAGATCTCCTAATTTCGTTGCAAACTTTTCATGGCACCAAGAAAAAAATTTGCACGACATTTCTGTGTATGATTATCAAATATTGTTTATTCATCAACAAAGAAAAATGGCTAAAAATAATACAATAAACAAAATATATAATACATTATTAACTTAATCAACAAAATTATAAAATATTTCTTCAATATGACATTATTATTATTACTCTTCTGATTCTGGTTAAACAAATTTCAAAATACAGATTAAGGTGCTTATTGTTTGTTGTTTTTATGCAAATTAGTGTGCTTGACTTCCAAGATATGAGGCATTTGTTCAAAGACTTGTCTTGTGAAGCATTACCAATTAAAATTTTTCAGTTAAGCACAGTTTTCAGTTAATGCATGGTTTGATTTTACAGAAAGGAGAGATTTGAGCTTCACAAGTTAAGTCCAATCAAACATAGGCTTATCCATTAACAAAATCAAATTTTTACTCTAAGGCACTACAAATACAATGCAGATTCTGTCCAGGTACAAGCACACCAGTTGACACTTTATCACTCTAAATAAATATGTTCATTGTGTACAATTTCCACAGTCATGTTTCTAGGAAACATTAGGTGAGGGGGCTCAGCAGGTGCCATACAATTTTTCCAGGGAGGGAGGGGGCAATGGCAATTCTTTCACTATGTAAAATGATAACAAATTCTAAATGGGGGTGGGGGGGCCAAAGCCAAACAAACTAAATTTCCATAAATACCATAACCAACTTAAAATAAGGTGATCTTCATCAATTGTTTAACTATATGTCTATCTGTTTTGGGTGGACCTATTTTTCTGAAAAAAAAAATCAATACATGAATAAACATGCTTCCGTGACACTCTTTTTGGAGAGCTGTTTTTGAAAATAACTACTGAACATTACGAATAATTTGTTTGGCAATTTGAAATGGTATTAAACCAGCAACCCATGTAAGAAATGAACCTTATGAGTCCTTGTCATGCAAACCTTTTCAGTACAAGGATTTTTCAAACCTCTTGACATTAATCTTACCCAGATTAATTATACTCATTAAAAAACATAATCTATGTGAGGAAAGATCAATTATTCAGACTTTTTCACACTAACTTAGATAGAATCCCAATCACCATTTTGTTGACATGACCAATCAAATGATGTTATACCAAAGCTATATTTGACTGGGCTGCAAACATGTCCTTTGTTTTTTTTTAATATTTTAACTTACTGATTTATGTTGTGGATTAGTCCTAGTTCTAGTAGACAGAGATTGTGAAGAAGGTTGAGATCTGGTATTAGAATCAGCATTTAATAGATGAACTGATCTGTGGCGGCTTGATGCAGCAGGCATATTTTCACCATTATTCAATCCTTTGGGAGACCTACATGGGGTACAAATATGAGAAGATGAAAATTGTTTTAAAAAAACTGTCCTATAACAAATGATAAATAAGTGATTCAGAATTTGCCAATATATTCTGATTACCTCTGTACATGTACACATAAATCTGTGAACTGCTTTAAGCTTTCGCTCAGGCTTTTTGGCTTATGGAGGGCAAAGGGTTAGCAGAAGATAAAGAAAGTCAGAGGTGAAAATAATGCAAAATGATAAGAAAAATTTTTTCCAAATTTCGGAGCTAAACTTTCACATAGACTAATTGAAAAATACTGAAAATATTAAATAGAGCACTATCAAAACAAAGTATTTTTCTTCATAAAACTTTAATGTATTTAAAGATTACGAACTTCAGAAAATCAATAATTACATATATATACCGGTATATAATTTAAGATTACATGTACCGTTTCTGTCTTGTTGTTCTAGCCTTTTCCCTGTCATTTTTATCCAGTTCCTGTACAACTGACCTTGAAGATACTTTAACAGGTTTCTTCTTTCTCACATTACCATCTGCTGTAAATAAAACAATAATAAAAAATAAAAATAAAGTTCACTATTGTGTCTTAACATAAAAAAGTGTTGTATAACACAAAGGAATATATTATGGTATAACACAAAGGAATATATTATGGTATAACACACTTCTTTAATAACAAATTACATAAACCCATGACAATGAAATACACTTTAAAATGAAAAGTGAGTGAAATTGCAGACAAACAGGACATCTATGTGGTTATTATCACAAATTCATCTTTGATGCTTTCTTGCAAAATTTGAAAAACCAAAATCCTAATAGATGCTTAAAATCATGAAAAAATGTTGGAGCTTCATGGCCTCTGAAGAGGGGTTCTGTTTGACACTTGTATGTACCTACAAGTAATGGCTAAAATTCCCTGCTCTCTGATAGTTGCTAAATGCTTTTCTTTTGTGGAACTGGAAAAAATTTAAGTGGCAATTCTGAATTAAATAGATGCTTTGAGAAATTCCAACACCACAAGCATCATGCAAACAGACACCTAAATCACTAACCAGAATGACAAAGAAAGCCTGAATGGTATAAATATTTAAGTTACCTGAACTACCTGTAGCACCATTCATTTTATTACTATCTAGGAAAGTCTTCATTGATTCTCTCATAGCATCATCAATATCATCTTCTAATAATTTATCTAGAGTTTCCTGAGTTTCAGAATCACGCCGTTTTGACGATTTTTTAACTCTCAATGCAGCACCATTAGATTTGTTGCTATTGACAACATCTTTATTCGATTCTCTTAAGGCATTTTCAATATCCTCTTGTAAGAATTGATCCAATATTTCCTTAGTTTCAGACTCGCGACGCCTTGGTGATTTCCGCACCTTAGAAGTGGCACCGTTAGTGTGTCTACTGTCATACAAGGCAAACATTTCTGAATTATTATTATGTTCTAGATGATTATCTAAGCTTGGAGCAGGTTGTCGTCTAGTCATTCTAGACTTGTTAAAACTGTCGTCTGTTGTATAATTTCTTTGTTTATGTTCAGACGGTTTTAATTTAGGTTGATATTGTGTAGCAGGGGTCATAACTCTAGGTGTAACTGTTGCATTCAAATCACATACTGACTGAAATAATAAACAACTAAGTAATTTGGCATTAATTTGGTCGCTTATTTTGTAAAAAGAAGATTTGATAAATTTCATTTGCTCCCCATCTGTAGGCTACCCAAGTTTCAAAGGAATTTCAAAATATGATTCTTGTATGTTTTCCCGCCAAAATAAGTGAGGGCCCCAAATAAAATTTTGCTGAGAAAAACAATCTCTCGATACTCTCATACCTTCAGCAATTCCATTATGCTTCAGCATTTGGAATCTCAACCACTACAGTTGCAATTAAGTAAGTCTGCCAAAACTAATTCCCAGAGGCTGGCACAATCACTGAAAACAATACCACATACCTGATGTAAAACCAACATATCAGTAGGAAATAATTCTGAACAAAATTCACAGGGTAACATAACAAGATCATCGTCAAAATTATCATTAATAAATACATTATAATCATCATCAACTGTATCAGTTTCTATTTCAGTAGATTGCCTGAAATTATACAAAAACATTATTTACACCATAGACATAAATTAAAGAAAAAAATAATTTCTGTAACTGATTATAGTGCAGCCCGACAGCATTAAGAATTCTTATGAGCTAAGTGACTGCCCTGCCTTCAATAACGCAAAAATTTCGAAACTTTTTAGCACTGCTAAATCCTGGAAGTAAAGAGTCTCGCCCAAGAATGAAACACAACAAAATCACCATTCATAACGAAGCCAGATTCAGCTTTATGGACTACTGAATGATAGCTAAACTGAGCTCTCTAATAATAAAGATAATTAAAGATCAACTTACCATTGTGGAAGTCTATTAGTTTCTAGGTTATTTATAACAGGTATAAAGGCTGAAGATCGATGAATTTGGGGTTGTATAACATTATTTTGGTTGTCTGTAGGTGGTTCGGTTGTTGGCCAAGAACCTGAAGCTAGGGGATCACATCCACTCTACAACACAAACAAAATATTCTTATAATTGCATGTAAAATGTGCATTTTTGAACACTACAGAGAGTTTACATAATAAATATGAGATTATTAAATGAGTATTTATTTTATTTTTCTTTCTGTCAAGTCAATATCAAGCAGTAGAATAGTTGAAATTTAACTTTTACACCGGGTAACAACTTCCACGTACACAAAGAATGACTTGAAGACAAATCCACCAGTTGATTCAGTTTCAATCTTTTACACCTTCTGAACCTTGTGACATTTGCTCAAATTTGAAGGCCTAATAATACATCAAAAAATCTATGAAATGAATAACTGTACCTGATGCTGGATAATATTAAATGATGGTATTGAATTACCACAGAACTCACACGGTAACATAAACTCATCTAATAAATAAATATCACATCATTATACAATACAGTATTGACCATATTAGTCAGCTAAAACAAAGATTTAATAGCAGGCCTGAATCATAACATATTGTTTCATCTCATCTTTTCCTTGGCTAGGTTGATTTGGATGAAAATTTACTATAACAGACTCTTGAAACCATAACATCAGAGATTGATTTATGTCAAAAAGATTCAACCCTATGGAGGGCCTATCTTCAAACTGGTCTGCCATTCAATCTATAGCTTTGCATCCACGGGTTGAAGCTATTGTCATCATTGAAATTCATGCCATGCACTAACATCATTGGGGTTCATAGTTGTCAATGCTTAATAGACTACTTCTCACCAGGGATAATATTTTGACCATTATGTCAGTGTAGTTATAAGCAAACACAACACAGGTCCATTTTAGGCTTATCTCATTACCTACATGACATCAAGATTTTTATTGGTTCTAACATGATAGTGTTTTAGTGTCAAATATATAATAACCATAAAGTGTAATTTACCATTATTGTAATTAGGACTTGTACTAGATGATCCACTACTAGCCAATGTATTGGGAGCTATTTCACTTTCTTTATGTAAGGTTTCCATATATTGACTCAGTTCATCATTAGAACCAGTAGCACCAGTTAAAGATCCTGCTAACATCTGTGATAGCATAGTATCATATCGTCTACTAGGTGATATACTTCTTAATTCTACAAATGAAATAACATAATCATAATATTCAGCAGGCATTGGCACAGCAACCCCAATTTTTATGTCCATCCTTTTCTATGTAAAGAAATTACTCAAATTACCATTATTTATGTTCTGTAAATCAGTATTTATATTCTGTTAGTCATTTTCATTCATGTTCTGTTAATCATTATTTATGTTCTGTAAGTCATTATTTATATTCTGTTAGTCATTTTCATTCATGTTCTGTTAATCATCATTTATGTTCTGTAAGTCATTATTTATGTTCTGTAAATCATTATGTATGTTCTGTAAGTCATTATTTATGTTCTGTAAATCATTATTTGTTCTGTAAATCATTATTTATGTTCTGTAAATCATCATTTATGTTCTGTAAGTCTTTATTTATGTTCTGTAAATCATTATTTATGTTCTGTTAGTCATTATTTATGTTCTGTAAATTATTATTTATGTTCTGTAAGTCTTTATTTATATTTTCTCTGATTGATTTTAAATATACCAATCCCCATTTCACAAAATATCTAGAATTCAACCTATTATGAAAAGGGGGCTTGGTGCATTATCTATTTATAGGAGCACAATACATATTCATTCTAAAACTTAAAGTACTAACCGTTTTGTTTATTGACAGTAGATCTACTGTTGGTAGTATTTTTACCTCTTGATCTGTCAGTAGTATTATTCCTCACCGAATGCACCGGTGGAGTCTGAAACCTATTTCCACTTTCTGTATATAAACTGGACGGAACCATAGCTTCATCAAGTATTCTGTGAATTTCATCAAAGGTATAGGGATCTATGGATTCATAAGGTATATTTTGTGTACTGGATGGTACCTGTGGTTTTGGTGTAGGGTATGTGCACCCACTTTCTACATGCCTATTAAAGTCTTTAATCATAATATACTGTTCACATGATAAACACGGTTCAGTTCTTGTTCCACAATATCCTTCATGTTCCAAGACATCACATTGAGGTATTTCAAGCTCGCAATATGAACATTGACTTGGCTTGTTGGGACAATCTGTTGCCTGCAAAATTAAAATAAGATTCAAACATGATGGGGTTGTTAATTTTAAATTTTAGGAATGTTTTGATAACATTTCTTATGTATCTATGATTTTAAGGCATTTAAATAAAAATAAATGATCAATGAAATATAGAACTAGAGTCATCAAGGAGGGTCTTGAATATTTATCAGAGTTTTCAAGATCTTTTTGTTGGTTCAGATTAATTTCAGTTAGACTATAAAGAATGTACACCTCAATTGAATCTAGCAAATATTATACAAGAATGGCATCAAAAACATTTGAATTGTTTATGTTGTCTCAAATACAGGTCAGTGTTGTTTGTAAAATTTAATGTTTTCTGATAATGCTTACCATATGGCTTTCTAACTGATCCTTTTCAATTTTCATTTTACACAAGTCACAGTTGACCTCTACATGGTAAGTATTAAAATGTTCTTCTTCTTCTGATCTTGGTACCGGTTCATTACATTTCTTACATAATACAATATGTCTTTTACAGTGCATTTCATGCATAATAAAATTAACTGTTGCAATGTTCTTTTTGCTGAAAGTACAAAGGGAGGATATTTGAATATAATTATCACTGGGGCTACTTGATTGGTGGGTTTGCATTTCACAGAATCAACTGATTGAAGTTGGAACAGGGTTCAGAATATGTGCTCATAAAATAGTAAGTGCAGACAGAATTCAAAATGACAAAAAAAGGAAATAGATGGGAAGAGTTTGAATGTGACATATTCTGCTTCTATACCGTTTTCAATTGAAGGCAGAACTGGAACAAACAGAACTTGTTCAGAACTCTCTTATCGAACATAGTCTGTTTTGAGAAAATACCAGTCTGTATATCTTGTATATTTTTTGAGCTCATGTGTAAAGACAAAAACTTTGTCTAGATTAAATTCGATAACAATTCTTCCACATAGCTTTGAAATAATTCTGATTTTTTGCAATCCAAACTACAACATAATTTTTATGTTTAATCTCAATTCTAACAAGTCACAGATGCACTAGTGTAAGCACATAGTCTATTAAATATGGAAAAACAAAGCAGGGCTTGATTAATATCTCATGGGTCATGCTTTCTTTGAATCTCTCTTAGTCAGCCAATAAGTAGGCAAAAATATCAATCGGATATTTCTCCTGAAACAAAAATAGTAATAGGTAAATCATCTTACCAATTGCTGCAATATTTTTCATCCTGAGAGTTTTTATCAGCCATTTCGAAATATTTTAATATATTAGATTATTAGGTAAGCTTACTGTGTTTTTCTACCTACAAAAAATAAACACTTAAAATGATTAAGACTGATGGACCATTTAATCAGTTTGAATGTAAATTATCTAATAAAACAATTTCAAATTTGGTGATTGTATTGTGTTTTTCTTTACTAAGAGACATATTAAAAGAAATTAGTTAAAACACTTTAAACTCAGTTGATAGATACAGTCTATTTATTAGTGCTGGGTACTGCCAATCATGTCAAGATACTATACACACCGTGATACAAAAGTCAAATTACAATAAGCTTACGTATCGCAGTGTGACCTCACGATTCAATACAATATTGCAATTGTTTCTCCGTCACACGTCAGTACGTCAGTCAATACGTCAGTCAACGGAGACCTTACTCCAATATTGTGATACATCTGTTCACCTTGCCAACACCACACTATTTATTAGGTTCACCAAAATGTAATTTGTAAATGTAATAATATCCCCTTCAACAGAAGACACATTTGTTTAATTCAAAAGGCTGCATCTTTGCCAGGCAAGATTTTTTGGACATACATTAATTGATCAGCTCTTAATATAAGTCTAGACCAAGGTATAAAATCGATGTTATTTATTGTAAACATGACTATAAATAATACTTTTTTAACTACTTTCACTTTAGCATTCCTTCTATAATAGACATTGCGGTTGATTCCTATTCTAAATGATTCATGGTGAAATCATACATAGAAACTTTAGAATTGGGGTCTGACTAATGTATACATAGGACATATAAGAGTCTTTAACGGTCAAGTGGGCCACATACAATATATTTTTTTTAAAATGGTTTCAAGGAATCAATGTTTACATGACACTTACCATTTCCCCATGACATAATCTTAATAAATTTTGATTGGCTGGAGATTCAAGAAATGCGACTTGATTGGTCAAAAATAGCTCAGGAAAAAAAGATAACTCTGAAACTATTTCCGGTAAAATCCGCATGTCGTAAAAAGAAAAAAGAAGTTTTCAAGTCAAATTAAAAACAAGAAAGCATAAAAATGGCAACGGGTGAACTAAGTGAAGCCCAATTGAAACTGGCGACAGATCTAGAACTTGAAATGATGGCTGATATGTACAACAGGTAAAAAATTAGTATATGCTTTTATCTTCTGATGCAAGGAAAAATAAGATTAAAGCTAACATGAATTTGTTTAAAAAGTGAATGACCTTGCCTTATCAAAGTTTGATTAAAGCTACCATGGTGGCTTGATTTTTTAAAAATTTCTAAGTAATTGATTGATGTATAGGCCTATTATATATCATGCATTCTATTTATTAAATTACATCCATTCAAAGGCTGGAAATTGAGACCTTCTCTTTTTACCAACTTCATGAAGCCTTCATCTGATCAGTTCAATGTCAGCATAAAGTAATTATTATTAATATTCATTTTTTAGAATGACAAACGTATGTCAGAAAAAATGTATTCCAGCTAAATACAAAGAACCTGACTTGTCCAAAGGTGAGGCTGTGTGTATAGATCGCTGTGTAGCTAAATATTTAGAAATTCATGATAGGATTGGTAAAAAATTAACAACGCTTTCTCAACAAGATGAAGCAACCATGAAAAAACTTCAAGAGACTCAGATGGCCCCACCCAAGTGATGATTATGGATATTAGGATTATTTTAATTATAAAGTGGTTAAGTGAGGAATGTAAATGGATGATTGAATAGTGTGCTGTAAGACTAGAATCAAAGTCATCAAATACTGTATTGTGTATAATATAATATGTGCTGTTCAATTGGTTATTAGTCTATTTTGTTTTAAGAATTTTGGTATTCCAGTGCTATACATCTGAATTTTCATCATATCTGCAGGGTTTGTATTAAACTAAGCCAGCTACACTTGAATTTGTGAGTGTGGAAATGAGTTTAGAGCTATTTATATCTGATTAGAAAGGGTGAAAATCATGTAAACAAAATAATAAAATTTATTTGCCGCTACCTGTTTGAAGATCATATTCCTTCTAGTTAATAAATATTCTAAAGTATGGTTTTGATCTTCTGTCAGCTTTCATATACTGGAAGTGAACTTCATTTCTTTACCGAAAAATCTTGATTATTTCTGTATCGTCCATATTAATCAAAACATTTAATGACATGCTGCTTTTGTTCTGTTTACATTCTCTAACAAATTGTCTATAACGAACGATATGATTTTCCTAGAAAGATCTCAGGACCAATTTTGACAATATTTAGCTATTATGTAATTTCTAATTTCTATTACCATGGGCTGGAGGAAGTATGACAAATGGGGGTGTGGTGTGGACACAATGCTGAATTGTAAGATATTAAAAAAATCAGGAGATTGTAAAAATGTACATACTTTGTCAAAAAGTTTTGAATATGATATGATATAAGTATGGTATGTAATGTGATAAATTCTAACTTTTTTTTGAAGAGCATATCTATATATCATATTTGTAGTTAGAAACATAAATTTTGGAGCACTAATCAAATCTAACAAAACCATCAGCCTTATTGTTAATTCTCATCTAATACTAATAGCACCTCATACTTGTTCTCCTCTCAATGAATCCCCAAATTGATCAAATGGTAATTATGTTTATTTGAAAATTTATTAGTCAGATATAATAATTGTTGATATAGGTATTTTAATTTAGAATATTATTTTTTCATTTTTTTTCTCACATTTGTTGTTTTATATGCTAAGAGAATATATATCAAGATGTATCTGTAGATTTGAATATAAGTAGTAAGAGTAAATAAAAAATGTATAATATTACACCAGAATCTTTATACTGAAGACATGGATTGAGAATATAATGTAAAAGATATGATATTGATGAGGCTTAAGATTAGCTATCCATAGTACTTTTCAGAATTAAAATCAAACAGTTGGCTCTCATAAAATCATCAAAAACTTGCATGAGACTGACAGCACTTCCTTGCACATGTAAGTTATGATATGGAAGTGATGCTGTATAAACTTCCAATGATCCAGTTTTTGTTGAATTGCAGGATAGTTGAATGGATGGATTTTTGTCTTGGAAAGTACTGGCTGACTAAAATTAAGTGCTAACATTTAAATATGTGCCTTTCAAGGTACTATGGGGAGGTTTTAAGACTTTAAGTGGAGTGAGACATGTCATAGATTCTTCTTAATACAAAAATAGACTCAAACCTCAACAAAACATAAATTAAAAAAATTTCATAGATTTAAAAACATTTATTTAAGAAACATTGTGACTTTTACAGCCTCTAAGACATAATAAAACAACATTAAAAATATAAATTAGATTAGATTAAGAAACAAATTTGGGCCCACTATGATCATAAAAGTCAAGGTCAATTTTTTGTCCAATATTTTCATTGAGTAAAGGATAAACTTGTTCTTTTGGAGTTTCAATTTTCCATTGTCCTTGTTCAGTAAGAAGCTTATGTTGTTTACATACAAAGTCTGTAATATCATCTATTCTCACTAACCATTCACTTGTAAACTTGGATAAAATCTAGAAAAAAAAAGAAGAAAAAATATCATCACAATTATCAACACCATCAACAGTATGGTAAACATTTTGATGTTTTGTCAATTGTATTGCTGACAAGCAAGTGGTATCGAAGGTTTTGAAAGGCTAAGCATGCTGCATGAATGGTGGCACTAGTCGCAAGGATAACAACTATTGCTTCTTGCATATGGACAGTCTTTTTCGCTGATTAAAATCTTACATGGGCCCATGCTTCCACAAAATTATATTGTAAATTTCAAGCCACTTTTATATTTGTCACCGATTGTTTTATCGTCTGCAAAATAGAACGTAATCATCCAATTAAATTCATTTTCCTTTCCTATCAATTACATGATCCGCACGTGATGATTAACGTAGTGGAATACGACTGACATTGATTTTTCCCATTTACAGCTGGGCCAAATGGAATTTTGAGGAAAGGTGATATATCTAAGGTTACCCTACCCGACTGCACTACAACCACACTCGTGTCACTATAACCTTGGCTTATAAGTCTGGCTTAACTTAAAGCAATGCTTACCTGCCCCTTCAATCCAAGTTGAATGGCTTTTCTACCCTCTACTTTATTTCCATCTGGGTAATGATCTGGATCCCATTGTAATCTTACTTGTATTTCATCATTGGTTAGGTTCTTGGATTTTTGTAACTGTAAATGATACAAAATATTAAGGCAGTCTTTAACAATTTTCACATATTAAAATGCTTGATATAATGTCTATTTATAATGGGGTTGTAAAAGTGAGTTAACTAGAAAAAGATTTCAAAAAAATAACTCAATAGTAATATTTTCTACACAAAGTTTCACTTATTTACATGGTCATCATCAGGTGAAAAGTGATATGAACTTTACGTTTACAAGATAAAAAAAAAATGTAATATCTACACTTTAATGTCTTCAAGCTAACTACAAAACAGTATGAAGACAAAGATACATTTTTTATGCAGTGATCCTGTTTGTCTTATTAGTTAAAATATTTAATCTAATAGAATGAGACTCATATCAAGAATGAACAGTTGACATTCACAGGGGGAGTGTTTTAAAAGAAAATGCCATCATTTCTCAAATATGTTGTGATGAAAACTATAGCCTATCTTTATGATCAATATTAGAATAAGTAGAACTCACTGAAGCTGTGTAGGCGTTTTCTAATATTTTTTCAAAACCTTCTCTAGTAATAGTTATAGCTAATATTCTCTGTTGATCACGTTTCTTAGCCCATCCACATCGATACATCATCCATAAAAAATTGGTTTTAATCCATGACATCCTTGTAAAACTGTAATCTGGTCCACCAAACCTAAGAAAAATAGATAAAAACAACGCCAAAAATTGAAACAGACTTAATTGATGACATTCCATGGAATACACTGCTCTAAATGTTGACCTCAAGCTGATAATAAAATGCTACCCCATAACAATACATGCTGACACTGAGATTTGGCCTCGCACCTCATTGTGTTTTTTGCCCTATCAATCTCTATGTCTACATCAGATTGTCGATAGTCATGAACCTTTGTTAATTTTCCCTTGATGTCCTATATGACGGAGATTTACCTTTGATTATGTACAGCATATTCAGCGATAGATGGTTTAAAAGCTTGATATACAACAATATTCTTATCATCAAATTGGGCCAGAATATGTTTTCCATCTTTAGGCCATCTTTTCGTCTGCTCAGAATATGATTCTGTAGTCAAACTGAACCCGAGTTTACTTCCCCCTTCAACTACACTTTGTTGAGATCCCTTACACACATCATTTCCACAGCCTTCAGATCTACTGTACGTTGCCATTCTTGTAGTTTTCATGCTTCTTTTGCTAAGGAACGTCCAAGATAGGTATTTGTAGTAGAGATATTTCCACTTCATATGCAAGTTACAACCTTACTTTCGATTTTTGTTCACATGCTAAAAATAGAAATGAGTCACTCCTTCATTCGGATAACATCGTTCATTTGGCACACGGAGTAATTAAAATCGCATTCTAAGATCATATTTAGGAGATTTTAAGGTCCAGAAAATTGAAATTTTTAAACCAAAATGAGTCTTTGTTCATCAATGGGCTTACCTGGTGTTATAACTATACAACATAATCTATCTAATAAATCTATAAAACTAATTAATAATTCATTAAACTAAGTAGTTTTGAAACAGGTTCAATAATAATATTTAGTTCAATGGATATAGTTATCGTCTTATATAGAGATACTATTCTGTAGTCACGGCACATGGTCAGTCCAACTGATGAATATATATATTTGGCTATAAATTTTATGTACATTTTATTAACCAAGAAATACCAAAAATGATCAAGGAAGCTTGTGGCATCAAGTCTTTTATACAAGATATTTCTATATCTTCATGATACTAGAAAATATCTAAATATACTTAAAATATCTAAGAGGGCATTTTGTCAAGATGCAAATATCTTGTAGGTACCTAATTCCTCAAGAAACAATCTGATGAAGAAAAGATGAAAGCCGATGGCTTTGGGATAATGATATCTAATAAGTAATTTCTTCAATTCCCAACTGTTGATTGGACATTGAAGTTCAAAGATAGCTTGCCAGGCAAGGTAATATATGCCTACTGGCAGCTTTGATTTTGAATAAAAATATTTAGCAGTACAATAACAATCACCAGTATGAAATATTCAACCTTCAGTTATACACTTCATTTGAACTCTTTAGGGCGATACTGAATAATATTGAGTATGAGTTACTGCCCTTGTTCTTGAAAACGTGTTCAATCTTTAGCTTGTGAAAACTCTAGAAGACAAATATTCAATCTTCAGCGCAAGAATCATGTCTTCTACAGTTTCTACGAACTACAAATTGAACTATTTTCAATAACAAGGGCAATAACTCATACTAAATATTTTTCAATCTTTCTGATTTTCAATAGGCTTTATCCTTGGGTGATAACAAACACTCAAGCCAACTTTCAATAAAATCTGTCAAGAATTGTGCCTTCTAGAGTGTTTACAAGCTAAAAATTGAATGCGTTTTCAAGAACAAGGGCAATAACTCATACTAATTATTTTTCGTTCTTTCTTATTTTAAATAGGGTTCATCCTTGGGTGATAACAAACACTCACACCAAGTTTCATCAAAATCCATCATGAATTGCACCTTCTAAAGTGTTTACGAGCATTTCAAGAACAAGGGCAATAACTCATATTAAGTATTTTTCGATTTTATCGATTTTCAATAGGGTTCATCCTTGGGTGATAATAAAAGATTTCAGCAAGTTTTGTCAATATCCGTAAAGAATTGTGATTTGTAGAGTGTTTTTTACCAAGTTTTGTCAAAATCCAGCAAGAATCATGCCTTATAGTGTTTAAGAGCTAAATTTGAAAGCATTTTCAAGAACAAGGGCAATAATTCATACTAAATATTTTTTCGATTTTTCTGATTTTCAAAAGGGTTTATCCTTGGGTGATAACAAACACTCATGCCAAGTTTTGTCAAAATCTGTCAAGAATTGTCCCTTCTAGAGTGTTTACAAGCTAAAAATTAACGCGTTTTCAAGAACAAGGGCAGTAACTCATACTAAATATTTTTCAATTTTTCTGATTTTCAATAGGGTTCATCCTTGGGTGATTACGAACACTAACATAAAGTTTCGTCAAAATCCATCAAGAATTGTGCCTTCTAAAGTGTTTATGAGCTAAAAATTGAACGCGTTTTCAAGAACAAGGGCAATAACTCATACTTAAAATTTTTTAATTCTTCTGATTTTGAATAGGGTTCATCCTTGGGTGATTACGAACACTCATGCCAAGTTTCGTTAAAATCCATCAAGAATTATCCCTTCTAGAGTGTTAACGACCTAAAAATCGAACGCGTTTTAAAGAACAAGGGCAATAATTCATATTAAATATTTTTCGATTTTATTGATTTTCAATAGGGTTCATCCTTTGGTGATAATAAACAATTTCAGCAAGTTTCGTCAAAATCCTGAAAGAATTGCTATGTGTAGAGTGTTAACAAGCAATTGTGGACGGACCGACCGACGGACTGACGGACACGGGTGACGGCAATATACGCCCAACATTTCACATGGGCGTATAAAAAAGATGAAACATGGATTGTCATATGCGCTTCACTGGGCCAAAACGATTGAAAAAAAGACAACAAAAATCTTTGCTCGTTGTTTTATTATACATACTAATTATAAGTTTTAATCATAAAGAATTATATTACAATATCTTATTATAAAAAATATACAACAGAATATAAGATCACTGTTTATATGTTGAGTAGGTGATAGTGCAAACACAACCTTGATATTCCTGGTTTATAATGGTCTCTAACAACATCATTTGAAGGGATGGTAAAAAGGTTTTCCAAACTCTTTTCCTGGCATCAGGCAAACCACCTATAGCATAGATTTGTGCCAATCCATGCTATAAGTGTTCCCAATACACATAAAAAGTAAGAAAACCTCTATACAATCCCTTTCATTACATGATTTAAGGTTCTCTGATTGCTCTGATTAGGCCAATGCTATTGTTCTGACAAAATTTCCCTAATTGCACACTGCATGGCATGGCCGGTCTTCATTCACCCATAAGGTGCAGAAATGTAGGACGTAAAACTATGAAATCTGTATTTAAAATTTGGTGGTTTATGTTCTCCTATATAACACAATACAAGTAGCTTTAAGCATAACTCAACTTTATAATCACAGTGCTAATATCTGCATACAGGATTTTAAATAGCCGACAAAATATATTGAAACAAATCAAATACTTTAGAATTCCATCTGTTTAATAACACAGATATTATCGCTTATATTGCTTACACAGTTCTGGACAAATTTCTAAACGTGTAGAGACATTGGTATTTCTGTGTATAGGAACGCAATGTCTTACTAATAAAGCTAAACAAGATTTCATATTGAGGATATAAATTGAGCTAGTATAAAGGGTACAACCCTCCAATATTTTGACAGTCAAATTAAAATGAGACCAAACTTATGTTCCGTTTTTTATCAGCTTTTATTTATAATATAGTATAGAGGCTAACTTTGACAAATAAAATGATAAATTTAGATTAGATTTTCATTCTTTAAATAATAGAAATATCTGTTTAAGATGTAATAGACATGAGGGAAGAAATTAAAGGACTTGTTCTATGAAATATTTAATTTTTAATAAAATAGATCAATACTTCAGAAAATTATAATAATAAAAATAAAATATACAAAAAAGCAATTGATATATGTCTACTATATTATTTACAATCTTTCACAACACATATATTAATATATGTTACTTGTCATTGAGTTTAATATATTTATTTATATAAGTTGAGTTTTTATAATTTATATTGTAATAACTAATTGAGCACACTGTATGAAAGCTTAAAGATAAAATGCCAAGCAAATCTATAAATGGCATTTTCTTATCCCAAATTTAACCATGTTGACATTTGGGACTGCTGCCATCACTTCGAAATATGCATTGAGTTGTATGTCCTAATGTGATCACTGTGGCAAGTAAGCTGCCATAAAGTGAGCACAGAGATCTTTATAACCAAGTTGCCAACGCCATTTGCAAAAGTGCTTTCTTAAAATGGGAAGTTATGGCATATTTCTTGGCAGTGAAGAAATTTCAGAAGCTGCCTTGAGAATTGTTCTACATCAACAGATAATACTAAGTTTATAGTCTACTCTAATACATAATTATTGAACTTAATAATTAATTAATTAAATCCAGCGAATGTTACGAGGTAAAGCTTAAAGTCACATGATCAAAGTGCTATTAGGTGTTCTGATTCTTAAATATTAACAAATGTATTTAGATCTAGATTAGGATGTAGATTGCTTTTCTCTGCACTTAACGCCTATCAGAGACAAAATTTAGTTTTCACAATTATTTGTAATTCAAAGTTAAATGTTAATTCCCTTGTTCAAAATTACTAAAAAAAACAGCAAACTAGCAAAATATAACATAACACTAGCTTGGATATAAACAAGAACAACATAACAAAATTTTAAAAAGCTTAATAATACATTATATCTATATACAAGTCTAAAATTTATATAATATATTTATTCTATATAGAATAATATTATTGCTAAATAATATAGTGGTAGTTTTTGATTCCATTCTATTCTAATAAAGACAGAAAAAATATCACAAAAGAAATAATTATCATAAGAGAAATAAATAATTCCTAACTTTTCACAAGAACTCTTCCAAGCATATCTGAAATTGGGTCACATTGATTTATAGAAGGCAAGTGTAGAAGAGTTCAATTGTTGACTTGGGGATGTCAAATAAATCTATCATACATAACGTAACATACATGCTTTGAATAATAGTTTTTGAAGTAAATTTTATAATAGAATCAAAAATGTTTTTTTTTGTAGCATTGGTATGAATATCTGGGAAACTTGAAGCTTCCATTAACATTATTGATATTTCTCAAACAAATAGTTCTTGCAGGGCATAACCATATATTATGATATTTCATGCAATCCTCTTTATATCTAAAATCTGGTCAACTTATCCATACTAAATACCTCAACATAGGTAATACAGTACTCTACAAGTGAGAATAATTGGTGGGATTAGTTGTGAGCAGACATAAAGCCAAACTTATAAGAAAAAATAAATGAATTTAACCATTGGATTTGATTATATTAAACCACAACTCTTTAAAATATTGAGCCATGTATAGTTTTTGTTTGATAATACTGTATATCATTCAAAATAACTTGAGAACACAAAGTCTTTATACAGTTTTCCTCTCAATGATCCTCCAAAAATCGTACATGTGTAAAAGGAAATATTCCATTTTTGTCATTTAAAATTCCTTCCCATTGACCATTTACATTCATTTTAGTAACCATAATAATTTCATCTTTCTGTAATATATAATGCACTATTACATGAAAAGTATTAATAATACTGGGAACTTGTTCATATTATAGACATTAGCTAATGGATAGCCATGTGGATGAGTACCTGTTGCTTTTCTCTTTGTATGTTAGGGGTAAATTCAACAAGATTCAAACCCTACCCTTCCCAGTATAGAAGCACTTATAACTGGAATAAAGACTCACAAACACACCACCTGAAAGTTGCTGTCAAAACTAACTTCACTTGTAAGCATACTTGTAGGCAAGAGGTATTCATGGAAATAGGTCAATTTCATCATCAAAGGTTTTAACAGTATGAAATAATGAATTACTCACCAATAATTTAAGCTGTGTTTTATCATACGCATTGGGTATTCTATCTTGTATTACTACTGCTTTAGCTGGAAGTTTTACCTTGAAGAGAAAATATTTCAAACTATAGCAGTCTATATCATACATATACATAGTAGTTGAGAGTGGGGCTAGGTATCGATTACCAAATTGAGATCGATTATCAATGGCAGACTAATAGTCATTAGTCGATTAATTCGAATGAGGAAATTTCAGCCAATAAAAACAAATGGAATGTTTTATTCTCTAACATAAACAAAAGGAAAGCAGCTGCGTGTGATTAATTGTTTTATTCATATAAACGATACAGAATTTAGTAGTCAGATTTCGGTAGAGAATTGAAGCTGACAGAAAATCAAAACCGTTCACATGACCTTCATTTCAGTTCTATCCCAACAGCAATCTGATTTTTCAGATTTAAATAGCACCAATCTCAGTGTAACGTGCTTACCGGTAGTTTAATACAGGTTTATAAGACTAGGTCAAAACTCAAAACCCTATTTATGACACGATGCTGTTGATATATAAGTACTTACATTATTCAATGTTGGAGGTCTGTTGACAGTATTTGGTGTGGACAGTAAATCAGGTTGAGGTGCTCTGTAAACACCACCAGGTTCATCTATGTGATTAGGAGCCTCTGTATACTGAACAAAACATAATAAATTAGTTTTCAATTCAATTGATTCAATTGATGTCATATTCTTGCACAAAATTGTGTTTTAGATCTTAATTTTTGCATATACCTTTACGTACAGAAATGACTCCTGTAATGAACCAAAAAGAGTAAAATCAAATATAGTTTTTTCTTGTCTCATCTCCTATGATATAAATAGAGAAAAAGCTTCACTGGTTAAGTTAGGTCAAATCAACAGGTATGTCATACTTACTTTTTCAACGTATGGTACAGGTATTTGGCCAACTTTACCCTGACTATTTCGGCATGTCCACCATTTCTCTTCATCTTTTGATATCACTTCTAAAATTTCACCTCTTAAAAATGGTAAATCATCCTCATCCTGTCCATTAAAATCATATTTAGCTCGTATTTTTTCCCTAGGTGCCTAAAACATAATTAGATATCCATAATTAACCATCCAGTCATCAATGATAATAATAATTAACTCTTTTATTTTATATGGGTCAGAATTAGGTCCAATACATAAAAGTGACATGGTTCTGACTCCTGTCTTACATTCAGCCCATTGGGTAAAATTAACTAAAAAAATATATAACAGATTATCATTTTTTTCAAACGAATATAGAGTGTGCAATGGGGAGAATTTTTCCAGGGCATCAATTAACCCACTGATATTGTATTTTGAATTATAATCTATATGATTTTTTTTTGCAATTCGAATTTTAGCTTCAATGTAAAAGTAAAGAACTTACTGGTTTGATTAAAGATGTTGTATCTAAGTAATGTTTTTTATAAAAATTTAATAAACTAGGAATATCAGTAAATTCTTGATCACCTATCCTATACCGTGGTAAAGATCCAGATGGACCCATCTGTACTTTATTTATAATATAATGACTAACTTTAGCATCCTCTCTGAAATAATGAAATAATTATTCATCAAATCACATACTAAAATAAACTTCTACAAATTATCAAAATAGAGCGCAAATAACTATAAATATTGTTTTGGACAGTAATGGTGTGTTTCTCTTTACTGACAAAGTGTTTGTTACAAATTTTCATTATTAAGGATTAGAAATAACAAGTGGACAATGTGGTCAAAATTACGGAGCCCCTAAGGCGCAATTGTAAACATATTTAATTATGATTTCGTTTAAACGAAATAATTAATTCGGTTAAACGAAATAACATTAAACGAAATAATATTACCGTTTAAACGAAATAATAATAAAAAGTGTTGAAAATTGCGCTTAAGGGGCTCCATACAAAATGCTGAATCAACAGATACATAAAGTCTGGATATCTAACAGTATTATTAGTAGGCTGCTCTCAATGCATGTGGGCTTCTCAAATCTTAATGTAAACACACAGCACATACCTGACACATAAAACACAATCTCCTCTCATAGTTCTACTATCACGTATTAAAAATACACCACTATCTAAACTAGGCGCCATTAAAATATCATTAGCCTCTTCTCTTGACAGTGGACCAAAATACCAACTGGAAAACAAATATTACCGTAATTAGACATTATATAGCAAAATCTATGGTTAGCTTATAGAAGCGAAGTTGAATTTCTTTCAGTACGACAGTAGATCTATCCCCCTATTTAGCCTGTCTGACAATTATTCCTGTGAGATTCATTACTAGGCAAATAGAAGAATTTGGGAGTTAATGCTATTCAAATCTAAAAGGTCACAATTTCGTTAACTCCAAATGCTCCAAAAGTTTTGTCAAGAGGTTTGGAATGAGTTTGATAACTTTGACGTTGAGACTTGTGATCGTAAATCGAGATTGGGAGGGGAGGGATTTCAAAACTTTTGGAGCACTTGTTTTTTTTAATACTTTACAACTGTGTCTCCATTTTGATTTACATACCTGTATTTATTCTCTGCGTCAAAATCTGAGGCCATTGTGTTATATTATTTGGCAATCAACCAGAAATATTCATTACAAACTTCCAATATTTTGTTCAGGAAGTTACCATCTATCAAATATGGCGACTGATATTAACAATCAGACTGCAGAGCTGCGTCAATTCTGACTCATAATTTAACTCTACCATTAAATCATTGCACAAAACATAAATCATCGGCACATTTTTCGATACTTAATTTTTCTCGTAGGCCATTGGGATTTTTCAAATCATATATATTTCATTTGCATAAAGAAATCGGAAATGTTATCAGTTTTAGAGTCTGAATTTTCGTCGAGTTAAAATCTTGCCTTACAAAATAGCTTTCACAACCGACGAAATTTTTTTTTTCTCGATTATCCTGACTTGTACACTAATTTGTAATAAAAAATTCGGGGTAATCTTGAAGAAATAACAGACCACTATTAATTCCATTTTTCTTTTAAATGTCAAGTAGAAAATTTCCTTTAGTTTCTTCCCTGTTTAAATTCAAGGAAGGACTTATATGACATCCGTGATACTCTTTATATAGGCTAGAGTAATAGAGAGTAGGACAATAATATTTTAGTAATGTAGGCCTCAGTGCTATAAGGCATATATTCCAGACTTTTTTCAATTTTCTTTAATGCCATATAGAGCTAACTTCATGCTTATACTCTTGATAAATTTCAATTAGGAAATATTACAGTATTTGTGACCATTAACCAAAAAAAAAGGCTCTTATGCTGCAATTTACAGCCAGATGGTCACATTATAAGGAGCCCATTGGAATTAACAAAAGACAAAAATTATGCTGGAGGTTTATTTTATACTGCAGTATCTGTATTAAGTACAATATTTATTAACAATGTAATGAACACAAAAATTATCCATTTTAGTATGCAACAGATTGATTAGAGCCAAATAAAATATTTGTCAGAGTTTGGAAACTATTAATAGTAACAATAACATATCCTTAACTCTATTTCTTAAAGAGAAAAAAACCACACGAATCATACACATCTTACATGTATCATATCAATTAAATATGAAGCCAAATAATGATACTGTTTTTTCTAAATATATTTACGAAAACATCTTTTTAAATTCATGAACTCAAATTCTCAAAATGACCATGAAGATCATTCATATAAATTCATATAGGATGTTAATTAAAGAGGAAGTTTTGGCATATTAAACATCAAGTAAGTAACCTGGATCTGAAATGTTTCTGAAATATATCCTTTAGTTTCCTCCATATCACACATTTCTTAGTACAAATAACAAAGTTTACACAACTACTAAAATATATAAAATACACTGACTAGAATAAACATAGAATAAAACTATTTATATACCTTCTTATAAAGGTTGAATTGATAACTAACACATAGAATGCCCATTGAAACAAAAATATCAGACCATAGAATTTAAGTGCCACCTGCTATAAAAAGTAGCTGTTCTGTACTTTAATTATAATTTCTACTAAAGTAAGTCAGTGTTTGTTAATTAAGCGTTTATAACATTAAGCTTTAAGCAAGTTGACAAACTTTATAGAATTTGAGCTGCACTGAAAAAATATCGTGGAGGATGTCGCTAGTGAGACAAGTAATGCTCCTCAAACACCCATTGTCACTCTGTAACTTGGTTTGTAAACTCTACATCCCTTTCTGAGTCTGCATATTTGGTATTATTATCTTATGGAAAATAATTTTCAAACAAGTTTCTTAAGTGTCACCAATAAACTGAAAATTATGAATAAAAAGTACAAGACAAAACATGTTTTCAAAAAGAAACAAGGTTTTAACATTACAGAAACAAGAATAACAGGAAATTTACACATATGACATTGACCCAAAACCAGTTTAATATAATGTTGTAGTATAGTATATGATATAATATACCTTGGTCATTACCATAATATCTTTAATAATTCATTAAATTTAAATATGTATTACACTTAGAAATATTAAAACAGAACTTGAATCATGTTGTTACTCAAGAGTTTCACTCTATGCGATCTTCAAACAACTGATGTAGAATGTTGTTCTCATGTCCACATTTCGAGACAACACCTGATCGCTTGTTTAGAGAAGTGTATTAGGGGCATTACACTATATAGAATTTTACACCTATACTGTTTTAATATCATAGTAAAAGTATCAAATAGATTTTTAATGGATGCTTTTCTGTATCTCAACTGTAATTAATATGCACTAAGAAAAAATCTGCATGACTGAAATGGACAAATCAAGTTGAAATTACACGACAACTTTTATTTCTTGGATCATACTGAGGACTATCTGGGTGCTTGCTAGTTTTTTTTTTTTTTGCACCTCTTATACTCTATATCGAGCCTCGAGAGAATAAAACATAACAGCTATGAGGCCAAGTAACATACATGCAGAGTAACATACATGCAGAGTAACATACATGCCGAGTAACATAACATACATGCCAAGTAACATAAATGTCGAGTAACATACATGTCGAGTAACATACATGTCAAGTAACATACATGCCTAACAACATACATGTCAAGTAACATACATGCCAAGTAACATACATGTAAAGTAACATATATGCCAAGTAACATACATGCCAAGTAACATACATACCGAGATTAAAATTACATTGAACAACATTATCTTACAACTAGTAACAGTTTAAAACTTATTAACATATTATGCATATTTCAGGTTATAGTATTATATTTCTTTTTGAAATAATACAACAGAACCTAGAACTTTGTACTTCTGATGCCTTTCTTTAAAGGATATAGTCATCTAAATATTTTCTTTAACAGAAGATAAAGATCAATTTCAGCTATCTTTATTGATTTACAGAATCAAATGCAGGTGCACACCTAATTTTTAAATATATTTAACAAACATATTCATGTGCAGTAAATACGAAATTGTTAACCCCAAAAATCAACTCAAAAGTTGTGGCTTTGATCTACCCTTGATAGTTATCGTTGACTGTTGTCAACTCGAAACTTGCTCTCTGACTCTTAACTAGCCCTCTGATAGCTTTGGTATAATGACATCTTAAAATCATCAATGACATTAGTAATAACTGCATTTCTGAATGTTAATATGTCCTGCAAGCCATTTTTCTTTTTGTTGGAAGAGATACCAAATTGTAGGAGAACTAGATGTCAGATCATTTTTCTTGGAAAGAGTTCAGCTGGTAAAGCAACTATTTAGATAACTATATTCTTTCAATATTTCTACTATGCTTATGTTTTATTATCACATTAGTTAATTCCAATATTGGTAAATACAACCGTCTGGTCAAAAAAGTTAAATTATAAATTAACTTCATTAATTGACCACTCAGACACACTTTGGCCAAAATCATCCTTTGATAGTTTTCTTTAAACCTGGCTCCACAATTCTAAAGTTATAAATCTACAGCAGATACTATTAATTGTTGAACTTTATTTCGAGCTGAAAAATGAATCAAATATCAAATTACATTACTATAGAAGAAGTGAAGACATATCTAAATAGTTGTTATTATTCCTGATTAAAATATGTAGGGCCAAGCTGACTCTCTTTGCCATTTTTGGCCACTTTAGAAATATGATTTAAAATAGCAAGTCTAGTGATGGTAATTTGGTATTTCATTTCATAGTGTCTGCAAGAATTATATCCTACTTTCTCACTTAATGCAAAATACATGGACCTCATATTGGTTTTGGATTTCCTAACACAATGGATTAAGAATGGATAAGTGATTATATTCCAAGAAAGTCTCTAGTGTGGTTGAAGCTTCTTACCATCAAAATATGTGGTATCTAATTCATCATCAGGTTGTGGTATAAAGGCAGGTTCTGTCTCTAACACATGTTCCCAATCTACATCAGCAAACAATGCCATATTCTTTACACCTGGTGATAATTTTTAGACATTTAATGATTCATGACCAACTTTCAAGGTTAATACGTGAAAAATACTCAAAACTCAAAATATTTTTCAACTTATTGCCGTATAGTTCATGAAAGATTTCAAAAGAAAAATTCCTATGGCAGTTCCTGTTTTCATTGACTTTCAGAGAACCCTTTATAGCAAAATATCTACAACTTTCATTACTAACCCTGAGCTTGTGGTCGTTGTGCAGGATCCATAGTTAATAATTCATCAATAGCTGATTTAGCTTGTTCACTTAATTCTTCTTCTTCTTCTGGCCATGGTATATCTATAAAGATATTTCAGCTAAAAATACTCTTCATACAATCAATCTTGTATTGTGAAATCATTAAATTTCAAGACCAAATTAATTTCATTGATTGGTCATGTTTGCTGTGATGCTAATTTATGGATTCCATCATTTATGTAAACCTTTCTCCTGAAATTATATGATTTTATAAATGCAAAGAATAATTACCTCGTTTAAGAATATTTTGAAAGACTAATTCTGGTGTTTGATCATTAAAAGGTGGAATACCAGTCAGAAACTCGAATAAACAAACACCCAGAGCCCACCAATCAACACCTGCACCTAATAAAGGAAAAAAAGAATCATTTTATACAAGTTAAACAAGTTCACCAGTTTTTCAAACATGACCTAGATTAAAACCCAAGACCACCATTTGTTTTGAAAAAAGAAAGGAAATGATGGTATGTTAAGTTTACAATGCTCTTATACCAACTGTTTAGTTCTTACTCCCCATAAACCTTGTCAAGAAAATCTTCAACCTACCATGTGGTTTTTGCATGAGAATTTCTGGAGCCAGATAATCTGGAGTACCCAGAATCCTCTCTTCTTCCTCATCTTTTGGTCCTCTTCGTACACTTTTTGGTGTTCTAAATGGTGTTTTCATTATGTTTTTATGTGGAGTTTTGAATGGAGTTTTCTTCATTTCTGCTGGTGTTCTTGGTGTCAAAAATGATCCCATCTATAAAAAATGTTTGAAAATTAAGTTTCTGTAATGTAAGTTTGTATCATATGCAATAAATGGATTTTGGAATCTACTGTGATATTTGAAACTATTCAAATCATTTCCAAGCTAGCTTTTACAACATGAATTAACTAAAAGGTTAAAAAAAAAACCCTACTACATGACATTGATTCTTTCCCCTTCAGAAATTGAGAAAGAAAAACTTTGCCTTACCTGACGCTTGATAGATTGATCAGGCGTCATCATTAATATATCAGGATTACCAGTACCATTGTCTTGACTAGTATTATTTTGCTCTGTAGACTGACAATTACATAGTACCTTAGTACGTAAACTACTGGACTGTGGTAATGGTGATTTAAAAAGGTCAGTATTAAATCGAAACTGTTTCTGTAATCAAAAATAAGTTACAGATCAAATTAGATAGAACAGCATGTTTAAGTTGAAAAAAGATATACACATCCTGGTAAAATTCAAAACATAAACATGACAAGTTTAATAAAATTTTAGGTTAGTTTATACAGTTATGGCTTTTGTAATTTCGGATAACTACTATTAATAGAAATGCTCATTTTAATGATTTAGATCCTAACTGGATCTTTTATTTGCGAAATATAATCATAAACAAAATTAAGTTTATCTCTTCTCAATAGAATAAATTTCTAGTTTCTGGTAAATATTGACAAAATTAAATTCAAAGCATTATAACTTAACAATATTACCTGAGGAAGGCCAGAAATAGGTAAACCATCAACAAAACATTTTGGATCCATGTTTTCATCAGCAGGTGTGAGAAACACTGTAGAATTACCACCTCCAGATGTTCTATTACTCATATCACTCAGATGTCGAACTCTGGAGCTATGAAAACTATCTACAGACGTTTCTAAAGATGATAGGTCTTCACTTGACGTATTGTTACATTCGCGACATCTCAATATACCGTCACTCATAGAATTATCACAGGATATATCAGCAGCGTACATTTCACTATTATGGGATTGATTCCTCGAATCCTCAAAACTAGGATCTAGTCTTTGTCTCTTAGCACATGGATCATCTCCCATCATTTTCAAAACACCAAAGTCTGCAGTCAGTCCTGATTTTAGTGGCACCTTTAGACTGGCTTCACTAAGACTTTCATACCCTCTTTTCCTTCTCGTTGCAGAGAATTTGGAAGAAAAGTCCATTTCATCATCTGAATGGTAACCATAGAGACTGCTTTTACCAGACGAACTGGCGTAACCATCAGATAGTACTGAAGTGGATCTGCTCTTTTTCTTGATATTATATTTACCAGATTGAGGTCTGAATAATGGTGATTCTGAAGTTTTGCTGTTTTCTTCCCCAGAATCTTCTTCTGAATAAGATCCTTCTCTCATACTCCGTAAATTTCTGGCAGCATAGGAATTCCACACAGATTCATTAGACAGACGTAATTGGGGAGTTTCATCCATGGAACTATCCTGACTTGAGGAAGCTGTAGATTGAATTGTTTGTTGATTAGAAGATGGTGCTTGTATTTTTACTGTGGTGACTTCAGCTCCACTGTCAAATCTACTGTCTCGTTTCTCTGGCTTGGTGATAGATTTTTTCCGATCTGATATGGTGAAGCTAGCTGACTGATCAGCATTCATTGCTAGTGAACTGATGGGTCTTGATAGAGAACTACTATGAGCTGTAACATAGCTTGAGTCACTGTCGGTAGATGTCCAATTAAGGGAGTCCTCAAGTGTTGGAGTAAGGCACTGTATGGGTGGAGTGGAATGTTTCGCATTGGCCGGATTCAAATTTCTAGTCACAGGTGGCAACAATGGTGATATTTCATGACTTTTTTTCAAGAGAGGTGAGTTGAAAATAGCCTCCTTCAAAGGAGAGTTAAAACTATTTCTGGATCTACGACCACTCACTAATGGACTTTGGGCCGATAATTTCCTTTTTCTCATACTTGCTGTTACATTCTATATAGAAAAAAAAAAAAAAATTGGTAGAAAATTCATTCATGTTCCAATTCATTAACATGTTTTTACATATTATATGTTACATATTTTCTAATGAGTAGGAGGAGGTCTATTCTTTTATATTGACATACAGTTTGCATGTGAAGTCAAAGCAATTATAAATTACTTAAAATTTCCAGTTTAATACATTCTATCTACATTTATTGTTCCTACATTTAGAATCATTAGGATAATATGACAAACAATAAATATCTTAGAGAGAAACACTGTGAACAACTTACGAAAGCTAGAGATGATTTTAATGATAATATTTGACCAGGTGTTCGATGATAATTGACACTTGATGAAGCAGGTTTTAAACTGTTATTACAGGCTGCACCTTGAATATAATCATTTTTAACATTTTACCACATTAATTTACAATTTCTTAACAGAATTCCAAGATTGATAGGAGGCGCCATTCCATAAGTTTCTTTACAGAAACCAGAAACAAACTTTCAAACCAACCATTGAACAGTCTATATCTAGGTTTTGTTTTGTAAATATGAGCACATAGCCAGAGTTCGTGAATGATATATGATCATGGGCAACCGCTCACACATAAAAAAAAGATGTTTTTTTGGTTAATTTCAAACTAAGCTATTTGGATAAAGTGAGCAACAGTGCCATCTATTTATTTTTTGATGACGAGACAATGGGACAAAATATACCTTATTGTTCTTGTACCAAATATTATTTAAATGACAGTCAACATATCAATTACAATTAGTAAAATTTGAAAATCTTTAGCATAAATTTGTTTTATAGCCAACTGATCTATTTTATGAAATAATAAAGATTTATACTTACCCACATCAATACTGATCTTTGATAGACCAAAATCTGTTAATTTAATATGACCTTCATTGGATATCAACATATTATCTGGTTTTAGATCTCTACAAACATATAGTATAACATATAAAAACATACCAAATGACATTATTAGTATCACAGATACTCGCCAATGAGGCATGCTGAGGTAACAAACTCTATGATTGACATGTTCTAATGCACAAGCTAATTTTGAGTCAAGCAGATTCTGCTTTTTATGAATAGTTATGAAGTACCTGAAGAAGGTTACTAGCAGCATAAAACCCTGAGAATACTGTGGCTTATAGTAAATCACAATTCAAAACATGGTTGTAACAGAAGAGCTTCCAGTATTTTCAATTATTTTTGGAAATTGGTTAGGACAAATGGCACCCCAGTTGTGTTCACCTTAATCTGGTGGCAAAATTCAGTCATATCACGTCCATAGCTTCAAATCTGTTCCTTCAAAGAGAAACTTTAGATCAAATTGCAAAAATAGTTATCAAATGGGCCATTGCTTGCCATCTGAATAATCTTATCTCCTGGACTGGTGCATTCCTACCTGTGAATAATACCATTATCATTCAGATATTCTAAAGCTAATGTTACTTCAGCTATGTACATTTTAGCCATATCTTCATCAAAATATCCATACATAGTCAATAAACTTTTTACATCACCCCCTATCATATACTCCATTATCTATGGTTACAAAAAATTTGACAAGAAAAAATAAAGGTATATATTCGTCAGTGTATTGGTGTCAACACTTTAAAAAAAATTAAAATTTTAAGTATATACTAGGAGCTAGTATTCCTTTATGAAAAAAAATTTTGGGTTTATAGCCATCAAGAAATGTAAATTGAAATTATAACTGTATACTGTATAACTTACCAAGTATATATTTTGTTCTGATTGTAAAGAATAATATAAATTAACAACAAAAGGACTGTGTGATGTAGCTAGTGCATCTCTTTCTGTTGTAACTGAAATATCATCGGAACACAAATCAGAAAAGAAACTTGTGGTGTCAGTGATAAATTTGATAAAAACAGAACTTTGAAAGCACTTAAAAATGATTTGTTTTCCATAAAGTTTTCTTCATATTTAAGCACATTTATGCATCTCATGGAATTTATTCAAAATTTTATCCCACACTTTTCAACTAACTGAAATATTATCAAAACAGAGGTCAGTAACTAAAAAGCGCACTTATATTTTCTTCATATATATTATAAATGAATCACATGAAATAAGTTTAAAATTCTAACATATTCTATTCCATGTGCACTAAAGTCAGCTTTAACAACATAATAAATAACAATATTTCTTCAGCTAAGTTTCCATCAGCCTCAAATCTTTAATACTGTCTAATGTCTATTCTGTTTTTAATAAATTGTAAATTGGCAATTTGTTCAAAACATGCCCCTTAATCCATCAAAAGAATTTGAAACCTTTCTTACCTTGTTTCACAAGATTTTTGTTGAATAGATCTGATTTCTTCATAGCTTTTATAGCATAAACTTTATCAGGTGCTGTCTTCTTACAACCCAGATATACTTTTCTATGATTAGAAAATTGGCACATTTCAGAAATTTCTACTTAACATAAATAAACAATTGATTTATTGATTGCAATCAATATAATCAAAATATTAATGGTGCCTTGTTCAAAGATGTTCATGGAAGTCAACTAACATCATTATTGATTTAGATATTCAGTGTTATATCAAATTTTTGTAAAACCATTTTGACAGATTTGAAAATTCTGGTAAAGATAATTTCATTGATAATTTAATAACTCACCCAAAAGCTCCTCTACTTATTGGTTTCAAAAACACAAAATCTTCAATAGATGGTAGCTGAAGCAGAAACAGAAAATGTCTACTTATTGGCAAAAAACAACATAGGTTTGCTAAAGGTCTAAGATGAGTAAAATGGAGAATAAAGGTGAGGTCACTGGTGTTGAAAGTACAGATTTATAGGTATGACATTTTTTATAGCTACTATATCCTTACCACAGAAACCCACAATTTTGCCATCTAGTAGCTACCGGTAGTCTGAAACTACAAGTGTGAAGATAACTTTCTGAATGAATTAAAATCTGCTACAGGTCAGTTATAAGCAGCAATAGCATAAGCTTACATAATGGAGAACAGCCATGCAAAATAATGGAGAGGTTGTCAAGTCAAGTGGCTAGCCAGTGGAAGTGTAATTCAAAAATAACAACAGCTGTGATCTAATTCATCCTCCCAGTTGATAACAAAAAGACCTTTTATTGATATCGAACTATTTTAGGTTTAATATCAAGAGTGGTAATTAGTAATTCTTGGGTTTAATGAGTATTACATAAAATTCATTTGGTTTGATGAGCAAGCTTTCATGAATTACATTAAATTCATTACCTAGCAACTTAGTAAAAGGAAGTTAAATTTTCATAATCTTAGTTTTTATTAATTCCAAAGAAAAAACTTTCCACCCCTTCCTTTGTCCTTACTGATAATCACAAAAATTTATTGTTAAAGGCATAAACATTCACACTGATGAATATTACTTTTTGATCATCCCATGATAGGTTTTACTCTGACTGAGCTCAATAATTTCACCTTGTATCGTCATCAATACTGATTAATGAAGTATAAGGCTTATAGGCCTTCTATCTATAAGAACAATCTATAGGCATGGTAGATAGCCTCCTGTCTACTGAGTTACTGACAAATAGCATATGGGAACTAGCAACACTAGCTACCAACACAGACATCGTTCCAATTCAATCACAACTAAGTTTCCACTGCATCAGTGCATTTACAAATTTCTGTGATAAAAAAGAATCCAATAAAGTCAAGGTATTAGACTAGGCCTCCAGAAACATCATTGGGGTGACATAGTAAAGTTGTTAAAATTAAATACAGTACTTCTTGCCAAATATTTTGGTGTAGCACTAAATAAACACAACCAGGGGTCTATAATTCAGTACATACACTATTGATTCTGTACAACAAAGTCAACAAATCTTGACTAGGCCTATAGTTTAGCAGCTTAGCTGTGTAGGGTTGGAGAGGCTACCTTTTACTAAAGATAGTGACAGCACATTGTGAGGCTACCCTTTACTTACTAGAGATATTGACAGCACGGAAATTGGACACTTTTCAGGATAATAACACAACAAAATAAAAATTAAAAAACAAATAATAAAATAAGATAAAACTGTGAATATTACCTTGCCTTCCGCTGTGTTATTGGTGTCATTTTGTGTGGAACAAACACCATTTTTTTGACAAGTTTCCTCTTCGTTACAACTCATCCTTGTAATATCATTTCAAAATGTAAGTTTTCAAACACAGTCTTTAATCATTTTGTCAAATATTGAAATAAATATTTAGAACAACCGCCTGGATAACTAAATCTACCTTCTTCAATACACCTGAGGAAGAGCTAACATAATCAAGGGAAGCAATTTCAATTTTGAACCATTCAGACAACAAATAAAATCTTTTTAACTGTAATCCTGCAATCAATCATGTTTTGTAGTTTTGTGTGCCTACGAGAATGTCCACAGAATTCGAAAACGATTTTCCATGAATTGGCCACTTAATCTATGGAGCTGACAAACATAATTATTCTATAATGTTGTTGACTGAATACCTATCTAGTTAACTATTGCTTTACTCGCTTTGCTTGCAGTTATTACCCCTTGGTATGTATCAACAAATCAAGTCTTATAAATGCCAAATCCATATTATCAAAGTTTGCTAGAGATATGAGGGTAAAAAAATTAGGTTATCAGTGAAGAAGGCTGAAAGATACCTTAGATGGGCATGATCTTAGGTGCCTTGAATATTCTGTATATGTATAACTTTCCATATGTAAAAGTTTGAAGACATAAATATAATTTATTTCCAGCAAACTTAGAGGGCTAAATTTCACCAGGGAGCTTTATATTATAGAATTTAAGATTAGTGTGGACTTTATCTTGTGTATCTGAGTTGCAGAAAATGTGTTGTATATTTGAATAGTTTTATTATACTTTATATATATACATTCATTATCTTCAGTAATACTGATAAAATAATCTATCACATAAAATACTGAATAATCTCATAAAATATAATCTAAAAATGATAACAAACACAAATTTTTCTAAAAAAAAACAGTTTGCCAGACAAGATAACATGTTCCCATAATGCAGCTTATGATATGCCTAACATTGTATATGTATCCCTGTAGTAATGATGGGACTTGGCAAGAGACTTCAGAAGATTAAAAGACATAAAATCCAAACTGTATGATTTTTCTAATCTCAACTCTGTATGTTATCATTGCATGTCATCTAGCCAGATTCAGAAAAACTAGCTATACTTCAATCCCATACACGAAATTTTCTTTTTCAACCAGTTTTTCTGACTCTAGCTAATACACATCCAGAGCCACAACGAAAAGTCAGTAAGTTTGGGTTTACAAAATACAATAGTGGGAGATTCATTAATTTAACCGGTATGTAAATTGTAAACAATAAAATTTTCAAAATAAAAACAAAGCCATTAAAAAAGGCTATTTTATAACAACTAAAATATTATTTACAATTTATAAAATAATTTACAATATCTTAAAGGGACTGTACCATATAAATCATACATCTAAACTGTTGTTTAGGAATTCCCTTTTAAGCAATAGTACATTCTAAAATCATTAGTATGAGATTCTTTTCAGGCTTTTGTTCATTTTTTCTTTATTAACTTAGCTCATTTCTGATTATTTTAACATAAATATAACCACATGTCTAAATAAACATCATCAGCCCCTCATCTAAACACAAAAATAATATTTGAGATTAAAATAGAAACAACTTTACTCTGTCTTCCCTATTAGCTGTTCACAATTAAGTAAATCAACACTTAGAACTGAATTTTTACACCAGCAGTTGAAAAACTGAATCTTAAACTTACCCATAAAATGGTCTCTTACAAAAACACCAGAAATAAAAACTAAATATAAAAAATTCCATTTTAAATAGAAATATTAAATGTTCCTAGTTGGTAGAAACTAGAAATAGAGGTGTGTAATACTTATAATAATTATGCTAAATGTTTACACTGTTTAATTTTGCTGATAATCTGACAGATCTGATATGCAATTTCTAAAGTCCAGAATTTATCCAAAATAACCATGATTCATGGTAAACAACTAATATTTGGCTTAGTTGAGCCAAGACATTGAGGGCTCATGAGGATTCGAAACATTAACATGAAGAGTATACTTGTTATGAGGTGAAAAACTACAAACCAGAGTTATTCAGTATTCAACTATTAACATATAGTAAATATATGGTGGGCGGATAGTGTTAATGTTTTGAATCGTCTCAAAATGTGCATACTAATATATTTGTTTGAATATATCATCTTGAATTTTGGGCAGATATTTCCTGCATGACCTTACGAAAAATAAAAATGTTATATCATAACAGAAGATGGGATATGATCCTGTGGTTTATACAACATTTCACCACATTTGATTCTTCTTTTAATTTCACTCCCTAATAATTTCTTTTCCTTTTGAACTTTTTTGAGCATTCCACTGTTTTCTGATGCACGTCGAGATAAATAGGGTAAAACATCCTCGACCGGTCCATACGGTACATATTTATATACAGAATAACCTGCTTGACCTAAAATATATAATGTTATTAATACATACAGTTATTTCAATAATGAGTCATAAAATTGTGGCTTCTGATCTTTCAAAATTTGTTTTTTTTTTAGTGGCAATCCAAATTTTTAAGAAATTTCTTTTTTTTCACTCAAAGCATCATTCTTAAAGAAAATAGAAACCTTTCAACCTTTAGGGTAAGTTCTTTTCATTTACATTCCAGGTTATAGAATGCTTTTGCAAAGGCTGGAAATGTCATTTATAACTAATGAAGTTCAATTGTAAGAATTACCAAGTAATACATTGCAACCTTTGATACAAAGAACAGTCAAACTTACCAAGAGGGAAACTGATATGATCACACATACCCAATAACTGTCCAAAACATATCAATCTATCTTTTGGACTGATACCATAGCGTTTCATCCTATATTTAAAAAAATCATAGATATTTCATCTATAGAATTCAAATTCATTGAGATATATATGTATCAATTTCAGAACAAAGATATAACTTTACATTTGTCTACAATTAAACAAAAACATTAACATAATCTGCAAAATCCAATAAGAGAAACTTTACTAGGAAAGCAACTGTAACGTGTTCTTTTTCTCGATTGAACTGTCAAGAGATCTTTAATGTACACAACCTGTAGCATATAGGACCTTAGTTTATTGTCTTGTACAATCGACTAGACACTTTTTCAATGTCAGCTCTTCATGCCAGGATTGATCCTGGGACATTTAGGTTAGTGAGCAAGCCACCATTGAGCCACCAACATTTCCTCAGAAAAACTCAACAATAACTTACAATTCTACTGTGTATCTAACAGTATCTTCATTATGTGTGGCCACCATGATAGCTATTTTACCACGTTCTCGAATATTGATCTGTTTCATTATTTCCTCTAGTATACTATGGTACATTTCAGTTGTCTTTTCATACGTTTCGTTGATAGGATCTTCATAGCCTAGTGCTGAAGCTCTTTCACGTTCCTGTTTTGCAAAACGAAATCACAAGTTAAAATAGAATGTATGAATATGGTCAGTTGTCTGAAGATTAGAAACACTGTGTAACAACATGTTTCAGGTTCTGTTTAACTATTTCTCTACATGAATTAATACATGCAAGGATATTTTCCACCAAGATTAACGTATTAAGAGGATCGTCTAAACCTTAATTGTTGTCAAATATTAAAGTTTTTTCTCTTTTTCATATTTCCTTTTAAAAACGACCAACTAAAAATAATTCATTTTATTCTGGACATTCTGCTACATTTGTTTATTTGGGGTAATTTTTTTAATGTGAATATCAGAAAAATGCACAATATCTTTGTAAAACTATAGGCAAAAACCAAAGCGTAAACTAAATACAATGGTTACCTGCTCCATATAAGCACCGCGAACAAGTTTAGCACCGAAATAAAAATCCTCCCTCTGAGCTACAGCCATATCTAGAGCAATATTCTTAAAAGCTTGCTGAAATAAAAAGCATTAAGCTGATCATGTGACTTTTCAAAATAATAATCTGCACTCAGTTCATCTACGATTAAAAAAAGTAGACAAAAATTGTTCTAATTGGATTAACATTAGGGATGACTTCGGAATTCGAAATCCAATGCAAGTTTAGATAATCATGACACTTTCTGAAATAATAATTTGCAACTTAGTTCTTCTGCAATTAAATCAACCAAGAAGTATGTGGAGATTTGGAATTAAAAGAATTCCCACCTTTAAATAACATTGATAAGTATTAAATACTACTGCTTTCTCTGTGTTAAATTTTCTCATTAACTCCATAGTTAATCTACAGATAGCAGGTTGAAAATATGTCTGTTCAGCATCTATCATAATACGACTGTCTTTTTCTTTTGCATACTGAAATAACAAGTCAAATTATATAGTGTACTGGTAGATTGTGAACATCCTGCCATTGTGAGGGGTTCTATTGAACATTCGGTTAGTGCATTGGAATCTTTAAATGGATTGCTTCAATATGTCAAACAAATGGTGTATGGTGGTCGTAAGGTCTTAACTTGGTCAGCTGTTTACCTTGAATAAGTCAATAGGCACAGATGATCAGACTCACAAGGTGTCTGCATTGTGCCACCTTTTTGTCTTGGGTGCACATTATTTATGGTGACAGAGATTTTTCCACATTTGCTTTTAAGTAATCTGCAAAAAAATCACAATATCAAAACAAAGTCAGATCTTAAATATTCATTTCATTCAATTAAAAGATCAATTCCTTCCAATATTCACCTGGGCTATAGAATTGATTCTTTTCAACATATTCTTCATCTGTTCTTCTTCTGTATCTGTTAGAGCTGAGGTCAGAGCTTCTAATCTACAGGTCTATAATAAAACAGTATTATTTTCAATGAATAGTGGAATAATGTTGCACCCATCAGATGATTCTAACAGAAGCAGACATTTTTTAAAGTGGACATTCCATGTAACTATTTCCCCTGTTCAGCCAATGAATATGCATTCACTTGCTTTAATTTTTTGAAAAAACCAAGAAAAATACTTTTAGTGCTCTATTACAATTCATCCTTTTAATGAAGAATAGTTGCAACTAAGAATTACAAGAAAAATTCGAAATTATAATCTGAATTACAATTAAAGAGAGTTACCTTTAAATTTGGTATAATAAACAACTTAGATAAACTAGTATTTACAGCTAGTAAATTATCCCAATCTAATAAATCTATTTCACTGTAAACAAAGATTGAAAATAAGGCACATCACAGTAGAACAAAAACTTTTATGCAGAGATGTTTCCCAGCAGAGCATTACTTTTTAAATACAATCATTGGTTAATCAGAGGATATGAACAACACAGACAATCATCCAATAATTTGAAGATGATTCAAAAACACATAAAGAGTCAAGTCATAACTTTCAAGCTAAAATTTGGATCACAGTCCACGAGTATGACAAAGCAAGGACCATAAATTCACTATCATCAGTTACATTACCCATCATTGTCTGTATCTAAAACACGGAACCATTCCTTCCACTCAGCACGATTTAAAGAGATCCCCATAGAGTCTAATGTCTTGGCCATGTCTTCCTGTTTAAATTTCCTGAATTCTACACCACAATCTTTACCAGCAAACAACTCAAAAAAGTTTCTAATGGTAACCAACACTTCTGATAATTGCAGCTAAAATTAGATACATTGTGAGAAATGTGAGAATGAATATTATGTGGCTTATTAAAAATACTTTGAACAGCCAATACACTCTCATGAAAACCTTTCAAACAATTCAAGCAAATTTAAAATGAAAGATCTGAGGCACAATTTTGGATTTGGACAGGCACCCCCAAAATATTAACATTAACATTACTGCATATAGATTCTCAGAATAGACACAGTGATATATCATGGTCAACAGTTGGAAAGCTTTCTTAAGTTGATTAAAGACGGCAAATTCAAATTCTGAATCAATACTCAAACAGTTCACATACCAGTAATTGAGGTCGACCTAGAGCTGTTAATTTAATAGCAGCAAGTCCTGAACTATTTGTTGATGCTGAAATAATCAAAACAAAAGGAATTAGTCCTCTATTTGCTATCTGCTAACAGAACTTATTTCAAGCTATCTTTACCACTCTTCAGTTCTATTACAATTTTAAACATAATTATTTACTCATTTACTCATTGCTATATTCAATATCAATTGCAAGGATAAAAAGAATAATTTAATTCTTATAAGACAACATCACAACAAAATAACTTGGCTTGCTTAATTCATAATGGTTATGATCACTGTATCGTGAAATTTTCAGGAATATGCTATTCTTGTAAAACTGTTCATTTCACAGTAAATTCATACCTGACACAGCATCTATTGCTTCTAGAAATATTTTACAATTCTCATCACAATGTGCTTCATCTTCATAAATATAGGTTCTAGCAGACGTCACTTTTTCACGTCTGTCACCAAATTCTTCATGAGCTCGAAATTTTGAGACCTCTCCGGTTTCTACAACATGAAGTATGAAAATAAAATGGAAATGATGCAAATTGATCCTATTATTGTCCCTGTCACACATAGAAAATTTCGAAAACCTTCCAACAATCCCTTTAATATAATAAGTTCCCAAAAACAGTTGTCTAATATTAATAAAGGGCTAGAGTGCTGTCATAGCACCAATAATATTGCAGAGGTTGTGAAGCTGTTAATTGCAGTCTGGAATTACCTGGAAGGTCTTTAGGCTGATCTTCAGACACACAACTCCTATAAAATAAGGAGAAAAAGAAATATAGTTAATTAATTATTGTTTTTACCAGCAGCTCATATTACCTTTCAAAATACTGAACAAAAATTCTGACAAAAAGTCCTGATTTCACCAATGGACAACAATGTACTTTCTAAGCAAATGATAATATTATCCTCGTTAACCTAATATAAGCTTATTTAAAATATAAATTAACTGAGAACTTAACCCCTCTTAGATTTTTGTCTGAAAAGATGCAAATTTACATTAGGACACACATTTTCATTTTCTTCAATGATTTATTCAAATAATATTTATTTTGAAATAAGCTAAACTATAGATAATTTAATTTGAGTTTAATAAAATGTCAAAATAACCAAAAGATTGTACATATAATATATTATATTGTTAATTTTTCTACACTTCAACTACTTTACTTCAAATTGCAAATGGAGCGAAACATATTTAATACTTTTCTACTTGCTTAATGTACCATATATTCAGTAGATACTAGATATTAGTCTAAGCTTAGTTGAGAGAAAATTGATTGTTATGAATTATAATGCAATGACTATTAATAACAAAAAACAAGTTGCAGTTTATTTCATAACTAACTTGATATATGTATATGAAATTAATTCCATCAACAAAAATGAATAAAATAGGCATTAAACTATATGGTTCAGATTTCAGAGAGTTCTTGTATCATATCTTGTTAATTAATCTCAAAAAGTTTGATTAGTCTATCTTATCCCTACAATAATATCACCCACTTACAGAATGATTTAATATGATCATGGAGGTCTCTGGAACATATACCTAATATCACCTAAGTAAATTAAACAGCATTCTCCCAATTTTCTGCCAAACTTATTGAACAAAAGTGAAAATTTTGAAAGACATAATGTCACAAGCAGAAAAACATAATTTTATTTCTTTGATAAATGATACCTAAAAAATAACTTACAGCATTTCTGCTTTTTTGGCATCATCAGACGACATATCTTTTTCCACACTATAATCTAATATGGCCTTCACTCCAAACTGCCTATTCTGGGTTATCAAAGGTTTGATCATTTCTTGATTCTCTCCTGCCACAAAATGGCCATAAAATGTGGCCTTCATCAGAGATCGAAATAAGGTCTTTCCGAAAACTTTCTGAGACCATTTCAATAACTGGAAAAAATACCATAAATAAATATATAAGTTTATGACTGATTGCCTGATATTCTACAATAGTCCTGTATAGTTGAGGGATAGGCTTAACTCACGTAGTTGTACAAAGCAGGAAAAAACATACCCCTTCACTTTATGATGGTACCATGTCAAGAATATTTGGCAAATTAATGGTTCAGCTAGGATACTCAGCTACTAAAGTCTACGTCAAATTTGGCTTTTGTCATGGTGAAAATTCTCAAAAACTAGAAACTCAAAAATGGGTCGGAGCAACTCCCATGAAAATGGACATTATATATCTGGCCTTAAACCAAGTTCACATATCCCTTTCGAATATTCAATGAAGGAACTGAATAGGGCTAGATAAGTCAGGCTGAATATTTATCAACAAATTAAAAATATCTATACCAATCTACATAGTATGATATTCAATACAGACATTAATTTCACTTTAATCTTTCCATAGTGAAATATAATTAATAGGCATTTAAACACTGCCATTTTATCAGCTTATAATAGGTAAATATAATAGTGTATAAATCAACATTTTATTATGGAAAGCTTAACAGTTTATATTTAGTTCTTGGCTAGATATGTAGAGCAGCCCACTAGATTTTCATTGTACCATAAAACAAAATGTAAATTTAGTAGGTCATTTAAGGTTATATAACTAAGGTCGAATTTCCTAAATATTTTTTTAATTTACCAAAGAACAACTTCAAGCCTATTAAAACATATTTATAGGGGTATAAGTTTTTGAATAAATAATATGCCTTAGAGTTACAGAGTTAAAAACTTAAATCTATATGAAAATAAGTGGCAAAATATGATTAGTGATCAATGGTCTATATAGTTAGGTGAATCTAGTCTATCCAGTCATCTACAGTGGTGTAACCTTTTTTCGTGGATATAAGGATTCAACACCAAATTTCGTCAAAGTTAAAAAAACGAAAAAATTTATGTCTTAGATGTTTCCTCAGATATTCTACAAAATAATTAAAATTGGTTTATTTCGATTTTCTTTATGAATCCTTCACTTTGACCCATATTTCATGAGCAACCAACTCGGCAACGGCGGCAGAATGCGTCACCTATTTTCGTGTACAATGTTTGATCTATAAATAAGTCTAGAAAAACACGTTGTATGGATACCGGGTGGTATAATTAACTTCTCTTAGTATTTATCTTTAATATCAATTCATTATAACTAGTGACAATTCCTTCAAAGAACCACGATTTAAAAAAAAAATTAGAGACTGACAAAATATGATACGTAGCGTAATTTATTGCTAAAAGTCACTGAAACAACATAAGAATATGGTCCACTTTGTGTTCCATAGAAATTTTCTGCTGACACGGAATCCGCTAGTTGATCACGTGACTTTATTCGTTGGACTACATTCTAGCAGACGACACTTGGAATTCCGATTACCGCTTGGGATTATAAGGAAATTTGGCCGATAAAAAATGGTGACGTTTGGTAATAAGTGAAATCCGCCATTTTGTATTTGTCAAAGTAGAGATTAATACATTTTACCTTGCTTGAAACTACTGAATTCATTCTACTAGCTGATATTGTAGAGAAAACCCATGTTTATTAGAACAAACTAATGCGGAGGTCGCGCAAGGTCGCTCATGTAAATTATTAATCCTTTCCGGAAATCCACGAATAATAGGTTTCCACGAAATTAGGTTACTCGACTGTATATGTCCTATTTGCACTACACTATACCATTTAACTAACATAGGAATGTTATTCACTTTCTGACCCTGGACTTGGAATAAATTCAGTTCATCTTTCATACATATTAAAATTTAGGCCAAAATATGAACAGGGAAAATCAACCCCTCCCTTCCCCGAAATTTATATATTACATCATCAATATTACTTTCACTTTATTGTTCTACCTTTTTAAACTAACACTGGAGTGCCATGTTGGCAAGCTGCCAATTAATAGAAACATGTAAACAACATGATACGCAAGTTTTGTTTTACGAATAAAATATTTTACTAAATATAAAAACCATACCTTTGCTTGGTTATCCACTAAAAAATTCATAGAACATAAGTTATAAACCAATAAGGATCGCAGTAAGTCAATGGTTCTTTTGCTACGGTACGCTTCTCTGGCATTTGTGAATGAAAGGTCGATTGTCGGATGTCCCTCGTTTGATGGCGAATTCCGAGTCTCTTGACCATTTTCAGCGACATCTGTTGGAATATTCTGAGCAGCTGCAGTCGATTTACATAATTTCTGTCCAATACCACCGATATAACAAGATTTTCTTCCAAAATTCCACTGATAAAAGCGACTGAGATTGACTCGACCTAACGCCATTCTATTCAAGGTTTTATCTTCATTGATGAGTTTCAAGGGAGGCAATCCATTAAACACATATCTTAATGACTCGGACCACAAAAAATACTACAGAAATGATGTATAATGTAGTTCTTGGTATTTTAACATACTTTCTTGTCTTCTCCTTTTTCTTTAATTTTCCATACATATTTTTGGATCAGATTGAATTCCTAAGTTTTAAATTATCATTTCTTTCACATTTTAGGGAAAATAAAATAATTTAGAGTCGGAAGTGAATGTGTGAAAGTAGGCGTTTATAATTATTGCGCAGGCGAATGTTTATATCCGTCAGTGGTGAAAGCCTACTTTCAATTTGCCTAAAAGGTTTTCATATAATTATGAAATATTTGACTATTTGGCCAGGCTTTTATGTGAAGTAAGGGAAATGTACATTATATTCTTGCCAAAAGTGAACAAAAAATTATGTTCATAATTTGGTTCGTAGAGGATTAAGTTCTAAACCAATCTCAACCATCGCGGTAGAATGGGCCCGGACGGTAGACCTGTCTACTCTGGAACTTTCTGATGTGGACATGTAGGCCCGATATCACTATATAACTGCATACGTGATTAAATAACGGACCGGTATTGACGACAGTAGGGCCCTCTCTGTAATATAGACCTAAGAACCTAAGATAGAACGAGCAGGCCTATTATATATGCTACTAAACCTAAGGATTTCTATCAGAACGTCACTCCTCGACGTTTCAAAGTTCATGACGTCAAGGCCAAACACCATCGATCAAAGCGTTACCGAGGTGCATGAAGACATGGAAAAGAAAACAAACACTTCTGATCCAGCCCAGGAAACAACACCAAACAAAATATTTCAGTGTGCAGAGGAACTTCATTACATCGCCCACCATGCAAGGTTACAGGCTTACGAAGCTGAAATGAGAGCAGATTATGCTATATCACTGGCTGATCGCGCCGTTGAAGAATCACAAGCAGTACAAGACATTGCGGAATCTTTGACAAGAACAGCAAGAATTGTAGCTAAGATTTCACTTGACGAAAAGATTGATCCACAAGGTATTTTCACCTCTATTATAAACCACGATGTGTCCAAGGAATTCCCACCAGGATGCGTGGTTATCAATGGAGTAAAATATAAACCCAGACCACTACCAAAAGCTCACCAATCTGGCTGGTATGCTAAAGCAGCAACACCAGCAGAAAATCTACAAAATCTACATCTGAACCTGGATAATGACGATGATGAACATCATGAAAGTTGTGACAAAATCAGTCCACTTGCTAGTAGCCACAGTGCCAGTGGGAGCACTAAAGGAGACCCATCTGCAAGTAATGGTGGGAATCTTAAACGGGCTTCAAGCATGCCCAGCAGAGGATCAAATGTGGACGAATCGGAATCTATGCATTCTTCAAGATCGATTGAAAGTGCAGAATCTTTAAAATATGACGACTCTTTTCCAGACAATGAGGACACTTTAGATTCGAAAGCTGAACTGATTCGTGGGTTGGATAGCGTAGAAACATTACCTATCGTATACGAAGATTCATATCAAGGACCACGAGATAATAGAAGCATACCATGGTCTGAAAAGAAATCATTACGTAAACTTCAAAGGAAGCTTAAAGATTTAGAAATGGCTGATGAAGACAATGACGGTGCTTATAATTCACAAGGGTCACCAGATGCTACGACTGTTACAGGTTACAGTATTAGAACAGAACTGGTGAAACAGGAAGAAGATAGTTCTACAGAACATATTTTGCGTACATGTTGAAAATCAGATGCAATATCTTAACGAATTCATAAGCTTACTGATGGCGTAAGTTTCTAATGTACATGTACGAACGTGCGTATATTTAATAAATATTAATCGGACGATCGCTGTAGGCTTATAGATTAACGACAATCCCCAAATTAAAATGCAAAGCCGACTATAATAAATATTCGATAATGCCTTATGCCCTTAAAATAAATACGAGTGTAGAGCTGACCTACATCGAATAGTCTATGAAATGGTTTGAAATGTAGGCCTACATGGCCCGGGTTTTCTAATAAACGATAGTCAATCCCCGGCGATCAGGACGTCTAACAATCATTCCTCAAAACTGGAAGTTAGTCTGTGATACCACCGATAAATCGATCTGTAGGCCAATCATGACTCGGGGCCGAACACTGCAGTTAATCATATTAGGTAAAAAATTAAATTTGATCTGAAATCACACTAATATTAATACAGTAACCTCCCTTCCTTCAGTAGTTGTCGACTTTCATAATGTTACTCGACCGGACATAAATGTGGTCTGATGTTTGCGGCATTCATTCACCGTAAACAAGACGGGCGGCCCAATATTTATAACAATTGCCAATTAGTTCTATGGTTTCCTACTGACACGTTTTGTCCTCACTGTTAGCTTCGATAGTGGCCAGGGACATTTTTTACGTTCGAAATAGTATGCTACAGGAATGAGTCGCGTACGCGATTCTTGAGGGTCGTACGCCAGTTTTGGGGTCACAACATCAGAAGGTAACTGGAATAGAAAAACTACTAACGTTCTTAAAAAAACCTCATTTATTTGATTTTCTGGACATGACAAGCTACATTTTTTTTTCTGAAAATACATCGTTTAAAAAACAATAATAGAGGTGGGTAGAATATTTAAATTGATCATACGTCACTTCCGATAAGGTTCTCAACTTTGCAAACCCAACAGAATTATATTCAAGTATTTGCAATAACGTGTACATTATCAGATTAAGAAACAGTCTTCGAGAAATAATGATCCAAAGATTCCCAATATACCAGGACTCTTTGGAGTCGGCTACCAGCGATCACCGCAGGGGACAGATTGTATCGTGTAATTAATGTATCAGTAGTGAATCGCGACATCTCTGTCCATTCAGACCCCATGAGGAGTATGTAGAAATTGGGCACACAGAGTCGAAAAAAGTCTTTCAGAAGTCTTTATATGTCATTCTGCGGTGGGAATCGGCATACCAAATACACCAGAATAGAAATCACCATTTAAACCATTGTAACCACCATAGATTCCAGAATACCAAAACGATGGGAACGAATAGGTGCCCATATTAGCGAAAACTGCTTTACGTATGACTTTAACAAAATACTTTATCATTCCATGGAAACTGTCATCGCAAAATGTAATAGCTGATGCTAGGTATTCCCAGATCGACCACACTGCTACAGACAGTAAGCTGTCTTGTGATCCATAAATACCATACTCTGCTAATAAATGCAATATACCATTTTGAATCCACAATAATGCGTTCCATAGTCCAATGCTGTTCCATAGAAGCTCTATCTGACTCCATAGTGCTGTTATCCCATAATGAGCCCAAAGGTACGAGAGTTGTGTCCAGAAAGACGTTAACCCATAGTATGCGCAAATATCCGACAACCAAATATACGATAAAGAACACTGTTCCAAAAGTTCCGTAAAACCAATCTGTTCAAGCACATTCGTTATCCCATAATGAGCCCAAAGGTACGAGAGTTGTGTCCAGAAAGACGTTAACCCATAGTATGCGCAAATATCCGACAACCAAATATACGATAAAGAACACTGTTCCAAAAGTTCCGTAAAACCAATCTGTTCAAGCACATTCGTTATCCCATAGCCGTTCCAGAGATCGAGCAATCCGCGAAGTAAATCTGACACTATGTAAATAAGAACATCCGGTCTGAACAAGTAACCAATCAGAGGAAAGATACCATATACCAATGTAAACAGGCATGATGCAAAAAAAATTGTAGATCATTGAACTTATCAATAAAGCTATCATCTGTAAAAATAAATGATTGAGTTTAAACAATTTTGATTTAGTAATAAAAGTGGTACGGATCGCGATTTGCAAATTTTTATTAACATTTAAATGATCTCCTGCAAGTCTATGATTATTATTTTTTTCGGATTATTCATCCCTTGCTTCATTTCAGTCAGATTTATCAGACCACTTGGACCACAGCTGGGATGATGACTACATAGGATTGTTTACTACTGTCAAAAATAGAAATAGACCAATACAACATTATTATGGATGTAGCACTGGCGTCGATCAAGTAACACATAAGGAAGGAATTGCCTGGAAACGTCACACTATCACGATTGCCATATAGATATAACACTTTTTCTTACTGCAAATGCTTCAAAACAGCGATAGCACGGAAATTTAAAAAGTTTGGTTTTCATGTGTAATCAATTCATTTACAAAAATACAGTCTTACCTTGAATTTCTTGAAGATGTTTCTTCAATGTACAGTTTCCAAGCAAAACATAGATTAAATTTCGATGAATTAAATCAATTAAAATATAATGTTTAATATTACGTTAAATTATGCCTAGAGCCAAACTTCCTTATAAACGTGTCTTTCCATTTAAATTAATTAAAATTTCATTAATTATTATTAGATTATTAATTAATCATTCTAGATATATATGTGTGTGATTTGGGTTTCTATTGTTTTTGTGAAGGAAAAGTTACTCTGAGGGTAGCATTAAAGAATTTCATATAGATCAAGAATGCAATTGTATGGGTTGTACTGTGGTTCATCTATCCACAATATATTGAAGGACAACTTAAAAATTGTATTTTAATAAGATTAAATTATTAAAACACTTTGTTCGTGCTGAAACAGAAAACCCATTCTATCTTAAAAGTTGTGAATTATTTATGCCAAACCGTACTTTGGACGAGATTTTGATTAACGAAATTGTGTTGCATGTGCGGATTGTTATTTCGTTCTTGTGTTCACTTTTGCAAAACAAAACATAAAAAATTGCTACGTCTAATTATGTTGATTGGCCGATTTGAATAATTTTCACCTGCTAAATGTAACACGGTTGACATATGATAATGAGACATCCTGATATTTGTGTAGCAAAAACACATGCACGTTTTTGAACATTTTTATTAATTATCGATGATTTAACTGTTGGAAATTATCATGGCTTAACAGGTGTGTCGCATTCCAATGCGTTTTTGAAGTCAAGAGAATTTGGGTGGAACCATTATCTGGCTGTTTTAAGTTCTATATCAGGTCACTCTAACTTTATTTTTTATCTATGCAGAAGATATTTTTAGATAGACTTAATTAAGCGTGCCATTGATACGTATATTAATGTTATGTTCGCCAAGTTTAAACAAAACCTTGACTATATCATAACATGGGATTTTCTTAACACACCCTGATTGACCGATTGGGATGACTAACCGTCTACATTCACCATGAGACTCATCGACTATTTAAGATAGTCATAGTAGATCATTAGCATAAATGTATATGACAGAATTGGTCCATCCAAGTGGTATTCTTATTTTACATATTATTACGTCAAAATTACGCCTTAATCTAAATTCGTACTTGTTAATTGGTTCATTTGTATTTGTATATCTGTTTTAACGAGCAAAAAGTGTAAACATTCTTTTAATTGAAAATTACAGTCATGATCCTCAATGTATTAATAGAAATAGGTTGGGATTTAGTCCGAAACTAACGGAACGACCATTATGGTTATTTTTGTTCTTGACGGATACTGGTCAGGAAAGAGAGTTTTGTTAGTCCATGTCAAATGCCTACTTGATAAAAGCCCTGCTTCCATTCTTGCATCTTAACAATGTCAAACTTTTACGAACTTCGTACTTGCGGTACATCTTCATTGGGAAGATGAAATTCATTATTGAACATATTGAACATTTACTTTTAGTTTAGGATCACTATGATAGTGTTTTGATTTGTTGATTCAAATTATGACATCATCAGGTTAAAGTTCAAATGAAGACATTTTGATTTACATAAGGGCTTGTTTTTAAAGTGCGCCGTTAATTAACAACGAATTATTAGATTTGAATTTTTATCAGATTTCGTGATAGACAAAAAACAGGAGCAGGTAGAAATGAAGTTAAGAGTGGGAAAGTTTCGGTTTATTTGGGTGTGAATGTTATATGATTAATAATTATCTTTATGATAATCTAATATATAATTATAACTCAATCACTTTCTACCTCCCTTCATCTTTCTATCTACAGATATCTATACATATCTTGTTGAAGAAGTTAAATGGTGTTTTACACAATAGCAACGGCAGATACAAACTGACTTAGTGGTACTGACAATAATGAGGGGAGTGGTTTTGGGTCTTACAATGCTAAAGCACTGTAAAAGCACCATATAGGCTCAAACATCCTGTGTCTGAAGGTGTTATCCCCTAGAATTTTAGAATACGTGTAATAGAATCGATTTTGTGAATAAATATTATGCTATGAAATTACCTAAGAATGAAGTAGGGGTACAGCTTTTTTTGTTGAGGTAAACGCCCCTCTTTTACCCCTAGTGGCTCTGCGACTGATTCACTCACTTTTAAAACTAAATCCTTTCTAGTTATCCCAAACCTGCCTGTTCACTTTTCAAGATGCCCCCCTTTAACTCATTATTTAGAGATATTGCTCCCCTCCTCCCATTTTTCTTTAAATGTCCCCACCCCATCGTTTTTGACATGTATAAGCGGTGCATTGTTCTCAGTTTAGTACAATAGAATTTACAAACCTCAAACTTAAACCATTGCATGACTAACGAGTTCTTTCAGTAAGCCTCTTGATAGGGTCTGTTCAATTTATCTACTAATAATTAAGGCTAGTTTTATAGAGATATATATCAACGACCAATCGAACATTTGTCAACATATCTCTAAATTCCATTAATCCCAGCTTGGATGTGAGTTAAAATCAGATGTTAACAAAGAAAACAAATTGTATATATCCACACGACCATTTGAAGAGCAGTGGTAGAAGGCTATAGTACCTCTAGATGTTTGTCTTATGAGAATATTTCACTGTTATAAGGTATGTAAATGTTTTTTCTTCTATAGATAATCTTTTCTTCCTACGTTTTGCCCTGCGTCATTTACAAGCATTGATCGAATGTGTTTTTATATTATGCAGAATGTGTTTTTATATCATGCAGACGGCCACTATGAATAGAAAACCAAAATTCCATTTAATTTTGTGAATTCTGAATTCCTCAACTCAACAACTGTGCCTGTCCACAGTTTACCTTTGCTAAGTGAAGGGCGAACATGAGTTTGGTGAATAATATTTATAATATTGATATAGAATCGAAATACCCAGAGGCGGATTATCCTACAGGCAAACTAGGCAGCTGCCTTTCGGCCCATGGAAAATTCCTGTCCCCTCCCCAAAATGAGAAATTAGGCCCTCTACTGTTCGTTTGAATACGGCCCAACAAGTCCAAAATCCGCCACTGGAAATACAAGATAAATGAGTATGATTCGGAAATATTTTACTTATTTCAGATTACGAGTCCACAATGGGGGCGAAAATAAAACAAAAAATGAAAAAATGATTTATGTTGAACAAACGCTGAAGAAATTTCCAGATAAGAAAGGTAGATGGGTGTTTGAGTATACTATACCAAAAGGTTTCGATGTTGTATGAATATTTCTGGCTTGTATCTGAAAGAGTAAGTATTAGATGGTGACGTACGATTCTGCAGATCTATATCCATGTTACTTTGGTCAACGGTTTATTGTTGTGACATCTTGCTTTCTAGGTCCACGGCGGACGTGTGTGTTGATTAGCTGTCCCATTGCTCCTGCCGAAGTGGATTAGCTGGTTTCCCTTATTTTGTCCCCAACAGTGTGTTAGCGAATGATTCACTCCCTTGTATCCATGAGTTTCTGGTTTTGAAGAGGCCCATGGGATGGCCACTGGCAAAAAGGGTGAGAATAGCATGGAAAGACGATCTGAATACCGAAGCAATGTTTCAGAATGTTGAACGAAAGCTGAACCGGACAAGTACTTGCTGGAGATAAGGTTTTAGGTATGCTTGAGTAAGGGTTTGGGTTGAGCTGCACGTCTTATGTTTATATATGTTGACCATTTTTCTTGAGATGCAAGTCTTGCGAGCGATTGCAAGAAATAAGACAATATCACAAAAAGGAAGATGGTGCTTGAGTCTACATATGTTTATCAGGATAACTGTTGCGCAGGTCGAAATACACCAAGATACCCGAGTTCATTAAATGTTATAATTAACTACAGACAAATCCTTTAATAAACTGACAGCAGGTAAAGAAGTAAATATTTATTTTACCCCTGGTGTTACTGTGAAAAATTGAAATATTAATAATGATACATATATTAGTTTTTGATGTATTTTCATACTGATTAAATTCCATGTCTAATAATGTTTATATTAACTAGGGAATTATGACGATGGGACTTTGCCTTTACCTGCCAAAAACCCTTCTGCCATTGACTCACAAGTGAGTAAAGAGATTTCAGGTAATTTTTCTATGACACTGCAAATAAGTCACTCTTTACAGGTATGGGGTAAGTAATCCGAAATATCTCCCTCTATTCCAGCGTGTGATAACTATTTTGACAGTTGTCGGCTAGAGTAGGGTCAGAAAAATAAAGCCCTGTAGACAATGGCAGATCCAGGTGTACGTCCGAGAGGGGGGGTATTAAAGATTGTCATAGTTTTTCAGATCCTACTCACACCTAGTCAAAGTAGCAGTGACTGGAATACAGTCAGATGCTTCGGACTAATGGTTACTACAAACACAACTGCATAATCTGAAATGTATGGACAAATACAGACCTCGTCTATACTTACTTATTTAGCTCTTTTTTAGTACTGTTTGATTGTGCGTATCTCAAAAGTTAACCACAAGAGACCAGGCCACGTATTCTCGAAACGATCTTAGCACTAGGATGTCCTAGAATCAATGTTAGAAGATAAGAACCTAGGACATCCTAGCGCTAAGATCATTTCGAGTATACGTGGTCTGCATTTTTAAAGTATGGATTCAAATTTGCTTAACATTCCAATACGGTTCTAAGGGTGTAATGCTCTTTACATTTTATTCAAAAATAAACATTCTAGTTTTTTTTTTAGCTTCAGCCAGTTGAGATAACTATCGTGAAATATGACCCCGACTGAGGTTAATGAAATTCCAATTATACATTATATGAAGAAGGCTAATCTATTTCATCTATTTTATGCAAATGCGTTCTGGTTTAGCAACCTGTGAAAAACATCTGCGTCTATTCCAGCCTCTGATACACATTTTGACAGTTATCTGTTTTCACAAAAGCTATCACAGGCCGGAATAGAAGAGGATGTTTCGGACGAGTCCAGCTTACATAGCCCAATATAATATATAAGACACTGTCCACCTCTTATTGTAAACATCATAATAATGGCATATTTCTTATGGAAATTACACAAATCTATGTACAGATTTCAACTGACCACTGTCGCTGGTATGGAGCCATCTTTCCGTAAATCCATACAGTCCCACAGAAATACGAAAACATTTTGCAGCATTTTGCTATATCGGGATCTTTTCGGTTCACATGATAGTATTAGATCACCAACTACGGCTAAATGCCGAATTTATATTGTTAATAACATCGACTGATTAAAAAATACCGAAATATCGCCATATCGTGATATATGGTAATTATCATGATATATCCTTTTTTTTGGCGAGATAAGATCATCTATACAAATTAACAACTAACTTAATGTTTGAAACAGTTTTTTTCGTGATGACCCTATCACCAACAAAAAGATGTATCAGAAATATGGTGTCAAAATTTCCCTTCAGTGTTGGGAAATACAACGTCTTTTTAATAAGCCCATGAAATGGGGACATAAATTCGCGTCACCCATGTCCGTCGGTCCGTCCAAACGTTAATTATCTTATTTTTATAAGGACATGGGGCGAATTTCATTTTCTATAATGTTCTTTATGATCAGAAAAACTATAAAGAAAACTACCTTTTGGTGCAATAGTTTTGGATGGTTATGTAAGGACCTTCTAACACTAATTGATACATTTTAAAGACCACGTTTCACGATTTGTTTACTTAAATATTTATATTATTTACGAGGCCATAAAAAGTACCACGAATTTGTGAGAAGATACTGATTGAGTTTGGCATCCATTCCCAGTTGATTAAACAGGCGACAGTCGACCATGGATGAAATAGATTGTATTGTTCTTCCTTGATGTTTTTATTCCAAAAACTTACCATACTAGTATATTATACAATTATCAAGCAAATCAACCTATTTTCGACATAATATTTCATTATTTGTTGTCTATTAATCTTTAAAAATATTTCAACCAATCAAAGAATTTCAACCAATATTTCAACGATTTTATTTTAGTAAGACTAAACCTTTATCTTATGTGGTCTAGTCTGGAAGTAAACTCCCGCCCCCTGCTTCCTGTCTTATTCTGCCAAGATATCTGGAATGCCAGAATTAATGAGCTTAGTAGAATCTGCAGGAAAATTTGTGTATTGTCAACCGTGACGCATCGAATGTTTTTGTTTGTTCCTTTAAGATTACCAATAATCTGTTCTGGAATGGAATGAAGTTAATGAAGCTAACATGACTCTAAAGATATACAGAGAATTGGCATTAAGTATTGTTTAACAATTTAATACCGCAAAACACACTGTGTTTAATCAAAGCATATATCTATATTAATCTAATATACTACATCATGTTGTGAAATTAGTTTGTGCTTGTTACTTAAACTGGGTAGCTGCCAAATACTGCACAAGTGATAATGCACATGTTTTTCTATGTAACTTGTTATTTTTCGTAATTAAATAATAATTTCACCTTCAATTTGCACTTGATTTTAAGGTGTTCTCGCGTGATTTTCATTTTCGTGAAAGGGGTATGATAGATGAAAGCATGTTGGCCCCCATCCCCCCTTTTCACCTTTTAGGTAATACTGCTATATGCCATTGTATTTGTATTGATTGCATGAATCCTCAATCCTTGCTAAATGAAATTAGAAGAATTCTAGGTGGTCCGAGGAGGTTGTCCGGTATAGTTCTACAACAGACAAACTTCTGATATAGCATTGAAATCGTGGCTCTACTATTTTAACCCTAGGGATATCGAAGCAGCTTACAATCTCTTACGTGTTCATAACACTGCTTAGAGAAATAAACAGAAAGTAATAGCTGGTGGCGATTTGAAATGTCAAATGTTGTCATCGAGAAGAACAAAGCAAGAATTTTAATCTAAAAGTGGATCTATACAATCCCTAAGGCTTCGATGTTTGGTGCTAATAAGAATGCAAGAAGGAATGCTTGTAGCTATTGGAAATGTCAAATAGTATG